CGTGGCAATAATTGTCGCGTATTTCGTCTTCACTCAAAGCTTTTGAAGGGTGAAACCTCTCGGGGGCTGCGTGGTGTTTGCAACTTTGACTTTCATCCCGAATTTACAAAGCCTGCTAAAATGCATATTGCCCAATGCATGCAGTAAATAAAATCTTGCACTAATAGCGGAAACGTTTTCTTTTCTTTGTCCTTCTGGGCATTTCCTGTTTGTGTTTTGGAAAGGTGTCAATTTAAAATTTTGGTTTTTTTCTTATTGAGGTCGCCCACTTGTTTTGCCGGATTTTTAGCAACCAGTCAACAACCTAACTAATTTGTAGTACACTCTTCTGGATTTCATATGGAAACATCTGTTACTTTGAATGTTCATTCATGGAGACACCTATTTTGTTGCAGCTTTATCAATGTACCGTACCTGTATCATTGTGCTTGACTTCAGTTTAAAAAATAAAAATCCCACAGGGAGCACCAGTATCCTGAGTGAGTTTATTTACCTGTAGTTGCAGACCATACATATATTTTGATGATTACTGAGGGCAAAATTGCTTCTTTTTTGAAGGGGGGGGGGAGAGACTGGGTGGCAGTGTGAATGGGAGGTAAATTGAAAATTGTTCTTGAGCCCCTTCGTGGTTAGTATGAGACTGCATAAATTTGCAAAATTAAATTCAATGTACATGTAGATGTGGCTTAACTGGATCTTGTTGTGAGCGTACATGTACGTGTTGGGGTGAATTTATACAGTGCATAAATAATAATGGTATTTCAAAGTATTTATTGGGAAACGATGTTATGATGTACGGTACAGGACGACTTTTTTTTATTAAATGTAGCATCAAACAACATTTTCTTTCTGAGGAAACTACATGTAAATCTTTTTTGGGGGGTGGGTAAAAAAATTACCATGAGATGATTGAGCGTTTCTTGACCCTTGACAGGATTTTATTTCTGTATGATTTGAACCTTTTGCTTAAAAAGCTTGTAAAGACTGTCAAAATCTGTTTGGGCTACTTTTCAGATTATCTGGTATCTAATGAAAGGATTATGTACACACCTTCTTGGTACATGTATGTGAATGCCTTTCATTAGATACCAGATAATCTGAAAAATGGCCCAACTTGGAATTCAAGTCCTTTCATTTTAGCTGTATCTATGGACTGGGGTGTCCAAATGAGATGGGATAAAGACCATGGTGTAGAGTATTTACTACACCTTCAGACTCGATAGATAAGTTTCGCAAAAAGAGAGTGCTGGTATTTTTTAATGTTGATGGATTGACTGCTACATTTTTATTGACACACTACATGTACATGTACATGTACATGTATGTTCTTTTCTCCACGCAAATTTCTTATGTGTTTTTACTTTGAGACCTTTTCTATCGTCGTGTTCTAAGGTGTTGAAAATGAAGCCTACTTGCAATGCAATTCTGGCCTGCAAAAAAAATCATGCTTCACACAGCATGTACACGTAGTGTGTCTGTGCATTATGCATGAGTGTGTGTACAGTGTATCTTTCCTGCAAGGGGGGGGGGGGGTGTGTTACGGTTCTAGGGAGGCAAAAAGGCGGGCACGCATCCAGGGCTTGGCACACAGGAAGTGGCTGGGACGCACCTTCCGCGCGCTATCGATTCCTCAATGTTGCTGTTGGTTTTTTTTTTTTTTTTACCTCTGGCAGTTTAGATGGAGTGTGTTTGTGAATGTATGGAGTACTGAGCAGCCGAGTGAATGAAGTTAAAGGGAATATATACAATATTTGCAAACATCGAAAAATAAAACTACCAAGTTTTTACAAAATTCCTTACTAGGATGTTGGTAAATGACAGTCTAAGGCATCCTGTAAAATTATGGCACCTGGTGTCAAGTCATTTTCAAGAAACTTGTATTTTTGTATACATTTCCAACGGTGGTCGGCCGATCACCGTTGGAAAAACCTAACTATTTTTCAACTACTGCTCCAAATTTACAATTTTCAGTCCAAATTTTGTTTGCTATTGGTTACATGTTCATGAACGGGTGCAGGCCAGCTAGACTGGTTCCCTTTCCTTACAATTTTCCGACAACTATAAATTGATCCATTTTATCTTTAGTGGAGTCAGGGAACCAGGCTACTTAAACATTTTTTGTTTTTCTTGGTTTTTCAAGCATTTTCGAAACACAAAACTTCAAAACATGTCAGTTAAACAATATTTGATCTAGGCCTATTATTAACCCCTCAAATAGTTCATTTCTGAAAATTACAGCAAAAGCCAATGATGTACATTCCCTTTAAAGGAGGATGCATCTAACATCCAGTTTGTACACAGGCGTGTATTTGTGAAATCACGTTGTGACGTGTGTGAGGGCGACTGTTTGTTTTGGGAAATGCTTTGAAAAGGAGGGTCATATACCGTAATACTAACCATGAAACATAAAATACTACACATGACATTTTAAAGTCCTTTACCCTTGCTCTTCTATATATGACCTCCAAAATATACAAAAATGGCATAATAAGGCTATTGTGGCCCCCATGTTCACCACATACATGTAGAAATTGGGTGTGTTCAATTAGCTCACCCAGGTCAACTCGGGTTTTTAGCTCCATGCTATTCGATTACTGGTAGCTCTGAAGTCATTGTCGGGGCTCACCCGGGTCAACCACCACAGACCCTGCTCGAAGAGCGGAGTCAGTGGTGGAAATACGTCACACGCATGCATTGTCCATTCCAAGAAACAGACAAATATGGCGGTCGGACAGCGGGAAAGATCAAGTGGATAAAAATAAACTTTATCTAAAGTGTAAACATTAATTATTTATCGATCTCATTTCTACTTAAGAGAATATAATTCCAGCCAGACGTTGTTACGTGACTTCATGTTGCAATTGACAGAAAAGCAGTAAATCTGTCTGAAAGTAAGACTCGGTCCGATGAGGGCGTTTTCTTCATTGCTATGGCCGCGGCTACGGATGCCACGTGAGGATCACGATGGCTTGCGTTTGAGTATTCAATTAGCTTGTGGCTAATCCATCTGCCTTTACCCAAGTCGATTCGGTTGAGCTACTCATAAGGGGGATAAGCAGCGCCACTGTCCAAGGAATGAGAAGCTGATCCTCTGATCAGCAAATGAGCAATCTCTTAATCAATTCAGTTAGGGTCTTCGCTGATTGAGGACAGTATTGGCATATCTGGCTGACTGCCAAAGAAAATGGACTTGAACAAGCATTGAAGTACAAGTTTTCACAGGAAAATACTAAAATATACATACACAGTGATAAAAAATTTGAAGGAAAAAATGTGGAAAGTTGCTGCAAAAATTAAAAAAAAAAAAAATGATTTTCCACATCATGATGGATTGTAATCATTATAAATAACTGCACTCATGCCAGACTGCATTTGGTCTTTTTCAAAACACTCCTTGTTGAGTACCAGTGAAATGCCATAAATCAACACACTTACATGTAAGCATCGGGACACCAGTTCTCATGAATCTACCGGTACCACACACATTGCCATCATTATCAATAACAGCTCCCACAGATCATCGGCTTATTTTTTTTTTAACAGAAAGCCAAAGAAGCTTTTTTTCCTATTCAGTAGACAGAAGCGGATGCCTGACTATGTAGGTTGATTTGTGTAAGCAGCGGGAAGCCCGGCTTTTGACGTCATCGCAAGTCATTTTTTGCTCCTCGGGCTACATCTCAAGTTGAATGTTACATTCCTCTCATCCCACCGACAGAGTATAAATCCCGAAGGATAATTTTTGTATTTTTATCTTTCTTGTTTTGCATTAATGTTTAACTCTTGTCGTGGACGGACCATCTGTTACTAATTTCCATCCCTGTGATCTGCCTGTGATGTCGTCTGTCTATGACATGTATGAGGTTGTTTCTCTTTCACGGCAGCCCAATTGCGGCCCATTTTAGTAGCAATGTTTTCTTGGTCCGTTCGGGGTTATCACGATGGGGGATTGCACTCATACTCTGAAGTTTGTGATGTACATATACCGGTATTCTTCATCTTTTGCATTTCTGTTATTTTTTTGAGGATAACAAAAAGAAATGTAGTATTTATTTCATATGTTGCATAAGCCTACCGGTACATGTCTCCGCTGTTTCTAGGGCCACTGCGTTACCAGATAACGAAATAAAATTCACAGAATTCATTTCACAAAAATGTGATGTGAAACATAGGAAAATAAATGATATTTATACGCAGTTTCAATTCAGATTTGGATGGTTTGATTTCTTGAATTTTTTTTGCTTACATCTGTAGTAAAATGGTCTAACAGAAACTTTGTTCATTTCATTTTTGGTTAATAATTATGCACATGATGGAATGTGAAACAGCGAGTTTCTTCTTATACAGATTAAAGGGAATATATACAACATATGCAAACATCAAAAAACAAATCTACCAAATTATTATGAAATACCTTACTGGACTGTGAGTGAATGACAGTCTGAAGACAGTCCAATCTATGAACACAAAACTTCAAACAAGTCATTGTTTGCTTTAAAATACTTACCCCTAAATCCATCCATTTTTTGAAAATTACAGCAAAATCAAATGTTGTATAATCCCTTTAATAACAGTTGAATTAGAATTGTTAATTTTACCAAAATTGAAAACCGACATTTTGAATACGTGGCAATACCTGTATACGTGTATATCTTACTGTATTTTTCTCGTACTGGTTGTCTTTTACTATGTCTGTATCTTTTTATTCTGACATTCACATAAATTACTTCCTATATTGCCCTCAGTATTCACCCCATCATGGAAATTGTCAACTAACCTTTAAAAATGATCTCATTGGAATGTCGGCTGCCCCTCTTCAGCGGGCTTGCTGTACACTTCTCCTCCAAAAAAAAATATTTTGGTCTAAACAGAAAGAGCGACATCATCATTTCAGCGCCAGGCAGGTATTGAACCAGTTCGGTCATCGTCCAGTAATCTTCCCATGCATGTATTTTAGCCTAAATTACTTTAAAATTTGTAATTTTTTTGTGTTTTTTTTTCAGGACATCTCCAAGCGGTTATCGCTGCCGGCAGACATGCGGTTGTCGGACCAGTTCCTGGAGAAGTACAGCCTCAGTCCGCCCTTCGAGAAGATGAGCAGACGATCGAGACGAACCTCCCTGGTAGGTTTTGTTTGTTGGTCTTTCTATCTGTCTGTCTGGTCTATTTATAAAAACTCATCCGCAGATTTTGTCTCTTGATTAGACGGAGAATGCTCACACGATGTGTGCCACTTTTCACTATCTTGCCATGTACGGCCATGCCATATGATAAAATCTGCAATACTACAATTCCTAGTGTTACTGGATTTTAATGATTAATAGGAATGTACACCTGAGGCGCCATTACCACATAGGAACTGAAAATCCCTTATTTTAGCTCAAAGAATGTGCCATAAGATAGTATCGCAAAGTGTCAGCTTTTTGTGGATTCTGAAAGGTTTCTATAAAATAGAGGGAAAAAATGCCAGGGTACCGAGGTAACAGGGACAGGAAAAATGTTACACGTTGACATGGCAGAAACACATTTTTGGTTTGTAATCTGTTTATCTTGTCTTACAAAAAAAGCGCATCAAGGGAAAAGCGCATCAAGGGAAATTGCGGACGGAGTTGACAATAGCTTCAGTGTGAACCTCCCTTAAGATGGCAATAGACTGTTAAATCCACACCACCAGTATAAACTGACGACGTCTTCTCCGCGTGTATTACGTATCACAGACAGGATACGTCTCTCATCTCTGTTTACCTGTTTTTGTCCAGTCTTTCTATTCTGAGCGTGTCTGTGTAGACAGGCTTTCTTTTTTATCAGAAAAGCCGTCAGAGTAGAATGTCCTGGTTAGAAATTGGAGCCGGCTGACATTTGGAAAGGCCGGGCAGTTCATGGTTATTATTATTTAAGGATCTTGTGTGGTTTGCGGAGGAAGGGGAAAAAAACCCCAGCTGTAACACATTGAGATTTGGGGATGTTTTTTTGAACGGATGGAATCAGGGGACAGTTTCATGGAGGTTGCTAAGCGTACAAAGTTGGTTAGCATAAAAAGTTTTGCTTATGAATAACAGGTTACCAGCCAAAGTGTTAAGTGTCGTCTATTGGTTCACGGTTGAGTTTTGCTAAGCTAGATTATTTGCTGAATAATAGTATACGAAATAATGAATGTTTATGAGTGCAATGGTGAGAATATTTTCGTGAGTTGAAAGATTGAATGTTCCATTCGCCGAGTTGAATGGAACAATCAATCTTTCAACGAATGGAAAAGTTCTCACCATTGCACGAATGCAGAACATTCATTATTTGTTTTATATAACATCCAAGTAGATCTTTGTCATTCGATTGGAGGATAAAACTTAAGAACAAACAAAACTCACAAAATTGTATCATATATATGTTTTGTACTGCTATAATGCATGATATGCTCTATATAGCCCAAAGATCGTAGTACCGGGCCGCTGCGCGTCTTAGCGTGCGCATGACGTGCAATAGATCAAAAGGGATGGGATGAAAATGCACAGTGAATGGAACCAAAAATGCACGGTTATGACGTAGGCTGTGCAATGGTTCGATTAATGAATGCCGTGTGACCTACATGTACAATCCTCCAATCAAATGACAAGGATTTACTTGGGTGTTATATAATACTGCTTTATAGTAGCGCCATAAAATTGGGCCCAAGTCTTACACCATTTGAAATTCAGATGACCGCCTCGCTGAATTTTTATAAACTTAAAAAAAAAGAAAAAAGGCTAAAATACTCTTATTGGCCTTGTGGTATACATGTACATGTATGTATTTTGCACAGGTGAACAAAATAGTAACCACTGGTTCGCGGCATAGACCTTTCTTTGCCAACCCGCGGCTCGCACTTTTTGTAAATCTTGGGTCGGCAAAGTATGGAAGGTCAACATCGCAAAAAATAAAGAATAGTTACAAATGTTACCAAACATATCATTGGCTTGTTGAAAATACAAAATAACCCAGCAAACGCTACCAAAGACTTAATAAAAACGCCTCTTAAAAATGTGCTGATGTCTTCACACACTTAAGTTGTGTACGTGGAACAGAGTAAGTGGCACACTTCGGTACACTATTTAACTCATAAAAACCAAATGACCTTGTGATGTTTTGTAAAGGCAAAACAACTATTACTGTGGCTTTATGTATGTACATGTACCCTTAAAAATTCAGTCATTTAAGTCTTAATATTATATATATCTTATAATGAGAAACAAATGGGCCATTTGTTGTTATTGATGTAGCAAATTAACAATCTATGCAAAGTACTTCTTGCTGGTTCCATGGAAATTGAATGTGACTTTTATTATTCCAGGTCATTGCTTTCCTATGCCCTATCTACTACAAAATATTTGTTAACTTTTTTCTCCTCTTTTTAAATTTGTTTTAACTTTCAGTCTGAAATAGGTTTTGGCAAGATGGAGACGTACACCAAGTTAGACAAGCTGGGGGAGGGCACATATGCAACAGTATTCAAGGGGCGGAGTCGGCTAACCGACAACCTGGTAGCGCTGAAGGAAATCAGGCTAGAACATGAGGAGGGTGCCCCCTGTACTGCAATAAGAGAAGGTGAGTTGGCGGGATAGGGAGGGGGTGGGCTGGTGGAGGGGGGGGGGGGGTAAGGGAAGGGCTCTATATTAGGGAGATATTAATTTTGGCATTGGGGTTTTCCCTTCATTGTTGATATTTGTAAGCCCTGTACAATCAGGGATTTTCAACTGCTTGCCAGAATAATCGTTTTCAAGCTTGCTCTAAGGTAGGACTCGAAGCCATGACCTTCTGCTTAATAGTACAGATGTCTTAACAACTTAACCACTGATCTTGCCAGGTTGGGGCTGGCTGGTTCAAATCTGCTGTTAGTACTGCAGTCTGTATCTTCAGTGGTAGTACCTTGAGGGGAACTATCATGGCAATACTGGATTCAAACCTACAACCTGCTGCTTAGTTGTGCAGACTGCTCACACACTCTACCATTCAGCTTACATGTACGTGTACCTCAGTGGTTCAAATCTTGCATAGTAACCCTGATCTCTGCAAATCCTCTTGTCGTACAGTTAAACTGTCTGTAATGGTTTGTCTTACTGGACGTCTTTTCCATAGATTAAAATTATACATAAAACTGCGCCGACCAAGGGTGACATTTGTCAGAATTCTTTCTGATTTCAACATTTTTAAATAATCCTTCAAAATCCAGAATTATCTATAAAGCTCTACATGTACATGTACATGTATATGTATATATGTTGATAGAATAAAAGAAACATGTATTTTAAGGGCTGCCTTAAGCCAAATACAAACACATGCCATTAGACCCTGGGGCCATCAGCGGCCGCAAAACCCTCCGCCGACTATTTCATGGATTTCTCATTTCCGTCCAATCTCACTCCTGTCCGACAGAAATGACAGAAATTCCTTTCGGCTATCACTCGCACTTAAAAAGCTTTTACTGTACAGCAAAAGAAAATTGTTGAGACGAACGTAGATAATAAGTGTCTGATGTACGACCGAAGTTTCACCTTCTAAGATCAATGGGAGCTGAGGAAACCTCTTGGAATCGAATTGCCACCTTCGCGTGATCTTGCCCAGAAATAATTGAAGAACCCTGACATGCATGAGAGAGCCTGACCACAAGTCACTCGGTCCGGTCCGCTTTCGTCCCACCCCGTCCCTCAATATTAATAATTCGTCCCGTGCTCACTGCAAGTCAAGCGATTAACTACTTTACCGCAGCTGCGTTCTCAGATTGTGTGTAATAGGCACGCAGGGTGCCCTTTAAAGATGCATGGTCTCTGTGCTATTTTAAAAAGATTTAAAAAAATAGATTTCTTTTCTGGATTGCAGCTTTTGTAGCAATACCAATGTTTTTCACTTTTGATGGAGACATCGACTGAAAAAAATCAGCCCGTGTTTAGTTATTAATTTGTTAATTTAAATTGTAAATTAATTTACAATTTCAAAATGGCTGCCAGACAGTGATTACCGTTTTCATGGGGTAGGCTGGTTCCTGCCCCACAATCAGTATTGATAATGTACGGACCAGGAGCCAGACTGCTCGCAAAGTGGATTTGTTTGTGCTCAAAACGAAAACATTTTTTTTCCAGAGGTTTGCAGATGTCCAAAAAGGGGGGGGGGGGGAGTGTTTTGGTTGCAATAATACAAGTTGAGAATTTATTAATCCTAACCTTCCCAAATCCTTCAAAATCCTCTTTGCAAAATGGAGGATTTTGCAGGATTGAGGCTATTATTAAGGCAACAATGTGTGGCTGATTTTGGAGGATGCACTGTGTCAAGTTCTTGGGCCGGACCTGGTGTTGTTTATGCTCAGCCGTACTTAAATTTAGGCCTAGATATCCATGTACATATATGTATGATACTTGAAATCCTCTGCACCACTCCAGGATGTCACTGGCTCTGCCTCGACATATTTGCAGGATTGAGACATTGGTCATCCCTCCAAGGACCACATTTAAGAAATAACAGAGGATTTTTCAGGATTGAGGTTGCATCCTGGCAAAAATGCCGAGGGATTAAGTAAAGCATTGAATTTGTTGAAGAGGGCACGCACTGGGAATGCAACTTTAATAGATTGTGTATGAGCATTCAGCTCTAGAAACTGACTCACGCCGCTGCACAAGATCCAAATCCAGAGAAATTGGTTGATTTATCTATCTAGGCCAACGAAATGCCTGTGTTTATGCCAGGGTAGAGTGATATTGGATGGGGACCAGCGTTTCTTTCTTTTTTTAAACCAAGCCCGCAGCTCCAAAATTAAATTTCTACAATTCACATGCGTGCATTCCTGGTTTGCTGAGATGCGCTATTGAGTTGCCTAGTGCCATTAATGGGTCTGCTGCCGCCGGCAGACTTTCGCAAGTCCTTCAAAATCCACAGTTTTTGGTTTTTGAGGATCTTGCATGGTTTAGAACTTGAGAAATGTCTTGAGTCTGGCTGCCATTACTTTTATGTGGGCTTGACACTCTGTGACAGTTTTAAGTTTTAAAGTACGAAGAATGTTCATATTGGTTTCTGCAAAGTGGAGGATTTGGGAGGATTTAGGAAGTTTCCCTGAAAAAGGAGTTATAAACCACCCATGGACCATGGTCCGTGAACTACCCCAACCCTTCAAAATCCAACTGCATGTTTTGTTGGAATCTGTTGGAGTGAGTACTGCACTAGTAAACTGATAATGCTTTACATGGGGTCAGGTGTACCACCATAATCAGAGTCCAACAGTTTGGGTGTTGAGTTTGCCATGTGATGTTGGATTTTGCAAGAGGGGGGAAGGTTCCTAGTAAATCACTCAAGGGGGTTAGGGTTAAAGATTATTCCTGCATTCTCTTCCAAAATTCCAAATTTTCTTACATTTTTTCCACTTGAATTGTAGAAACACCTCTAGGGGATTTTCCCTGGGAAAAGTCTTGGGGGGGGGGGGGGGGGAGGGAGGGGAGGTGGGCAATAATGATGTTATCCATGTAAGCAGTCCTAGTTGGATGATTCACTGGTTGTGAGGCCTGTTTCAGTTTCCACTGTTTCCAGTCTCGATCACATGCTATCGGAGAAGGGGAAGTTGGAGTTTGATTTAATCTACAAAAGAATTACAACAAAAAATACTTTAAATATCAGCCAAAATTATTAAATAATAAACTATTAATGATAAATTTACCGGTAGAAATATCTGAATTAATATAATACTAGTACATACGTGTAGTTCAATAAAAGGAATTTAATGTATAAAATGAATAACATCTATACATGATTGGAAAGCAATGATTGTAAAAAACAAAATGGACAAGTGAAACATTCTTGAAATTGTAAACATCCCTATTTGCAATAAATTTGGATTGCTGTTGACTCCAATAAATAAAACCAAACTTGATTATGACATAGTGACACAAATAGAAAGTGACACCTATACTCCATTTTTTTGGACAACTGTAAGAATTTGTAGTATTTTCCCCCCTTTCTTTCCACAGTGTCTCTGTTGAAGGGCCTCAAGCATGCAAACATAGTCACCCTTCACGACATCGTCCACACGGAAAAATCCCTCACACTAGTCTTTGAATATTTGGTGAGTATTGTCTCAGCAATTTTTAGGACGTCTCTCTACTCCCCCTCCCCCAAAAAGGATGCAAGTCCTCCTGCAAGTATAGGCATTCATGCTTTTTGAATTGCAGATAACATACTTGTCTCATACACAAATTATGCTTGCCGCACTTCTCTTGTATAACTCAAATTTTGTGCACAAATGTCAGAGCGCCTCGAATGTTCTTGCTCCCAGGTCGGTAAAAATTCACACAGGGGCTTTTGGAGGATGTTGTAGGGTTAATCCTCCTATTCTCTGCCATGTTGTCCTTTCAGTCCAAATCGACCAAAACAAAGTGACTGTTTCTAACAGTTACATGTAAGAGCTCCCAGCCTACATAAAGCAGGATCAACTGGCTGTGACTGTTTATGTAACTTAATACAGCTTTGCTTTGACTGTAGATGATTGGTGTGATGCAAGCTGTGCTCACTGCTTGCCTGTTTTTGTCTGTTGACTGAATTTTACTAGTCACAGTGCTTGGTTGAAATATTATCTGACTGTTGGTGACGAGCTTAAAGGCATGGCAGGGGAAGAGGATTGATTTTTTGACTGTCTGTGACTGTTCAGATAACAGGAGGGTTAAGGAAGATAGATCCCAGACATTGGTGCTTTACATGAGACATGCTTCTGTCTGCACATTGAAGAATCATGGAGGATTTAGGAATGATCCTAGAAAAAAAATACAGGGAGTTAGGCCAAAATGGTCAGACCAAAGTTCCGGAATTGTTGCAGCGGTTTTTAAATTTTTTTAAAAATATTTTTTTGGCTTTTTTCCCCCAAGCTTGGAATGTACAGCCAAGTGGGATACTGTTTTGCTTGTTTGTGTCCTCGTATACCGGTACCCGGTACCTTGGTGTCCTCCATCGTTTGCCTTGGTGCCCTCCATTTGCCTTGGTGCCCTCCATTTGCCTTTGTGCCCTTCCCCAGGTCGAGCTGCCCATAAAAAATTGAGGCACTAGAAGGCGCTGTTATAGCTGCCACAGAAAATTTGGAAAACAAAACATCGATGTGCATGATCAAAATCGACTCTCGCACTGACCAGAGACTGAATACTTTTTTTGGGGGGGAGGGGGAAGTTATAGTTCAAAGAGATTATCCTGGGCATGATTTCACAAGATCCCTGAATTCATATGATTTCTCATCATTATTTCTCCACTTGAAACCTTTTCTAAAGAAACAAAACCTTCCTATCAGGCAGTTTATTTTAACTAACAGTAAAGCTGGATCTGTTTATTAACATCACGTGTCTAAATCATCAGACAAATAAAAGTTCCTAATGTAAAATGCAGGGGAGTTGGTTAAAAGAGCTTATACTTGACATTGTTGCTCATCCTTGAATTCATATGATTTCTCATCATTATTTCTCTAATTTGAACCTTTTCTAAAACCCTACCTTTCAGTTGGTTTATTTTAAGTAACACACACAGCTGGATCTGTTTAACGTCACCATGTCGAAACCACCAAACGCCAAAAAAAAGAGTAAACATCACGATTATTGATTTGCCCAGGATCGCTAATGAGATCTGGAGTGCCCGCCGGAGATGAACACAGTCCATTGAAATGTTGCTGCTCGATTGATCGCTTAATGGGCCCAAAGTCCAGCCTGCCGAACGGCAAGTATCATCCTGGTTTCCACGGAAACCAGATGTCCAAAAAAGAAAAAAAAGCGAAAGTCGTTTTAGGCTTCTCAGAAATGTGAAGGTTCGCGATTGTGGCAGCTTCGCGCTAGAGGTTTTTGCAACGTTTCAGTCGGATCCAGCGAGGTTGAAACAAAATACGGATGTGCAGTGTTTCCTTAATTGATTTTTAACTCCTTTACCTGGGGCAGTCTGTTACAACTCACAGAACTGCTTCTCAGAAAAATCCCATTGAGGACTTTCCCCACTTGTCCGACATCTCACCTCTTTAAGAAATATCATTCGATGCAGCTTCTGGTTTTCCCCTGTGCCATGTCACGCTTTGGGGGGGGGGGGGGGGGGAGCACTTGCGTCGCGGCTCTGAGGACCGTGCTTGAAATAGCAAAGCAAAAAAGCCACTTGTCCTTTGGGGACCGCATCGATTGCTGTCAACTCTAGAAGATGTTTGATTTTGTCTGTCTGCGGTCACAGCGAGAGGATATCTGTGATTCAGGTTTTAACGTACATATGCATTACTGTACATTAAAATTCAATGGCTACCCATATAAATGTTTATGAAGACAAAGTATGTGATTCCAAGGATCAACATTGTCATGGTATGCATGGAAATAGTAAAGCACTAACACCAATGAACAGCAAAGAAAAGCAATCCACAAAACTTACGAAAAACACTCCCCTCCTCCCACCCCCCCCCAAAAAAAAGAGGAAAAAAAGAAGAAGAAAAATTTAGATTACGGGTGATGTTTGGTCTGCTGTTTTTATCATGGTAACCATTTGATTTGTATACAGGAACATATAAATAATATATTTGGGTACATGTACATTGTTTTGATAAAAGACATCGAAATTCAATGGACATGAAAAACAATTAAAATAACTTTCCTTTGCAAGCTTTGTTTTGCTTAAAAACCAACCAATTGAAAAACAAATATTTTTCTTGTACAGGGAGAGATCAAATGATCACTACTAGCCTAAGGCCAAAAAAAAGTCTCTGGTTTCTGGTATACGCGCGCGTCGCCGTAGCTTTGCGTGTCCGCAAAATTAGAAAGTTTTTTGTCAATGTAAGATAATGTCTCAAAACCGCCAAACTCACTGGTTTGACTGGAATCCTGCTGCTGCACAATTTCAACGTGTTTTTAGGTGGGGTTATGATCAAGTATAAGCTTATGTGGTCTCTCTGGGCTCCAATACATTTTGCACTAAATTTAGTCGGGCACCATTTGCAGTCATCAGCAGACATTTGAAGGGGAAAAAAAAAGAAGCCATGTCAACGCACCACTTTTGGGGCAAGCTCCATACCAGAAACCGGAGACTTTTTGGGGGGCATAACACAACTTGTGTGCCTAAGCGATGTTTATGAACCTATCTTCCCTTAGAGAAATAAGCTTGACACTTCTGACGCTGCAAACAGAACCTCTGTAAGTCCTGAAGGACTTGTGGAGGAAAGCTTGCCAGTCATGGTCATGTGACTACCAGGTGTCATGTGATATCCTGACCACAAGGTGTTCGCATTGATCTGCGGCTTACCGAATTGCTCACCCCTGCTTTTGGGTGGTTATTTATAGATCACCTTAAAGGGGCTCCCCCTCTTTTTTTAACTGCGGAGGCTGATTTTGTCCAGCTGTCTAGACAAAATTTCATCGAGCTGCAAGTTTTCATCTGATTTTTTTTTACTACATGTATGTAGTTAAAGGAAATCAGGCTCAAATCTCAACAAAGGGCAAAAAGCTTTGTGGAAAATATCACTTGGATACTTAAATTATACAGTAGAAAGATTAAGCTGACTAGACTCAACGTCTTTGTCAAAAAAAAAAAAAAAAAAAAACCACGAAAAAAGATGCTGGATTTGGATTTCAAAGAAGAAAAGACTGTACAGGAACATTAATGACATACAGGAAGATCTATGACTCATTAATTGTGTGTCTTCTTCCTGGTCTCAAGATAACATCTTTACGCTCTTACAACTCCCTAGCTTCTTTTACTGGGAACTGGACCAATTCCATCAAAATCCATCAATCACTGTGCGTCTAATACAAAACTATACATGACATACACGTAATGGAATCCACCACTGACGCACTGGTTAATATTCGTGGACATGCTACATACATGTACTGGGGTATGGCTTGTATCACAATAGCAGTACAGGAAGCTGGGCAAAATCAATCGGATACCCCTAGCACTGCTTCAGGCCATTAGGCCCAAGTCCATCATACTCCATCAATATTAAGTGACGCCAGGCCTTCTGGATCAAGTCCCCCCAAAATCCACCAAAATGGGGGATGGATTTTGATGGAGTTGGGGTGTATGGTTTTTTTTTTTCATACCCAAACCATGAAATAAAACTTGTGTTTTTCTTCTCAAGACTGCATCAGCTCACAGTTGTGTGAAATTTGATTTTGAATTAATTTCTGGGTCTGTATGTCGTTTGGTTTGTTGCATACAACCACTCGACTGGAATAATTTACCACTCGCCAATACCGGTACATTACTTTCATCACTTTACATGATGTATTTTTATTCCGAATGTCGTCAAACTCTTCCTTCCAAAGAGTAGTCAAGCACATGGTAATGACCATACCCATTCCTGTATGATTCATTGAAATGGAAAAAAAAATTGTTGAGCAGTCAGTTAAATACAACATTGCATGATGTTTCAATAAATATGTGCTGTGTTTTAGGAGTTTTGAACAACAGGTGTTGATCCACAAATCAAGGAAAACAGTTATTATAATATGATGGTGATTATGCCTTTGTTATATGTTTCATGTTTTTTTTAGGGGGAGGGTTTACAAGACAAACCCATACATACTCACAGAAGTAAATGCTCAAAATGTAGAAAGAATTCTTTTTTTTAACCTTCAGTCCATTTCCTTTCTGAATTCTAGAATTTAATCTGTTATGTGTAAATCTTGAAAAGGAAAAAAACCCTAAAATCGGAATTCTAATTCTTTGTCGCCCATGACACAAAATGTTGCTTTTTTTTGCCCCAGCCAAATTTCTCTGTGTGTGATTTATTTGGCCAGTGGCCACTATACAATTTGTCCCCATTTCCTGTTGGTTGCCTCAGTAGAGGCATAAACAATGACCAATATTCAAGTACTCTTTTGAATCTTTATAAAAGGGAAGTGGCGGAAATCGAGGTAGAAAATTTATTGAGGCTTTTAAAGTTACTGTTCTTCCTGAAATTACTGTGTGTGCATATAAATTGATCCTTATATCAAGTGTGTTTAGACAGATTTGGGTCAGTGCAGTTTTTGCGCACTCAGATTTTTACATTGATTTTGCATATCAGCAGATTAAAACTTACAATTAAAGGGAATATACAACATTTGCAAACAGCGAAAAATAAAACTACCAAGTTTTTACGAAATACCTTACTAGGATGTTGGTAAATGACAGTCAAAAGCATCCTGTAAAGTTATGGCACCTGGTATTTTTGTATACGTTTCCAGCAGTGGTCGGCCGACCACCGTTGGAAAAACCTAACTATTTTGCTACTACTGCTCCAAATTTACCATTTTTTATTCAGTTCAAATTTTGTTTGCTATTGGTTACATATTCATGAACTGGTGCAGGCCAGCTAGACTTGTTCCCTTACCTTACAATTTTCCGGCATCTGGAAATTGATCCATTTTATCTTTAGTGGAGTCAGGGAACCAGACTACTTGAACATTTTTGTTTTTCTTGGTTTTTCCAGCATTTTCGAACAAAAAACTTCAAACATGTCAGTGTAACAAAATTTGATCTATATACTCCCCCTTCAAATAGTTCATTTCTGAAAATTACAGCAAAAGCCAATGATGTACCGTACATTCCCTTTTTAAAAGCAGTCCATGTCACCTTTTTTTTCTAAACACTGTGTATCAAGATTCAAGAAATCATGGTTGACATGACTTTTATATATTCATTTGACATCTAGTTCATAATACATGCTTTTTATGATGTGTACATGAATGTTTGCCAGTTCGTATTTGATTATTTTTTGCACCTGCTATTGGATTCCTTGGAATGTTATGTTGCAGCCAAAATAAAAACACTCACATTTTTTCGCCTGGACCTCAGAGTACATGAACCTAGAGTATCTCTGAAGTATTTGATCAAGTTGGTTGTCCTACAGGGGTTTCTAAAAAACCTTTTAGAAATTCAGGGAGTGATTTCCCTTGATTTTCATCTCAAAATGCAATTAAATTTGTTTACTCTATAACAGAATTTAGCAGATTTGTTGTAGCTACCGGTATTTTGCTGTACTAAATAGAATATGCCTAGCAGTTTGCTGTACATGTTTGTATTTACATGTATTAAAGGAAAAATGATCTGTTTAATGAAAAATGTTGCAAATCCCAGAAAAAGCAAATGGGATCACTCAGAGAGAATATGGCTTTTTATTACAAAATGATCTGATATTGTTATACATGTCATATAACTGCTGTAAAAATGATTACCTGCTCAATATCTCCTCCTCCCCCCCCCCCTCCCCTCCCCTTGAAAAAAAAACTAATCAGGCTGCATATTCAATCCAACATAATTGGGCATTACGATTTTTTTCTGAGGAAAATAAGGCCCTTCTTTGGTTTACCACGAAATTGGGTAAGGATTGTCTCCACAGTGTGGATGCAATAAGGACCCAGTCATGCATGACCGAACAGTCACTAAACACGATAGACCAGCTTTTCCAGCCATATGCTCAGCACAGCCTCCTGTCACTTATCACTGTTTTGATAATAGATTAGCCTTCTCGCATAATGATGCTATGACTCATGAACAAAATCCGGTTCCCGTAATATATATTTTGCTTTAATTTGGTGAATTGCAGATTTAAAAACAATTAAATCACGTCAAAGTTGCAAATTTAAATTTAAAAATTATAATGGAATCTTAGAAAGAGATCACCTTGGTCAAGAATACTGTCCATGATTTGAAACCAGTTGCTATTTTTTATAACAATACAAAATTGAATCACTTTCAAATGAGACATTGAACATTTGCCAACATTAGTTATGGAATTATTACTTTTAAATATACACATATATTTTGAGTTATTTGCAGTTCGATAATTAATAATTCAGTTTAGCAGGGCATAGACAAATCTGGCGGCAGCCATTTTCTGTGGTGGTGCAATGCTCGCGCGAGTCACGCTCAGGTAGTACACATGCACTACGGGCTCCTTCGACCTATGGGAATGCCAAAATGCACGTGCACCTTGTCTTTAAGAGCGCGTGCAGAATGCGCGTGAGCGTGACACCAACGCAGTGAAGGCTTCTGATTCTTGTCGCCGGATTACACTTTAAAGGCTTCTATACCCCCAGTCAGTATCGATAATGGTCTGAGAAGTTGTCTGTTCTCATAGTGGATGTACATGTATCAGGTGTACAAAAAAACCAACGCATAACGTGCAAAATGAAAGCCTTCTTGTCAGAGCGTTGCAAACCCCCAAAATGGAAAATGTATTGGGTGTTTGATTTTTTTGTTTTTTTCCTCTCTAAACAAAGAAAACATGCAAAGTGAAAATTCATTTATGTGAAAACAATTGAATTATTAGTGGAAGAGCACGCGATCATCTGTAAAAGTCAATTATAACGTTTATCATTGTTTTCCAAATACAAAATGAGTCAAATAACCATATAAAAGCATATATGCATATACTGCCCATGCTTATTTACAGGTGCGATGCCTGTAAATTGTAACTGAAAAATTTGACAAGAAACCCCATAAATTATTACACCTTGTTTCATTATATACACGTACAGTAACAATGACAGTAATTTCCATTACTACCGTGTACTAAGGTCACATTTGTGCAATCTCGCAATCTCAATAGCTTCATTACTATTCAAGGTGCAGCCAAGCAAGGTGATGCTTGCAGATTGGCAATGTTGTCTTAATAATCCATTAGGGCTGTGTCATCCCAAAACTGCCCATGCTTATTTACTCCCTGTACCGACCGAAACTGCCCCAGCACTCCATGGTTTCATGGATTCTTGAGGGAATAGAGACAGTGTAATACAATTAAAGGGAGAATACAACATTTGCAAGCATCGAAAAATAAAACTACCAAGTTTTTACGAAATATCTTACAGGATGTTGGTAAATGACAGTCTTAAGCATCCTGTAAAATTATGGCACCTGGTGTGAAGTTATTTTCAAGAAAATTGTATTTTTGTATACGTTTCTAATGGTGGTCAGCCGACCACCGTTGGAAAAACCTCTTTTTCAACTACTGCTCCAAATGTACCTTTTTTTCAGTCCAAATTTTGTTTGCTATTTGTTACGTGTTTATTAACGGGTGCAGAGCAGCTAGACTGGTTCCCTTTACCTTACAATTTTCTGGCATCTATACATTGATCCATTTTATCTTTAGTGGAGTCAGGGAGCCAGACTACTTGAACCTTTTTGTTTTTCTTGGTTTTTCCAGCATTTTCGAACACAAAATTTCAAGGATATCAGTGCAACAATATTTGATCTATTATACATGTACTAACCCCTCAAATAGTTCATTTCTGAAAATTAAAGCAAAAGCCAATGATGTACATTCCCTTGAAGTACAGGTGCTTATGGGTTAATAAACAAACGTTAATTTTCTTCAGTGCTGGTTCATACATGTACTTCACAGGAATGAGAAACAAGTTTGACTTCACAAAAAAAATCACTGCGGAATTTACCAGATTTGAAATTTGTTCGCTCTTTTTAATTCACAGCACGAATACTTACCATAATGTCATAAAATCCTGTTTGCTTTTGCACTGATTATAAATGGGCCTCTGTCATTGTCAAAACTACTAATTTAAACAACTGGCTATTGTTCTTAATCTTTAAAAAAAGATCTTTGTTATTGTAAAACTGCTGATGTTGATGTTTTTCTGATTATTTTGTCCACACAGGAAAGAGATCTCAAACAGTACATGGATGACTGTGGCAGCATCATGAGCATGAACAATGTTAAGGTAATCATAGACTTTTGTGATAAACCTGAAATAGTCAGAATTAAAAAAAAAAAATGTCCTAAAACATGATGACATATGTTATCCTGAATTTGGAATTGACTTACCTTTTTTTCTGATTTATTTTCAGTGACAGTATTGCATCGTGAAAAATACTCCTGAAGTTGTGTTTTCCAGTTTTAATTAATTGTTGTCTGAATCTGATTTGAAATGGTACACAGTATTAAAGGTTACACATATTGGCATTAATCTGCATGCCCGCAAGCCAAACCATCGATAACAGAAGGGATGATATTACAGTGAGGAATGGCAGAAATATGAATATAAGAAAGTGAGGAATGGCAGAAATATGAAAATAAGAATGTATCATGTAGCCGGAACGTCGAGTTTATACCTCTGGTTCTTTTCAGAACCATTCTCTTAGTTGAAAAAATTATGCGCACATGGTGTTTCCGCAAACCTTTCATTATTTAGTATCTCCACCATGCAAAGCCTCAAATCTTACTTAAGAATGTATCATGTACACGGGTTACATGGAACCGTTCTATACTTAATTATCTATCACATTTTGAGTGACATAAGCCCATGCTTGCACACTGAATGCACACATTACTTTCGCAATTTAACTGCCCTGCCACTCAATTTAACGTAACAATGAACACACAGTCATTGTGACGTCATGAAAATTAGGTATATGATGCTGTTGTTTTGCTGGTTACTATGCATGTCTGGCCTGTTAGAAGCTCAGGGTGCAATGTGCACATGAATGCTCTTTTGGGCTAATCGACCAGCTTAGAATTATCCCCCTATCACTGCACCGCCTTTAAACCACGGCAGCGGAAAAGGCATCATAGTAGGCACAGGTGCATATATGTCTACTATTGCTGCAGCACATACATGTATGTGTGCACAGTGTATGTTACTGAATGATTGGATCATAATCATATGAGCATGGCAGCCTGGGGCAGTGCAGCATATGTGTACATACATGTACACACATTGGCCATGTTCTCACCATAGAGAGCCTATATCCCAACCCTTAGGCTTTAATGCAGAGAGAAAAAAAATCCTCAGAAAATCACTAAATCTATATTTGTCCATCCAGTTTGTCTCGCCGTCCGTGTGAATAAGACAACCCCAATATTTTGGGAGCCGTGTTTTGAATACCTGCACGGTACCCAGAAAATTTGCTGACCCAACTTGTACATGTGCAGTATGTTTATAATTCGGGTTACCAGTGTAGTAGAGATAAGGTGGTAATCTTTCATTATGGTAGGTATTTGCATGGGTAAAATTTAGAATAGGGAAAATACATCGGGCGAAAACCGATTATTGAAACAGCTACCGGTATAACTTGAAAAACAAAAAACAACTGCCGATTGGCTGTACACAAAAATGAATCCTGTCCTAAGCTCCTCCACACAATTGCCACTCCCATGTTTTTCTATGCGAGTTCATTTCACAGTTCATACCGCGTACACAGGTATGTTATGCGTGAGTCTCAAGCACATTCCCAAATAACTTGTGACGTCAGCACCTGTCAGGACACAGGCTGAGTTCTATTGATGATGCCTTCAATGGCATTCACAATGACATTCTCATTGACTTCCCAAATAACTTGTGACGTCACTACCTGTCAGAACACAGGCTGACTTTATTGATGATGCCTTCAATGACATTCACAATGACATTCTCATTGACATTTCCATGAGCTAGCGTTAGAAGGTAGCAGTAACATACTCTATCAGTGGATACTAGTTAAAGGGAGTATACAACATTTGCAAACATCAAAAACAAAACTACCAAAACTATCACAAAATACCTTACTGGACTGTTAGTGAATGAAAGTCTAAAGCATCCTGTGCCTACCATTTGCCTGTTTTTGTCTGTTGACTGAATTTGACTTGTCAGAGTGCTTGCTTGAAATATGATGTGACTGTTGGTGACTAGCCTGTGTAAAAGGCTAGTAGGGGAAGAAGATTGATCGTTTGACTGTCTGTGACTGTTCAGATAGCAGGAGGGTTAAGGAAGAAAAATTGATATCTTTTCACATTGAATTGAATGCCACTTTGCTGGGAATGATGGAAACACTACCAAGATTGTTCAAATTGGGGTCGAATAGTTTTCCCCATATTTTGGTCACCCTCACTTTTTTCGTAACAGTTGATTCTCACCACTGTATAAGATGCGTAACTTCTTGCATTATACCATCGAATAATTCACAGTTCTCAATTTTCCATTAGGTTATTAATACTTTCAAAACACCAGAAGTAAAAAAACAACCCCCATTTTTTTAATGTCAATCCGACCCCACCAACTCCCTCGTGTAATGCATCACCACCTTAGAACTTTCCAATTTCCTTACATTTATGCCTTTCTGGGTTTTGCCCTTCAGTGGCAGAATTTCACGGTATTAGATTAAGGTCTCCCTAACCCATGTTTCCTCTGTTCAACAAGTTACGTATCGATGACTTTTTGACTGTTTTTGGTTGTTATTCTTGTTACTTTCCCGGCAGTTATTTTTATTTCAACTCCTCCGAGGCCTCCAATACTGTCACAAGCGTCAGGTGCTACATCGAGATCTCAAACCACAAAATCTACTCATCAACGACAACGGCGAACTTAAACTAGCAGATTTTGGTAAGAACTCCCGCCCATCCTCCACCCCCCCCCCACCCCCACCCTCCCCCACCCCTCCCCCACCCCTCCCAACACCCCTCCCAACACCCCTCCCCACCCCAATCCACCCCCTCCCACCCCCTCCACCCCAACCCCTCCCCTCACCAGTGTTGCAAGTACTTCCATACTCATTTGTGCCAGGTATAAACCAACATTAGACGTCAAAAACTACAACTCTTTCTCTGCTAACTGTTGCATCATCATCGATGTGGCATAATCAGTTTACTTCTTTTTTTTTATAGCAGTCTGATTAATTGATAAGATTTCTTTTCTGTACACAAAAAACAAATTTCTCACTCAAAACCCCAAAACCTTATTTGTTCATCATCTTACCTTTTATTCTAACTTATGTCATCATGTGCTGAATCCTGTTCCAACGTGATGTTTGCATGTACATTTTTGTTCCTGAAAACGTCCTTAAACAATCTAGAAAACTCATTATAAAATAATACAAAATGATTGATATATTTTAGCACCAACAACAGTGCATGGCTAATTTTAATTGAAGAAATAACATTTTTTTAAATATCAAACAAATTAATTTAATTGACGGAAGGTAAATAAGCGTTTAATTAAACCAAGAAATAATACTGCTCGCCAAAATAGCGATTCCTTTGTTGAGTTTAAAAATCCCTGATGTACATGTAATGATCACCGTGGCCTTTTCAAACTCCTGTTCATGAACCGGTGAGCGGAAGCGAATGCAAGCCTGTGTTTTTCTCTCCAAATCACCCTAATCCTGCAACAGCCCAACAAATCGACGCTCCCTTGTTATTTACGATACTACCGGAATCGTGCTGTCGTCAGATACCGTGCACCAGCCAAGACCAGCTGTCTGCCCATGCAGGGCAGTTAAAGAGAAAAGGTCACCAGTATTTATCACATGCTGTCAAATTAGGCAGACAGCTCCGGCGCAAATAATTCCTAAGAATCCAGATAGACTATTGGTGGTGTTATGTCAGTCGCACTATTTTTTTTTTCTTTCTTTTTTTCTTTGGGGAATGGGTTTGTTTTCTACTTCGTCCCTCAAAAATTTGGTTCTTAGATTCTCATTAAAGGGAATATACATTATTTGCTTTTGCTGTAATTTTCAGAAATGGATGGAATTGGGGGGTTGGAAATATAAAGCAAATATAGTTACACTGACTTTTTGGAGGTTTTGGGTTCGAAAATGCTATAAAAACCAAGAAAAACGATCATTTTCCTGTAGTCTGGTTCCCTGACTCCATATAAGAAGAAACAGAGCAGTTTACATACATTGGGGAATTGTAAGGTCAGGGAACCAGTCTAGCTGGCTCGTACCCGTTCATAGGTTTGTAATCGATTGCAAACAAGTGCAATGGTCAATTGGGGCCAGTATTTGAAAAAAAGCCAGTTGTTTCCAACGCTGATCGGCCGATCAGCGTTGGAAATTGATACAAAAATACCACTTTTCGTGAAAATGACAGTATACCAGGTGCCATAATTTTACAGGATGCTTTAGACTGTCATTTACCAACATCCTATTAAGGTATTTCGCAAAAACTTGGTAGTTTTATTTTTCGATGTTTGCAAATGTTGTATATTCCCTTTAATATTGAAAAGTCACATTTGAATTTGAAGCTTAGAGCTAGTCTTACTTAACTTATTTGAACTTGTTTTTTTTTTTTATTATGTAGTGAAGTATAGCTCTTCAACCATACATAGTGAAAACAAAATCTTTTAAAAATATCGCAAGAATAGTGTTATTATGCCGTCCATGGACAAACATGTTTGGCACATGAAATTTTTTAGCTACCATGTCTCAGAGACAAAATATGCATTTGCAATCATTTTTTTCGTCACTTATGTTTAAAGATCAATATTTTAACACCATTAAATTGAATCTTTGAAATATGCTCAACAAGTAGGTGAAAATTGCTGTCAAAAGTGGGTTTCCTTCTTTTTGCACCACCCTGTAGTTCCGGGGGGAAAAAAACAGACACCTTGCAAAAGAAAAATAGCCTTTCTTCGAACGTGGTTTGTATTCCAGCGATCATCGAAAGTCTTTCAGCAGAGTAATCAAAAGAAACACCTGTCCACATGTGCCCCTTGCCAGGAGGGAAGATGGAGGGTTTCTTTACAATCTTCATGAAATCATGGCCTGACTACCCCATCGACGTTGTCTCAATTCCTGCTTGTTTTTCTGGAGGCATTTTTTTTTTACAAACCACCAGGCTTCATCTTAAGCTTCAGTGATTGTTTAGGCCCATGTCTAAAGCAGGAGTATAATGTTAGGGGCAACAAATTTCTTTAGTAAAATGACCTTGCAAGCCTGTTTTAAAGTTCCTTATTAGAAAGAACTAAAACCTGACAAATTGAAACTAGATGTGCCTCGGTGCAGCTTATTTGTTTATATTTTATATTGAATTTCACTATGTTATTCTGTGAATTATTTATGATACATCCTTCTGGTTAAAATATATTGAAATCACTTCCCTTTTGCCTTTTCAGTTTTCATGCCGTGACATTTTGGCACTGCATCTAAACTGCTCGTAAAAATGTCATGCATGCATTTTTAATATTTTACGTTGCATCACCATGACAGCAAAATAAGACCAGTATTTCAGCCTGAACAGCTGCGCCGTTTAGTGCCAGGCATTGCCATGATATATTCAAGTAGTAATATCATATCAACAATACATTTTTATATTCTGTAGGAATGGATTATATTTATCCCTATAGTCAGTCATGTACCCTTTTATTGAATGATTTGACCTTTGGTGACGTTTCATGACCTTTGACCTCTGCAGGGTTGGCCCGAGCAAAGTCCGTCCCCAGTAAGACGTTTTCCAATGAGGTGGTCACCCTCTGGTATCGGCCCCCTGATGTATTGCTAGGAAGCACTGAGTATTCAACCTCCATTGATATGTGGTAAGTAACTGAGGGCCACGCCCCTGCTACAACCATACCACGCCTTTGCCACACCCCTGTAACAACCCCGTAAAGCTTTAGCCACACCTCTGCCTCACCCCTTCTACGCCCTTGCCTCACCCTTGTCACGCCCTTACTACACACCTGCCACACCCTTGCTACACAACTGTCATGCTCCTGTCACACCCCTGCCATGCCCCTGTCACACCCCTGCCATGCCCCTACCACACCCTGCTCGCCCTGCCACACCCCTGCTACACAGCTGTCACACCCTTGCTACACAACTGTCATGCTCCTGTCACACCCCTGCCATGCCCCTGTCACACCCCTGCCATGCCCCTGCCACACCCCTGCCATGCCCCTGCCACACCCTGCCACACCCCTTCCTCACCCTTGCCTCCTTTACCCTCACCTCCTTCACCCTCACTCCTCCCCCATTCTTCCCCTTCTGTTGAAATTTTTGATGGTATCAACCAAGACATTTAACAGGCAAAACTTGCATTGTTAGCATTTCTTTCTGTCTGCGTGTAAGTTCATGTTAAATTATCTAGCCAGCCTCAGTAATAGTGCATCTAACGCTGCTCTCAATTTGCAGACGCAAAACTGGACCCAATGAATCATTGACAAGGGATGTAGTTTGAGTCCATCAAAAGTCCATCACAAGTAATACACAACTCTATTAACAAGTCCAGTCACAAGAAACAGTGGATGACAAATAACAAGGGAATGCCTTTGTAAAAGCTCATTTGAATAGCTTGTAATTTGAATAGGAATGGAGGACTTGTGATGGACTTGTGATGGACTTGTAGGGGCTGGCAGGGACTTGTGATGGACTGGACTACATCCTTGGTAGTTCCTGGAATGTTTTGAAATGCCACATGGTCCCCTAGAGTCAGAAATTACATTTGGGAAACTTCAAATCCCTTACATTGTATCCTGGGTTGTAAATAAGAAGTCTTTCTTCCTTCTCCCAGGGGTGTTGGGTGCATCTACTACGAGATGGTCGCCGGTAGGCCCCTCTTCCCAGGCTCCACGGTGGAGGACGAGCTCCACCTGATCTGGAAGGTCCTAGGCACGCCCACGGACGAGACGTGGCCGGGCATCAGCTCCAACGAGGAGTTCCTCTCTTACAACTTCCACAGGTACCGGCGGGAACCGCTGGTCAACCACGCCCCGCGGCTGGACGCTGACGGCCAGAGCTTGTTAAGTAAACTCTTACAGGTGGGTAGTCTGAGTGTCTTTGTCGCAAGAGTTTGCAGTAGTGGAAGATGCATAATGTAAGCTATTGGAGAAAAAAAAACACTGCTCCATAAAAGTTAGGTTGGTCAGAATTACATGACTACGGCTAGCAGTCACACACATGTCAATGGGAGGTGACTTCAGCCTCTTCTAGCATGTTTGTTTATGGTGTAAATCGAGGATTTTGTATTGTTCCTCTTCTCTTTTCCTTTGTTTGTACTTTGACTTTTTCGCAACAGCTCTCATTGGTTTTGTACACGTTTTCTAATGGAGGTCGTCCTCGAATTTGGTTCCTGTCCTCGATTCACTGATGATGTTGCACCTATGTCCTCGATTTACACCATAAACAATTGCTGTAGGCACATGTTTAATTGTAAGCCCTAGCCAAGTCCTTCTTATGCGGCCGTATTGTGAATCTAGCCGGTGCAATATTTTCACCATTACTGGGGCGTCCATGAGTGTACCATCACCCACTGTCTGGATTGGTTATCCAAGAGATTCTTCCCCCCCCCCTCCTCCCCCCCTCCCCCCTCAGCCCCCCCCCCCCCCCCCCCAAGAAAAAAAGACACAAATAAAAGCAACATGATACACAAGATCAAAACCATACCAAAAAATGATAAAAGTAAATATAAAGAATAAAATATGGAAATACGTATGCATATGCCACAAAATGTCCGCTGCGTCCAATGAAAACAACCAGGTTTTTTTCGTCTTTTCTCACAGGAATGGTAAGACATTAGGTTAGTTTTCTTTCAACCAGATCTTTGAAGTAGGATAAGTAAACAATCCAAGACATATTTTTATGGGATTTCAGGCTGTAATGTTCCTTTAAAGGTTTGCACGGTGATATCAATTTTGTGTTTTTGGAATCGCTCAATCTCCTGACGACGACGACGGAGAGCATAATGTCCGAAACGTTGTGTTTCCACTGGTTCTTTTCAGAACCACATGATGCAACTCAAACTTATTTGTATGAAATTAATTTTAACATTTCAAATGTGTCACCAGTACCAAGGCAAGAACAGAATATCAGCCCACGATGCAATGCGTCATCCTTTCTTCAACTGCTTCGGACCTCTTATCGCAGACCTCGGTGATGGTAAGTTGATGTTCAGATTTGGGTGTTTTTCAAACCTCGGCCTCTCCCCAGCATCATCTCCAGGATTTTTTTTCAGCCTGTGAGTTTGGGAGCTCCCTCTCAATATTGGTCAATGTTGTGCTTGTACGTATTGTTCATATTGAACATTAGATCTTTTATATGAGGCGAAAGTTCAGACCATTTCCATTTGGGTTGAACATTGAAAGCTTGTAAACATTTCTGAAGCCAGAGGTGAAGCCGCACTGGAGATGAAGTCGAAGTTTGGAAAACCCCCAAACCGAATATATAACAGAGTGGCAGGTCATGGTATTTTTTTTTTCATATTAAGAAACCTGATAGTTGTTTGATAGGATTTAGAGCATTTGCAATTTTGCCCCCCCCCCCCAAACTTATTAACCAGTTCGCGCCGGGGTTATTTTAACATGACCGGACCCAGGCGTGGGATTGTTTTCATGAACCTCGATGCCAGACGGGTTCAGGCCGTCATCTGCGGGTAGCACACCCTGATATTTCCGGCCTCGCTCGCTGCGAGTGGGTCGCTGACAGATATTTCTGGCCTCGCTTATTGCGTGTTTATCTGTCATCCGTTCCGAGTATCGCAAAACCTTTGCATGTATACACGTCATCCGAACCTGCCTGCTTGCCCTGAGCTTAACCACACAAAAGAAGTGTGCAGTGATTTGAAGTGTTATTCGTACTCCACAAATGATTGACTCGGAGAAATTTAAAGTGCAGGGGCTAAGTCTATTCCTCCATGCTTTATGGGCAAAAGTGGTTTTACAAACCTTGAACGGTTGTGAAGTGCAGAAGACTAGAAGTGTTAATTGACGAGAGGTTTAAAATAATGATACCAATACCGTGTGATGTTCAGAGTATTTAATACAGCCCTTGAACATTAACAATTATATAACTGACCCATGGTGATAACTTAACCCATGGTGATTGGGATTTACTATTCAACAATTAGGATCACCCTTGTTCCATGGCGCAGTATTTGTTTGCAAATGCATGCTGGTGTGCGCGTTGCGCGTAGCATTCCCAAGGGGTGGTTTGGAAGAGAGAAATACATTTCCCACCAATTTTGTATTGAAATAGAAGTTCATTTCAACTGCAAATCAAATGACAGATCTATAGTGTCAGTTACATAAAACAAATATTGAGCGGCTTTAAATTGTGAAATGGGAGGAATATTATCGCTCGGTAAAATCTGGACTTTTCCATTTCACTGGGCTAGATTTTACCTTGCGATAATATTCCTCCCATTCCACTCTGAGCCACTCAATATTTGTATACCATAATATGAAATCATATTTAAGAAATGAAGAACCGTAATGTCTCTGTTGCAACAGATAATACTTTATGGAACTCCTAAGCGCATTTCTGGGTAGGGAACAATCTGAAGAGTACCAGTTGCAACATATAAAGCATGATGTTTTTAGTTGGTAACCTGTTGTAGCTGAGCAAATCTTTTCCACGTTAAGCATTATTCCATAGCAGATTTAAAAAGTGCTTGCAAAATCAGAAAAAGCTGATAATTTTGAAAAAAGGCAAAAAAAATCAGTGGACTTCATGACAACACCTTCAACATTTTGGAGATTCTTTTTCCATGGTCTGTTTTACATAATTTCTTTAGGTAATACAATTTTGATTTGATTTCACAATCTTTTCACATTTTTTCTTTCCCTGTTTTTAGAGCATTCAATATTTGAACTCACAGAATGTAAATTGGACAAAGACCCGGGTATCCGAAGCTCGGCAGTATCAGGACAAGGTAAGTAGGTTTCCCACGGTAGTCTACTGGTACATGTATCCCTAATTTGTACCCAATTTATACCCAGCCATTACCCAGCCTGTGCACAGCTGGTACCCAGTTGTCCCCAATTTACACCCAGCCAGCACCAGCTTGTGCACAGCTGGTACCCAGTTGTCCCCAATTTGCAACCAGTCAGCACCAGCTTGTGCACAGCTGGTACCCAGTTATCCCCAATTTACACCCAGCCAGCACCTATCCTGTTCACAGCTGGTACCTAGTTGTACCCAGCCAAGTCCCAGATGCCACCCCACTGATTTCCAAAGATAATCCCAAAACAAGAACCCTCGACTTTTCCTCTCCCTTTTCAACTCCAACAAGAGTTTTGAAGCAATCAAATTTGCCGTTTGTTTGTACTGTTTTTGAGAAAACACATGTTACTCGAAAATGAGTTAGCATGGGTGCTTGTTGTGACTCTAGTGTGCTTGTATTGCTGTATGCAAAGCTTGTTTTCTGTTTCTGTTTTCAAAGCCATTCTGCAGTATTGATCCCCCACCCAAAAAAAAACCACCCCAAAACAAACCTTAGACAAACACAACAGACCAGAGATGAGGTTGACAGTCAGCAGATTTATACCTGCCGATGTAAAATATTTTTTGGGTAGAAAATAGTAAACCATGCTATAAAGTGCTGCGGTGGTTTCCTGTTTTGGTCTTACTCCGCCCAAGAAATTTCAATTTTTGTTGGAATGATGCTGCTTTGATATGCACACATGGTTGTTAGCCAGCATGAAAGTTGATGTATTAAAGCCTGATGCTGTAGTGGACTCGGTGCACAAGTACGCCCTTAACGGTTAAAATGGGAGAGTTTGGAGGGAGACAACTCCAAAGATTAAATGCATTAACTCTTACACGTATTGCTGAGGCCTGACGCTCAGAATCAAATTAACTGTGCGTACTACGCACATTACGCGCATGAACCAGCACCCTCACGTGATGTGCCCCTCCACTGCAGCCCTTAAAGGTGGCCAACAAAAGCGCCACCTCTTGTTTGTGGGCAGAGTCCATAAGCAGTATTTAAGATATCCGGGGTGACATTTGTCAGGATTTTTCCTGATTTCAGGATTTTTTGTCAGGATTTTTCCTGATTTCAGGAATTTTTGTCAGGTTTTTCCTGATTTCAGGATTTTTAAAGAATGACTTTTGAAAACTGAAATTCCTGACGATCTATTGTAAAGGTGTTTTTGCCTATGAACGTTTACATAGAACAAAAGAAATGGGTGTTGTAAGGAGTGCCTTCTAGGCAAATACAAACACATACCGTAGACGCTACATTGCTCCGGGGCCCTCAGCAACTCTCAAACCCTGGGCTGATTATTTCGTGGATGTTTCATTTTCCACCAATCGTTCCCCTGAGATACATGTACGACACTCATAATGTTAAAGGTGGAGATTTGAATGCATCTCAATTTTTGGATAAGGGTAAAGAAATGGTTAACGCCATTTTTAAGGTGTTATGCAGAAGTGCATTTCTAGGATCGTAATTTTCTTGTTACTTCATGTATTTCATTTTCCCAAATTGAAATGTTCCCATCCATTCCTTTGGGGATAAAATACGGTATGTGTAATTTTTTAAGTTGTACAAAGAAATTGATTGGTGTGAGGTGTGAACCTGCGACCTCCGGATTACCGTTCCGGTGCTCTGCCAACTGAGCTATCCAGCCCTATGTTGGCGGCTCCCCATTTTGTCAATGTCTTTGTTCTAGGGGCGCTAGTCAGAAGCCATAAACCCCTATATGTCATGTAGCCAGGGATCACGCTCAAAGTCACGATGCTAGCAACATCAGCAATGCTGCAAACCCGGGAAATAGCAAACAGGGATCACTCAGAGAGGGTGAAGCTTTTTCATTACAAACTTTCAAATAAACCACAAAAATTTCATTTCCCGTTTTGGTTTATTTGAAGAAAAAAAAAGAACATTTAATTATTCGCTTCGTTTTTTTAGCAGATTGTCTTTTCACTTTTCTATGTTTGGTAACATATGATCCATCATACCTTAATTAAATATCTTTTTATTGTTTTTTTTAGCCTCTTAATTACTGGTAGCTTAGTATTCCTTATTATGTTATTATTATTCCTTAAAATAGTCAGTTCTGTTCCTTGCTCAGATGAAAAAAAATGTTTGTGTTCCCCTGATTTTGGTGTTTCAATAACAAACTGTTACGTCTTATACTTGGCATGGAAAAATGCATATAGTTGTGCACATCACAATCAGTCTTCAGCCTTAATTGCTCCAGATTGTTTGTCTGGTAATAATTATTGTGTTGACTCTTGAAACCATCCTGCTTCTGCATGATGCTGAAAAAATTCCAATCTATAGATTCCTTAATTACTAAGCACCGTCTATATCAGAACTTTCAATAATCTTTATATCGGAAAATCCTGTACCGAGAATATTCAATATATCAATTATCCCATGTAAAAGTTAAAGCCCTTAAAAGATGACACTTGGATTTAAAAACAACAAAATAATATTAAGTCCCGATTTTCCACGGCTTTCTCTGGAGCATTTTGCTCAAGCTTTTTAAAACACATCTCAGCACTGAGAGTTTGTCCAGAACGGGTGGTTTCTTTTCAGGTTTTACCTTAGGGGAGACCTTTCCAGCGAACTTTGAGCACAAAGCGACGCCGCTTGACATTTCGCGATGTTTTTATTTTGAGTCACAAGCACAAGTTGCCGCCAAGTTTCATTTCATTATACAGCAAACACAAAGTAAAACCACACACAGGAGATTTATTTTGAAGATAATCTGACACATTTTTGATATTTTTGATATCATTCCTAAATGTCAAACATTTCGATATTTTGATATGATTAAGAAATAGATTTTGATATCGACGATATCGATATCAAAATAACATCGAATAATCGAGTAATATTGATATATCGACGGTGCTTAAAAGTTAAAGTCTGCACTAATTAATGCAAGGATAGTCCTTATTCAAAGTTTGAAACTTGTTTAAATTGCAATTTACATGTACCACGAACCAATTTTCTTGGCCTGCAGTGTCTATTGAAATGCTCAAAACTTGCATAATCCTAAAACCATAGCAGTTCAATTAAACATTTTTTTTATTTGAACAGTCAAATGTTAATTTGAAGGCTGTACCTGCTTCTGTGGCTTATGTCATTGTCACCCCGCTGTGTGACCTGCCACAACCGTGGACAAAAATGTCAATATAGATGAAGAAGTTTCCCAAGCAATTTGGTTTTTTTCCCCTGCAATTTGATATTATCTCCACTCTTGTCTCGCCTCTCCAAAAATTTGTCTTTCTGACACTCGCAAATCCAATTTCATTTCCAATCACCAGCAGAGATGTAAAATAAACACTTGCGAAAACGCGGAGATTAGCCTAGAGGAAGAGAGACCGCAGTGGGACGCGCAATGTGATTAGGACCCAATCCTTTATACCTCGAACCTCCTGATTATTCCTTGATTATCTGAAAGGTGTAGTCTGCCGAGAATTTTACAAGTTTGAATAATAACTGAAGCGCTTGACAAGGAAAATAAGATTTGGCCTCTTGCCGTTAGCTAAGCACCGCATGAGAACATTTTGTTGTGCAGATGAAAATGTGGATGTTCTTGCTTTAGGGATCAAAGATGAGATTGCTCTTCTGGAAATTTGCAGGGGACTTACGGGGCCCTGTGTTGTAGGTCTTGACCCCCAGATTGCTGATAAATTGTCAGACTTTATCTTTTTTTTAAGCATGAATTTGGAAATATTTGCTAGATTGACAAAAATCCTCAAGATGTTAAATTCTCAATAGCTACCCATATGTTTGTTTAACCATGGCCGCACCCCGCTTATGTTATGAAATGAAATGCTGCCTGTTAATAATGTTAAAGGTCATATGCAACATGTACATTTGCTGTAGTTTTTATAAACGGATGGATTTGGGGGTTAGTATGTTTATAGCAAATATTGTTACACTGATCTGTTTAAAGTTTGGTGTTCATAGATGCTGGGGAAAAAAACAAGAAAAAAATGGTTTTGCTGTAGTCTGGTTCCCTGTCTGGTTCCTTTCAGAAGAAACGGAGCAATTTATAGACGTCGGGGAATTGTCAGGTCAGGGAACCAGACTAACTGGCTTGCACCCATTCACGGATGTTTAACCGATTGCAGACTTTTTGGAAGTGATCCAAAAATTCAACTTTTCTTGAAAATGACAGCACACCAGGTGCCATGATTTCACAGGATGCTTGAGACTATTATTCACTTACAGTCAAGGAAGGTGTTTCATAATAATTTGGTAGTTTTGTTTTTTGATGTTTGGAAATGTTGTATATTACCTTTAACTCAGCTCCATTTCTGGTAGTTAAATATTTACGCTTACGAAACTACTGACCGGAAAACTTAACAATTTCAATTGTCCCACATGCAAATTTGTCAACCATCTCCCACAATGCACTGGGAAAAATGAACTCTCCGTGGAAAACTCTTGGTGGCGCACTGCATTGTGAATCGCCCGAATTCTATGGCCATTGTTCTATCTGTGCACGATTTGAGATAGGGGGGCGGGTCCCTCCCCCAGTGTCCCTATACCCTATCCACACTCTAGACTATTGTTACCTAACACATCCCCCTTGATTTCTCAAAGAGATCCTGAGATTTCAGGAACCAATGACCAACCCAAGGGGGGGGGGGGTCCCTCTGTTGCATATGCTGCTTGAAATGCAAGTCAATCACATGTCGAATCACAAGTGAGGTCAGCTGATGGTTTCAAAGAGCCTGTGACCCTGCTGTGACAAAGGAATGGTATTTTTTTTTCACAGTTCACTTGAAGAGTTTGTGACTGAAAGACTTGTGATTGATTTGGGATAACTTTAATTGTGATGACTTGTTGCAACATTAACAGTCACCCCAGCATGTAATGCATTGGCCTGAATGCATTTGCACAGAGTTCCATGGTGTAACCATAAAGTGGTGTACATGTAACCCTAAGATACCCTAAGATACCCTAAAGGCTTATGAATAAGCTTTGAATGAAATGCATGTCACCTGCTAGATTTGAGGTTTATCAATTGACATATATGCTGTAAGGCCCCTTGCAAATTTCAGAAGAAATTTTGATATTTCCCCTGCACCCCGCTCTGATCCCTGCATGCCGACTGTGAATGTTTTTTTTTTTTGAAAAGCATTGTGTCTGTTTAACGTTACATTTTTCTCATTGTTAACTTATTTTTTGCCGTTTCTCTCTTTCTCTCCTTCATTTCTCATCATTTCCCTTCCCTTCCTCCATTCCTCGTAAATGTCCTTGCCTACTTATGCCCAAATCCTCAATTTGACTTTTTGTCCTCTAATCTTCCACCCCTAACATTCCCCTATTTCACTAATTCTCCTTCCATGTCTGCCGAACCCAATTTTACTGCCCCTCGCCTTGGTCTGTCTGTCTAATTGTGTTTGTGTGGGTGTGTGTAACCGTGTTTGTCACTCCGTCCCTCATGTCCGTGTTTCTTCTTTCATGTATGTGTCCTAATCTGTTTGTTTTCACCCTGTCTGTTGGTCCACATGTTGTTGTGTCCGTCTGTCTGTTGTCCTCCATCTTTGTCATTTCTTGTCCATCATCCTGTCCATTTTTTCCCCCTAATCCACACCCCTCCCCACACCCCTCCCCATACCCCTCCCCCATCCATACGCCCCTCCACTTCTTCCTCCCTCCATGGTTTATTCCGCACAGATAATTGCAAGGATCCAACCACAAAGCATGCCTATCCAAACTGTGGCAGGTATATATTCTAAGAAAAAAGTTAAATGCTTTCTTTCGGGAATTTTTTTTCTAGCCTAGCACCCCTTTCTGCTTCGAAAGTTTACTTCCCAATTAAATAAAAAATAAAAAATTAAACTGTAATAAGGTGGTGGGATTTCAACTTCAGCAGAAGTTGTTGGTTTTTTTTTTGGGGGGGGGGGAGGGGGATGTGGGGGGGTTTTGAAGTTAATGATGGTGGGATACTGATAGGGATTGGGGGATAATGATAGGGATGGGGGGGGGGGGTGGGGCAGAGTTCGCTAGCACCCATTGCCTCTTCCAAGGTAACTGTGACTGCAAATCTCTATCATGAAATAGTAAAGGAAATACAGAGAATGATGGGTCCATTTGATGCACAAAAGTGTCCCTGTCGCTAGTTCAGCAGAATCAGTAGAATGATAGCTGAAAAAAATATCCGTTATCAGTGTCCTTGGATATGGCGTTGGCTGCAAGCAAAGTTTGGGGGTTGGGCTGGGATCAGGGAAGGAGACATTGGGAGGGGGGGGGGGATGTCCAGACCCCATCTCCTATCTCAGGCCTTCCTCAGAATAATAATAATAACGGAGTCTTATATAGCGCACGTATCTACCAACAGTTAGGTACTCAAGGCGCTGGAAATGTAGTTCAGGTTTGAAAATGGAGACATTCCCAAGTCCTTACTCGTTGTTTGTGCATAATTACTTGTATAGCTTTCTTTTGCAGTATTGCTGTCTTAGCTAGATTGTCAGCGCAGACAAGCGCTGAAAAAAAGTAGAGTGCAGTACTGCTGCAGTAGTGTTGTCAGTCCAGGCTAGAGTTGCCACCAGTCCTGTTGTTTTCATTTTGCAGTATATCCGCAACTGTTCCTCATTAGACTAGGCAATTTCTTTTGCTATCTTTGTACACCCCCTGAGTTGAAATTTGTCTACCTTTTTTTTCTGATTTGTGAAAATCAAAACTCATATTTGTGTTTCCATGCGTTTACGTCATCAAAAGAAATAAGTGTTCCTACTTCCTAGCACATTCCAAATTTATACTTTTACGTCGACCTGGTAAAAAAAAAAATGAAACATAAAATACAAAAAGTAGTCCTCGATGATACCGGTACCGGTAGATCATTTGCCCTGCATTTTCACTCTCATTAACATTGTTTTCCTTTGCAGTCGAAATCAGGAAGATCCATGACCCATGACTTAAAATTATAATAATCCTTCTAATCAACTCAATTCAGTTTTAAAATTAATTTTACACAAGTTTCTGCCAGTACTGATCATTTCATGTTTACATTGGTGCGGGATGCATGTAATGAACAGCCTAGTGTTTTGAACAGATAACCACGATGCAAAAAAAAATTTAAAAAATTGAAATCTCACTTTCCATTTTTTGCACATTGACATAATATATTTTTTTCCTTTCTCTGTAACAATATATCCAGTTATCTCAATTATATATATTTTTAGAATTGGAAAACATTGTTTCATCCCCTTTCATTGTGCTTTTTGTTTATTAATACAATTGCAACGAATAGCAGTAAATAATGTGTGTACCTGTTCCAGTGCATGTATACATGTATTAAACAAGTAAGGCATTGCAGTGTTGAATTTCCACATTTTGATTTTTACTAAAAAAAACGTAGCAAGGCACAATGTCATAGAACTAGCTGAAAATAGAAGAAAACAAATTCCGCCCCCAAACTTTTCCTAAAATTCACATGCTCAGCAAAACGTAGTGGCAATAAGCCTCTGCACTGATGACGTCACACTTACACATGTGTTTACACGTGTGCTTTGTTACTGAAGCCTGGTGGGGACGACGGTTTCATAGCCCCGTAGAAAAGCGCACAAGTAAACAAAGTGTGACGTCACCAGTACAGAGGCTTTAATTAGAAGCTTACAACCGTAGATCCATGTATTTCAATAGCTGTTTCTATTCTCCTATAAGCAACATAGGCTGTCAATGATACTGATAGCATATACGTACTGAGCTGCTAAGCTCAATAAGTATATTAATAGCAAAAATCTACAAATGTTCACAAATCACAAGTGTGTTATGATGTCTGAATAAATGATAAAAAGTGCAGTGCAGATCTTAATATACATGTATTTGTATCAGTAGAAAAAAATGTGTAATACTTCAATTTACTTAAACATAGCTAGACTGCATCAACATGGCACCATTGTAGATTGTTCTTTTTTGCCCAAAATCTTCGCTATGCAAGACTTTCCTGTGCTTCTTTTATGCATTTACCGGTAGCAGCTCAATAAAATTTGCTTAGAAAAAAATATTAACAAAAATTAGAGTACTAATGACAAAAAAAGCAAGAACGGACGAAAACCTTTATCCAAATATTTACAAACTTGTTCCATATTTCCTTTGCTTTCTCTAGGTCCCATTCGTGGCAGACGGCAAAGCATGGTGTACTGAGCACGTGACGATGACCCCTGACCACGATGACATCATCATCATTGATTGGACATGCAAGGACGCTCGTTTCCTACAATGCCCCGCCCCTTTTTCTTAACACCTGCTGTCTGTGTATAAGCAGGTGTCGGCACTTTGAGCCCCGTTTTTATTACCACCCTCCCTGTAGAGGTAGTACGGTAGACAGTTTTTGTAAGTCTCACCACGCACCTGGCTTAAGAAGGTGATAGAGGGCGCCCTTCAAATACAATACGGCAGCTGTAGGGGGCAGTCTTCAGTAGAACTGATTGGCCAGTTAAAAGCGCAACTTGGTTGACTTCCATAAGAATGCTGAACTCCGAGTGGCGTGTTAAGAAATTCAAGCAGTTGTCTTGTTTCGTGGGATGGTCGACATGCAAACAATTCAGTTAAATATGACCGTGGTCTTTTAAGTTAATTTGGAGAATTCTGCTCAAGCACCTCTGATCATACACCCAGTAACTTGGGTGCTAGAAATCCTTTTTCCTTTTTGAATTTTGGTCTGGATTGGTCATCATCGCAGTGCTCACTGCTTGAAACAAGATCGTGAAAAACAACTATGCATATCGGGGTAAATCAATGACTCTTTCGTGAAAGGAGACGCACTATGACCGCATTAGGGCCTGTAGCCACAATGCATCTTCAACCATTTCACAAAACAGTAGTTTTTTGCTATCTCTGCATGCGGCGGATTCATTTTGTTTCAAGCAGTGTGCCTTGTGATGGTGACAACTTGTCAAATTTCATCGATTTGCAACACACAGAATGATTGTGAGTACCATTGAAGCCCCAGTAGTTGGTCAATAGGCAACTTAAGAGGTATTCTTCACATCTTTGTTACCGTTTTAACAGGATATGAGGCACAGTATGAAATATATATTCACCTGGGGCACTAGTATGACAAAACCAAAATTTCAAAAAAAGGTTCTTGTTCTCCAGTTACTGGGTCTACCCTTTTCAAGGCAGAAGGCCAGTTATTATTGTTGCCTATAAAGTGAGCTTTTCAATTCGAGATCTACCAAGCAACAGAATATTTGTTGGACAGGTGTGGTTCTCATTATATGGCACTTTTAAGTCAAAGTATTCTCTGCGTTCCTGCCCACTAGAGGGCGCCACACGCACCATGCAACAAGGTTAAAGATGACATTTCACCAGTTACCATTTACAGACATTTAACGATGGATATCAGGCATATGTAGGATAAAAATTACTTGTTATTTCTGCTAATTACATGCTCATCGCTGGAGATACATAATCCCGCAGCCTGGAGATACATAATCCCGCAGCGATGGCATTGCTGTACAAGAAAACATTTGATCAGAAAGATGTCGCGATAAATGTTTATCTTCACCAACAAATAAGGTACAGATGTACCGACAACTACATAGACCCACTCACAAATCCTTACACATGAATCCTGCGAGGCTTAGAACTCAGAGGAAGAAGTCAACCTGTTCCTTACTGAGCTCGATGATTTCTCCTTTTCTGAACACTTACGTAAGGCCCACAGCTAATTGTTCATAAAAATAGCGGTGCAACTGTACACCTTACTTAGGTATTAAGCAGTGCCTGACAAGCACAGACAACTGTCTCTGATGTTTGTAGAGAAATTGTGAGGCGACTATTTTTTTCATATGCTTTTGATGTCAAACTACAGATATCTTCTCCTCAGTAGTTTATTATTTTATTAGTTTATACATTTGTTTTACATTCCTCTGTTTTCTTTTGTTCTTAAATTGCCCAGATTTTTAGTGATGTGTTACATGTGGTCCCTCCATAAATGAATGTTTTTAAGTAGACAATTTTTTGTTAGTGTAAACTGATGATGAAACTGTTATTTTATAATGCTCAGTAATATTCAGTTGATTTGAACTCGGTGTGTATTTTGGTCGTGAGTGAAGAGAAACTGCTCTCTCGTGTTGTTTCCTGATACTGTGACATCCATGGAGTAAAGGAGATTTTTTTAGGAATTTAGTAGGCAAGTGCAACGATTGTGGCTGTATAGGGACAGTTATACATTTGAACCTTGTCTTTTTTTGGTTGTTTTGTTTGTAACTTAATACCCCTGAAACCGAAACCTCACTTGCACAGCCCACCCCCTAAATACCCCACCCCAGTTGAATGTCAGTGTTTTACCCTTTCCAACAAGTTTTGTTGTATAATTTCTGAATTATTTCATCCTCTAAAGCTGATGTAAAGGTGATGCTGACAATCGCACTGTTCTGTGCCACAAGTTCACTGAATTCTTTGAAAAAACAACACTATTTCATATATGCAATATAATCAGTAGACGAATTCCAACGATTTAGTGAATCATAAACACTGCCCACTATTTTCAGTGATCCTGACTCCCCCCCCCCCCTTTGGCTCATTGTAGCCTCGCCCACAAAGTAGTTGATATGAATAAACACACTGAAAACTTTCTACCTGCGTATATCACAAAATAATCAATTTCCATCAATACTGTAATTAGTATGTATTAATTGACTCCGTCGCTGTTTCAATTTGAAAGAGTTTTTAAAGTTTGAGACTAGCAAGCCCTATATATATATTTTTTTGAACCAATGGAAAGATTACTGTTAAATCCCCTTTAACTATTCTTGAAATTTGCCTGGGTTTGCCCTAGAACTATATGATATCTCCGCAATTTAAGATATAGTTAATTACTATAGGTAGAATCTCTAGTTTAGTTAGATTTATTATTGTGCATTGTAAGCCAACACTTACAATAAATTATTTAATCCAAATCACTACAACTCATTTTCAACAAGCACATATATTCTGTAGCTACTATTTGCAGGGATTCTTTTGTCCAAAGAAAATTGTCAAAATTAACCAAATCACACATAACTCTAGGTTTTCTTTTATCCCCCCCCCCCCCACAGAAAAAAACAGAAACATGTATCTTTTAGCTTTTGAATTAGTTTGAAAATTAGGTATAACTTTTCTCCAAAAGTTAGGTTCCTTTTGTATCAGTATTTTGTAAAGTTAGTTCCATTGTGTCATACCTCAAACTTATCTGAGCTCCCTCTCCCCCTCATGAAAACAAAATTTGAAATTCAGTCGCCTTGTTTGTCTTTTTTTTTTTTTTTTTTTTTTTAATATTAAGCGACATATGACATTTCCCAAATTTTTTTTGCGTAATTGCCCAACATTTTTGTAAAAGTCCAGTTGAAAATTCACAGTCTTTTCCCCTACAATGGCAAAGATTGCCTTTTGTCTACTTAACAGAAGTGCTTTTTTATCAAATACCCCATTTTTTTCCATAAATTCCCATAAAATGTTCTTATATTTTCCATAAATATCCCCTCCCCCAATTTTTCTTTTAGGTCCTTAATGGAAAGTCAGTGAATAAAATACTTTTAGTTGACTTGACTTCTATACATGTATCTAAGCTGACTTTGACAATTTAGGGACTTACTCGACAACAAATATACAGGAACCTTGCATCACAGTCACCATCATCATGTTATCATACCTACCATACAGATAAGCATATTTATGTGTACCACTGAAGAAAACCCCCCAGATTAAGAGCATGCATCTACTTTTACTGTATACTAACCGTTGATGCCTTCCAACCACATAAATGTTATTATAATGTACATAAACTTAATTATTGTAACGATACATATTTAAATGTAAAGTAAATAAAAACAAAAGAGTAAGTGCTGGAGTTGTCAGTTAAATGTACGTTGGGGAGAGTTTTTGACACCTGTAGGGTAACGATGTAATGTTAATTAACTTAAATTCTGAAGTCTGTTGAGAACACGGTTGTGTTAAAATGGTAGGCGAGCAAGTTTGGGTGAGTTGTAACTCCTGATGACTTGTGCATAAAGAAAATACATGCATGCATCTTTAAACGTATGTGAACTGCATTTTGCAGGAAGCGGTTTTCAAGGAAAGGCCTGTAGCATTTCGCAATTTGAGGTTTAATTTAAACATGGTTATTTATTTTATATGAAGGCTGGGGGTGGGAGGGGTGTCAGGCATACCCCTTTTTTGAGAACTGTATAGATCAATTCGATAACGTTATCGCTGTACATCATCATGGAGACCCTCTTTAATGTTGAAAGCTTTGTGACGGCTATTTTCAGACCTACCAAGTGTCGTGCCTCCAGGGTGTGTTGCGTACACGCCTCCGGGGTGTGTCAAACGCCTCCAGGGTGTGTCAAACGCCTCAGAGTCAATTCACACGCTCACATGCCAGCAATCGTAATCTCATGCCTCATGCTTAATTGTTCTAAAAATGCATTTTGGGAGTTAGTTTTGGGGGGTGTTTAAGCATTTTGGCAATTTCGGTTCTGCGCAAAGATCGTTAGCAGCGCGCAGCGTGGTTCTGCATGGACGACAGTGGTGTTCCAATCAAACATGTTTCTGGTTATGGTTGCAAAAACAACCCTCAACGCCATTGACCAAAAGAGACACCCTCATCCCCAGGGCCTTGAGCCCAGGATACATTATGATGGCTTTTGCCGCACACACTGTCACACTCCCAACTTTTGTGTGATCTTGGCATATCTCTGTATTTTCCAGATAACCTGTCACGGGGCAATTGCTTTGTACAATAGCTAGCACAATGCTTTCGCCATTGAAGGGGGCCTCTTCAGTGTACAGTGATGGCGCGCTCGGAATGGTCTATAATTTTGTTCATGGTAAAATGAATCATTCGCTTGCTTAGATTGTGCTGTATGCAATCACCGTTTCTAAACAAACATTTGGAATTTCTCATTGCTGTCTTTATAAGACAGCGTAGCACGAACGACGGTTTTTGAATGACGTCACATCTGAGGGGCAAGTCTTTGAGTATAGGCGCATTGTACATTCATTGTCACTGAATTGAAATGATAAAAGCTGACCACAGGAGGGCGCACTATGCATGAGGTCTGTTGTTTTTGCTGGCAGCGGTCTAATACCACAAGTAGTTGGCCAACGCCAAAGGCAAGAACCGATAGACGCATGCCGACCTCAATTGTAATACTGTGTCATATTTTATGCAAGGAATCTAATTGATAGTAGTAATGTATCAGCATGTACGATATTCACTCCGGTTGTATGTGCACAAGTTTGTGGGGGGTCATTAATGTATTATGGTGATCAGCATCTCATTCATATGCAAATTTTCAGGTTTGAACAGTCCAGAGATGTCAGAAGTTGTATTGGTTGATTGTCCATATATCGTCTGTGCCGACATCCATGTGTGAACACTGGAATAAATATAAAGGGAAATTTAGATTAAAAAAAAATAATGAAATTTGTCATGCTGCATAATTCTGAGAACAAACCCAAAATCTTTTGCAGTAACATGTGACCAAACATTAGAGAAAGTGTCATTGGTTTATAGCGCCCTCTTTTGGTGTGAATGTGACAGTTTGGATCAGGCCATTAAGCAAAGCTTTGTGTAAAATTGGGGGGGGGGGTATTTTAGGGAAATGTCAAATCATCTGATTTAGCATTGTTTGTTAGTTGATCATGAGTTGTCTTACTGTGTAATGCTGATTGGTTTGTTTTATATGCATATGTATGAGTCTGACTCATTTGCATATTTGCTATCCTTACTGGTTTTAGCAAGTTGGCTGGGCAGCTTTCATGGCTCATTGGCTACCTCCAAGTGTTTGTTTCGTCCAACGATGACTGAATATTTTTGTCAGTCCACTGTTAATAAAAACCAAATCCACCTCCCCTTGAAACACAGTCGAACAGATTGCATAAGTGAATTGGGAAGTCCAAGTCCCAACTGCACATGGAAAATCAAATTTACAATCTTAATTTTTTGTAAAAAAATCTAAAGCATCCAAGAAGGTTTTTTTTTTAACTTTGTACTTACTGCGCAACAAGGCTGTTCCTCATTGTCATTGTTGCATTCTATTTATAATCTTGCATGCATGATATAGTAGATTGTTTATCATGAGGGGGAAAAAAGGTGTGAAATCTTGGTATGCATGTGCAGTTTGAATAGACCTTATCCGTAGCAGCCATCTTAAGAGGGCAATGCCTTTGTTTTGCTGGGATATGCATGAGTGGATATTTTGTGCATTCATTGTTACAGAATTGAAATAATGAAAGATGCCATCTAAGATGGCCGCTACGCATCGAGGTCTATACTGAACTGTCTCATTACTAAAGTACACTTTTGACTGCCATCATTCATCAACAGAGGGCGCTATACTACTATTATAAATATCATCTCAATTGTGGTTGAAAGGGTCTCTTAGTTGTGGTGAAAGAAGTTGTGGCTGCAAAAACCTTGGATGTCCATGTTCTACACAATCATAGAAAAAATGGGATTGATAATTTCAAGTGATCGTTGAAAAGAAAATTGTATTAAATATGAGGGATTCAATTACTGATGTAAAGTCTGCAAAAATCAGCAATCTGGTGATCATTGTAAATAAGGCAAATGATTTTTTTTCCAAACTTGTTAAAATTACATCAAAATCATGATGGAGAGATAATAAAAGCACAAGTTAAAAAAAAAATGCAACTGAAGTAAAGCTTTCCTTGTTTGAAGTTTTGTTGGATGTTTGAGAGATTTAGCAAACTAGCAGCAAACTTGGTGGAGTTGCTGAGTAGAGCGGAGCATACCATGTTACAGGCCAAATTGTGATGAAATTTATGGACTATTCCAAGCATGCTATGTCCCTGTACCCTCACAGCGGCCCCTCTAATGGCGGAAAGCATTGTCCCAGCTATTGTTCAGATAGTCTGTTGTGGGTACTTTGCTTTGTACAATAGCATGCACAATGCTTTCCCCATTGAAGGCGGCCTCATGTCTATTATTAGGCCCCAAAAAAAAATATTCGGTCTCTGGTCAGACCAAAGTTCCGGAATTGACACGGCGACGCATTTTTTTTTTTTTTTCAAGCTTGGATTTTACAGACAAGGTGGGGTTTTTGCTTTTTGGTGTCCTCATGTACATTGGTGTCCTCCATAATTTGCCTTGGTGCTCTCGATCATTTGCCTTGGTGCAATTTCCTATTCCTTGGTGCTCTTTGGTAAAAAAAAAATTGAGGAGGTGCGGCAATAGAGGGCGGTGTTGGAGCTACCACGGAATATTTTGGAGAAAAAAAAGATTGACGCGCATGATTAAAATCGACGCGCGCGCTGACCAGAGACCGACTTATTAATTTTTTTGGCCTTATATAGTTTACAGTGGCGGATCCAGCATTTACGGACAGGGGGGATGCCCGAAATGTGGGTGAACATTTCTGGCTTTGAAGAGATTAAATAACCAGTTAACAGCAGAAGAAACAGGCAAAAAAGACGACACCTATTAAAATATTTAAAACAATGAAAACTGAATAATGGGGGGGGGGGGGCGGGGGAGGTGAGGGGGGGGGTTGCTACCTGCTGGGGAAAAAAATCAGGTGGGGGGTTGCTACCTGCTGGGGAAAAAGATCAGGGGGGGCCTCCACTTTTTAAAATTTACTTTTGTAAAAAATTATCTAGGAAATGGCTGGGGAAGTGTAGGCTATCGATTGTCAGCAGAACTGAAAATGGCTGCGTAATAAATAAAAAGGCTTGGATTTCCACAACGCCTTTCATTTTGTCAAACACCGGCTATCGTAGTGGATTTGCCCAAAGTTCTTACCCATCATGCCTTGTTCCGGAAGAGCTCAGTATCTGCTGAAATTCTGTCGCCATTTTCAACGTGACTGCAAGTTGGCCGCAATAAAAACTGCCGGTTTTCGGCGGAATTAAAGCGGGTGTGTGCGACGAAAACCCCGCATTTTGATATTTGCGTGCAACCAGATAGGCGCCCAGGGCAACAGGCAAAATGAGTGGTTTACCGAGGAGAATTACTAAGGTAATTGAAGTGAAATAACACACCCTTTTTCGTGTTTTCCTCAGTCGAGTCGTGTTACAACAACAGTAAAGTTTATGGCGATCGTGTAGTGTAGGGCCCGGTTCCTATAAGGAAACAAACTCCTCTTAAAAATTATTAGAACGACCAAACTAGTTGGCGACATTCTCAATAAACAGGTATGACACTCATAGATTAGAGGGCAGGGTTTTGAATTTTTGAGTGAAATTTGGGGGTAAGATGACGATGACAGCGCGGCTACAACACGCAACTTGAAAATAAAGATGGCGACATTATGACATTAAAAACATGTAGGTATGTCATAGATAGAAGGCAGGGTTTTCAATTTTTTAGGGAAATTTGGGGCTAAAATGACGATGACGATGACAAAACACAACACGACAATAAAGATGGCGTCACCACGATGTATACCGCACTGAATCGAAAGGGTCGCACTAAAAAGCGTCAACACAGCGTCAACACAACGTCAACACATGACAGAAGCGTCAACACACCGTCAACACATCCAAAACACATTCTGAATTAACAGAAAAGGTATATAATTGTAAAGCATAGAATAAAAGCTTGGACTACACCATTTCAAGTAGGGGTGTGCAAGTAATCTTGTCATAAACAACAGAGGGTGTCTTGCTGCAGAGAGGGACACCAGTGCACTCTGATCTGTGAGGGACTGAGGTTTATTGTACAACGCTATCACCCTTTAGCATAATGGTATGGTCCGCGCTGCCACTGAGGCAACATGGCAGCCGATCTCGGAGCGGCACGGAGAGCCAATTTTCTTGAACTGAAAATCGCAATTTTCAGACGTTTAACCTATTGATTTTAAGCCAAAATCTTGTTTCTGTCCATACCATATGGGCTACATACTGCTTTTGTTACTTTTAATGCATTTTGGATGTGTTGACGCTGTGTTGACGCCGTGTTGACGCTTTGGAGTGTGTTGACGCTGTGTTGACGCTTTTTAGTATGACCGAATCGCACAGCACCAACCGTAAACCGCTTACGAAAAACATAATTTCTACCCCAAGAAACTGTTCAAAATTACAAAAAAGTGCCATTAGAATTGAGAGAAATCTGCTTTAGGTTAAAAAGGTCATTTTTGAATGATAAAAGACGGCCTTGACCCTAATTTGATTGAAACTAAGCAGGGGTCCTACATAGGTTTGTGCACAAATTGCGTGGTTTGTTTGTCATCCAATCCCAAGATGCATTGCGAATATGGAAAATGTTTAATAAACATTTTGTTATCATTCCAAAATTACTTTTTCATCCTAAAACAGACTTCCCTCAATTCTACCAACACCTTTTTTGTCATTTATAACTTTTTCTTTATGTTCTTGGGTACAACTACAAGTAGGTAAAAATTTAGCCCCACTAGTGTGGCCGTCGGTATGCTGCGCTGAACCTAAGGCCACACACCGTGGTCCGCGCACTACTGAGGACGTTTTCATAAAATTTGCAGGGAATTTCTTACATATGGTTGTATTCTACGATGTCCCATCTATCACATCTGGGATGCTTAGGTGTAATGATGTTCAATTTTCCGAGATATTCTTGAATCTTTCTGGAGCCCATATGCACTCGTGAAACGTCCGGTGATGGCAGCCATTTTGAATGTGACAAGAGATGACCTCAAGCTGTGACGTCGCGTTTATGCAAATTGCTTGTCGCGCGAGGGCGCGGGAGCGAGTTGCAAATGCGACGGCTGTTTCCTGTGCCGTAGATCCTGAATAGAGATCAGTGCACGTGGCCCCCAGACGATAAATGCATGGTACAGGAAACAGCCGTCGCATTTGCAACTCGCGCCCTCGCTCGACAAGCAATTTGCATAAACGCGACGTCACAGCTTGAGGTCATCTCTTGTCACATTCAAAATGGCTGCCATCACCGGACGTTTCCCGAGTGCATATGGGCTCTAGAAAGATTCAAGAATATCTCGGAAAATTGAACATCATTACACCTAAGCATCCCAGAAGTGATATATGGGACATCGTAGAATACAACCATATGTAAGAAATTCCCTGCAAATTTTATGAAAACTTCGTCCTCAGTAGCGCGCGGTACCACGGTGTGTGGCCTTAGGTTCAGCGCAGCATACCGACGGCCACACTAGTGGGGCTAGTAAAAATTAAGATTTTCATACGCACTAAATTACGGTTGGGTACAGTGCAATTCAGCGCAGTATTGCACATTCACGGTAGGCCTACATCGCAAACACAAAAAATATAATTTCAAAAACATTTGTCGTGCTGGGACTTGAACTTGGGTAGCGTTGCTTGCGAGGCAGGCGCGCTATCCACTAGGCCACGCTGTAACTCGACGAGAAATGGTTTCTTTAATTTCTTTAATATGATTTAATATCTTTATATGGTGTAGGCCTACTCGTGTACATGTACATGTGCATAAGGGCACTATACGATCTGCCGGCTTAAAAATAGAAAAAATGCAAGACCGTTTCACGGCTAAATAAACGGAGTAATTGCAGAATACCCCGCCACTCGAAAAATTCAATGGATACATGTACCGGTATGTAGTCGAAAGAACTAGAAAAAAAAGGAGTTCCCGAAGACTACGGGGATATGGAGTGGGATTGAATCAGGAAGAGGCGAAAGAGGATGCTATTTTCCCCTTTTAAAAATATCCTCCAAGGGGATGAATCGGTAAATACAACCTACATGTAAATTGAATGGGGAAGATGAAGAAAAGTTGAAGTCCAAAGTAGATCCCCCGAAGTGGCTACGCGGATACGGGGAAGTGCACACGTATTGTGGGTGAGCAGTCAAATTCTTCAAAGTTTCATCATGTTAACTTGTTTCCCAAGGTTTTCATAATAAGGGAATAAATATGTGCTTGGCCTTTTTTAACTAGTACATTTAAAACTGGCTAGGGGCTGGTCGCAGATAATGGCCCGAGCGAAAGGCGAGGGTCATTATAACCGATTTTTAACCGAGGGTCGGTTAAAAAGTCAAAACAAGTCTGAAATTCACAGATTTCCAATGATTTTGTTCAACAATTTACTTCAGGTTTTGTGAAACACCCCTCCGGCTATATCTATGGTATGTGCCTCACACGAGCAGTGCTAAATATTTCCTTGTGTGGAAATCGGCGTGCGCATAGGCCTACTGCGTGATGTGGCGCAGAATGCAGCGGGGTTTTTTTTGCCGGTTTAAAACCAATAGGAAATGGTAAACTGTCTCAGGTATTTATGAATTGTATTTATATTACATGTTTTTTGCAATCCTAGTTATTTGTTCATTTGTTCAGGAGACACAGCGTTTAATGGCTGAACCAGTACCAGGCATAGAAGCTATACCAGACGAAAGTAATGCAAGATACTTTCACGTTAAGGTTGCCGGGCCGGCGGAGGTAGGCAGTGATCAGATGTCTGTATTTCCAACCAAAGCATGTACATGTATTGACATCAAGCAATCATACAGGGTGTCTAAAAAAAACAACCAGAAACCATCAAAGTGTCTCCTTTTTCACAGCGTTGAAAAAAATACATCGCAAATATCTATACATATTTAGAGAGTATAGTACATTAGCTTTTTAAGAACGAAAAAAATATCTTTCAAATCGGGTAAATATTTATTGAGTTATGGCCAATTCAAAATAAGTGCCGATTTTTCAATCTGTCCACGGTCTCAATTGTCATCTGTTAGGAATGTAATGGATTTGGGGTGAGGGTAGTTTTGCTTTCTTTATTGCAAGTTTTAAGCTTTATTTATTTATTTGTTCATGTTATTTTTTATTTTTTTGCAACAATGGTCATGTATCCTTTTGGAAGTAATGGTAGTCCTGAAAAAAAAAACTGTTTGGTTAACGTCTTACATGTAGATGTTTACTCAGCTGCTTTGTTGCTGCCCAAAACTTGGTAGCCTTTTTTCACAAATGCAATTCCGCTCTGGACAAAAAGAAAAAGTGGTACTTGTTTTCAATTGGCCATAACTCAATAAATATTTACCCGATTGGAAAGTATTTTGTTGTTGTTGAAAAGCTAATGGACTATACTCTCTAAATATGTATAGATATTTGATATGTATTTTTAAAAGCTGTGAAAAAAAGAGGACGCTTTGAGAGTAAGGTTTTTTTTAGACACCCTGTAGCTTTGTAACTCCAAGCTCTAATGCCAGACATACAACTTTTTCTCTGATCAGCTGATTTCCTCGTTTTTCAATTCAGACTTTTGCCATTTAAAATTGAAAAACACCGTACAAAAGTCCTGTACAGATTGGAATTTCCTTGTTTTTTTGTTAATTCCAAGTTGCAGGCCTGTAATGCTCACTGGAATTTCGACAATCAAAGCGTGGGCAAAATGTATGTTAAACATCCTGGTTTTGACAAATGTTGTGGTCACAGTGGCAAAATCTGTCATTTACCATCGCTATATTTAAGACAAGTGGCCATTCTTTCAATTTATTTGTCAGAAGAAAGGGTTGGCCTACCGGTATATATGTGTACTATGTATACACCCCCCCCCCCCCCCAAAAAATCAAATAAAGATATAAAATCCCTGACCGACCAACCCTCCTGATATTTTTCATGTGAGGGTAACACAATCTTTTTTGGCCTGATGTTGATTCAGGAACAAGAATACACAAAAGGTCTACCTGTACAAAAAATGTACATATCCCTGTTGAACAAAAGCACTCACGTCAAATGTAAATACAATCTGTCTGATATACTGCATAATTTTTTATTTATTTACTGTATTTTATTGTATCTTTTTCAGTCACCGTATCAGGGAGGCAGTTTCAAGTTAGAATTATTCCTTCCAGAGGAGTATCCCATGTCGGCGCCTAAAGTACGCTTCATGACCAAAATATATCATCCAAATATTGACAAATTGGGTCGCATATGCCTGGATATTCTCAAAGGTAGGCCTTTGATTCGTTTTAATCATAAGAGTCGGTTGTTTGGCTCAGAAGTTGATTTAGACTGTTTTCGTTGAATAGCAAAGTATATCTTTGGATGGAGCTGCTCGTACGTTTCCTGGAAACTTTGTATTTGAGTTTGTGTTACTCTTTAACTAGTAACCAGTGGGTAAGGTACTTAATTAAACCTTTCTAATTTCTGACACATGTTTGTTAAAACCTGTGAAATACTCTGAAGTTTCAATGTATTTGTTAAAAAAGTTTTAAAAAGACAATGTCGGTAATGCCATTAAAAAAAAATGTTTTCGAGATACAGGATGTAAAGGCTAAAACAGGGATGTAGCCGAGTCCATCACAAGTCCAGTCACAAGTAAATCACAAGTCCATCACAAGTAAATCACAAGGCCAGTCGCAAGTAAATCACAAGTCCAGTCACAAGTGAATCACAAGGCCAGTCACAAGTGAATCACAAGGCCAGTCGCAAGTAAATCACAAGTCCAGTCGCAAGTAAATCACAAGTCCAGTCACAAGTAAATCACAAGTCCATTCACAAGTAAATCACAGGGCCAGTCACAAGTGAATCACAAGGCCAGTCACAAGTAAATCACAAGTCCAGTCACAAGTGCAGTAGCAGTGGATGCACAATAACAAAGGAATGCCTTTACCAGAGCCAGTTGAATAACTTGTGAGTTGAATTGGGACTGGAGGACTTGTGATGGAATTGCAGGGACTTGTGATCGACTCCACCACATCCTTGGGCCAAAATCAAATAGGAGTTGACATCAACACGAAATTGTAATTTAAAAAAAGGGTCAACTCCCTTCCCCAAATTAAGCTACACCGTGCTTTGTTTTGATGCCAGTGAAAAATCACGCTCGTGTGTTCTTCCCTTGCAGATAAATGGAGTCCAGCTTTGCAGATTCGGACGGTTTTATTATCGATTCAAGCTCTACTCAGTGCCCCTAATCCAGATGATCCCTTAGCAAACGATGTAGCTGAATTATGGAAAGAAAATGAGGCAAAAGCTATAGAAACAGGTCAGTGCCGGAAATATTGGTATCATTTCATTCTGTAAACCCCCCCCCCCCCCAATCCACCCAAGACCCAACCTCCTCAAAGTGACTGAAATATTGGGTTTAGCCCTCAACCTGTGTTTTGCTGTCCTAGGGCTTGCAAGACAAATTTTACAAGCTTACTTGGTGGGACTCGAACCCATGACCTGCTGTCTAGTGCAAACGTCTTACCACTCGACCTTCAAGCCCGCCGGAACCATAGATCTGCACTAGTAAGCAGGAGGTCGTAGATTCGAGTCCCGACGAGTAAGCTTGTGAAATTTTTCATGCAAGCCCTCGGACAACACAGTAAAAAATTCAGTCATTTCAAACTCCTCAAACAGACCCCAACCTGCCCCGCTCCCCTCCCCTCCCCATAAAAAAAGGATTTCACTTGTTGTTACCTGTTACCCATCCAAGAAACACAACCTGATTTTGATAAATTAGGTACAGATTTGGTCCTTGCAGCACCATGATGTCCCGGTGTTGTTGAAGTACATGTGTTACAAAACAGAGGCTGAAATTAGAGTGAAAAATCCTACTTCTAAAAAAAGAAGAAGTACATGTACATTCAGCAAAATCAAATTTGAACCGTCAGAATGCACTTAGAATACAAACTGAGCACATGTATTTTTGATGCACAAATGTAGTATAAATTGTAAGTTCGCCCAAAAGTTCACCCACAATTTCACCCGAATGAATTGTCCATTTTTTACTGCCCAGTGTTCAGGCATGTAGCTTTTCCTCAGATCAGCCAATTTCCTTGTTTGTCACTTCATACTCACCACTGACATCAAAAATTGAAAAGCGTTGAATAAAGTCTTGCAGAAGTTGGAATTTCCTCTTTTTTTGGGGGGGGGGGGGGTTACTTTCCAGCTGCATGGCTGAGTGTAAATTTTTGGCAGAATTATGCACCAAATATATATGGAGCTGCCAAGCACAGAAACTTGCTAAGCTCAGACAATATTTGCTTACCAAAAACAGGTTACCAACCAAAATGTCATGCAAATGTATATAGCCTGTGACTGGTTCCCAGGGGATTTTTGCTTAGTCCATACATATGCTAAGCATAATTGGATCCTGGGTGGTTCCTTAAAAAAAATCCTGTCCTGTTTTCGTCTTCTGTTTTTTTCTTATTTCTTTTTCTGTTTCACTTTCGTTTTCATTTTATTTTAACCGAACAGCAAAAGAATGGACGAGAGTATACGCAACTGGCAAATGACATCACTGCGTCATCATTCGGGTTTTGTTGTTCTTTTTCTTCTCTTGTATATCGACTCGGCTTTCCTCCTACCATCTTCTATGGTGGCCAAAAAAGGACATCCGACACAGGACTGCCTATAAGTTATAGGGCCCCTGTAGTAGATGGTTTTTGTATGACAGTTAAAAGAGTGAAAGCATTTGGAAAAAAAAAAAAATTAAAAGCAAACACAAAAAAAAATGTGATTGTACTGGCCTGGGGATCACGGTGCTGAGGCATATTTTTATTTAAGTGATTTGGAACTTTAGAGGGGAAAAACACACACAAGAAGAGAAACATTTTGTTTTTTTTAAATATTGATTTTGACAGCAGTTGAGCCCAGGCCAGAGTGTGGATTTGTAAAATATGTTGACAGTGTAATGACTCTTTAGGGTACAAGACCTGAAGCCATTCTGCCACTCCAGTTGGGCAGTGTTTGTAATTGGTCAGGTCAAATTGGGCTTTGATTCCAAGTTGGGCAAAGACACTTCGTTCATGATCCTTTATGCAGTAGACCATACTGCGTCTAAAGGAGCATATGGGATATAAGAACTATGGGGAAAATGCTGTATTGGAGTACAGTTAAAATGAAACCATTTTCAGCTCAATTTGAGCATGTGTACTGTCTGTCTTTAGGTTACTAAATGTGTGTTTGTAAAGTCGGCCATTTTTTTTGTTCTTGTTTATAGAGAACCATTTTAAAAGTTAACTGAAGTTTCACTGGACCTTCGCTCCATAAACAGGGATTGGTTGTGAAAAACAAAAACAAGAAAACAAACGGGGATTTTAAGTAATTCAAGAAACACGTTCACTATAATTCAACCAATGTTGTGGTTCTCTTACATCATGTTTATCTTGAAAATTTGCGGCAAACTTTAATAAGCAAAATAAACGTACTGCCACGGATGTTCCAGGTTTTTTTTGGTACATTTAAAAATGAAATTATGTTGATACATTTTTTAATTTTTTTTTATTGATTATTATTTTTTTTTTTTACTACTGCTGCTGGTCATGCAATTTACCAGAACTCCGTAAACATTTGCACACTGTTATTTTGAAGAAGAAAAAAAGGGTATGCCAAAGAAAATGAACCCCCACACAAAATAACGTGATTTCCCGACTGCAGAATTGTGCAATGCAAGAGTAATTCTAAAATCAAGCAACCATTCTCTTCATTACTTAAACCCCCCCCCCCCCCCCCGAAAAAACTAAATCAGAGAAAAACTTGTAAGTTATCGTTCTATATCAACATTGAAGTAATTTACGGTGTCTAAAATTGTACTTGCGGACACGATATTCATTCAGGTTTATTGTGTATCACCAATTGAAATGTTGGGGAAATATTTTTTAAGTTATAAACTGCAGTTTGGAAAAGATTTCAGAGTTTATACATTGAGCGAAGGCGGCATTAGTTTTTTAGATCACAATCTGTATTTCCAGAAACGACATTACAAAGTGTATCCCTCGGGGTTCGAACCTGAGACCTTGGACTGCTGCTCCAGTGTATTTATGTTTTCACCCAACTGACTTCTTTTGGCGCTGTATTGGCGCTGTATTGGCGCTGAACTCCAGTGTGTACTCTGTTGGAACCATAGAGGGCACCCTTTGCCCATACACAAGAGGGTGATGGCATTGGTTTGCATTTGTTTATTACACTGAATACACCCAACTCATTATCGATGGGGCCTTTGCAAACCTCCAGCATCTGTGCATTCTGGCTATAGCACGCAAGTGTCCTTCAATTACAGTAAAGTTTTGCATTTCTACCAGCGAGGGCAGTGCTTTGTGCCCAGAGTCCGCATGACCAAATACACTGGCTTAGTGGGTAGAGCACTGGAGCAATGGTGCAGCAGTCTCAGGTTCTTGTCCTTGGATGGGTCAAGGATATAGTCTTTTGTCAAGACGTTGTATACATGTATTGGGAATGCACTCCCCTGCTGCAAGAGTGCGTTATCGTATCAAAACGCTATCACCCACGAACCGCTGTCACAACAATGTCTTGGGAATCTTGTAAAATCTCCCCCTCCCCCCTCTTAAAAAAAAGGGGAAACTAGTGAACATGTGTACTACAGTACATACACAACAAAAGAACTGCCATGAAGTTGCACAAAAGTCTGGTAGGGTGTTGAAACCTACTGGCTGAAATTTTTTAAGTTTGGTTCAGAGCCAAGATGCAAGGTGTTAAATGCGTGCTGTATAGGGGCAAAACAGGTATGCACGCATCACACGGCCGCTGCAAGATTCCAAAGATGTTATTGTGATAGCTGTTTGTTTTGGTAACGGCCTCTTTCGGTGGGTGTTCGCATATCATATATACAACGACGTCTTGACTCCAGACTCTCAAAGATAGTGCTCAACGCACTGTCATTGCAACAATTGTACTCATTAATTTTAACCTTCAATTTTTTTTTTGCAATCTGTTAAACTCTCAAATACGTGTTTATCTGATTGGTAGATGGAGGTTTGCAGTAACCAGGGTTCTGTACTGAGAATCATCCATTATCACAGTAGTCTTAATGGTAACAATTGTTTCAAAAGACATTCCCACGAACATGAAGTTGGTTTGGAAACACTTTTATAAAAGCCTAGAGCATGAATGGATGTCTGACTACAGTCAAAGGCCGGTGCTAACTTCACGCAAATGCAAATGCAAAATGGATTTGACGTCGCGAAACTTTCGCTGCGGAATTCGCTGGAGTTGAAATGTGTTCAAATTTTATGAATTCGCAGTGAGAAAACTTGCCGCGGCGTTAGAAATTCATGTTTGCATTCACTTTCATGGCGAGTGTGAACAGGTGTAGCATGAAATTTGGAGTCTTATGAAATATGGACTCCTTAGTTGTATTGCGCATGCCCGAGTGAAGCACGTTCGAGGGTTAGAATCCATATTTCCAGATTTCACGGGAGTCCAAATTTATATGACACCGGCTTTAACATTTAAAAAATGAAGATATGGCTGTGCATCCGAACCAGCTGTCTAGAGCTAGGTCTAGGTCTGCGCCCATTGAAAATGTGCAGGGACACGCTGACAATAGACGTAGCCGTAGCTCTGGAAGCCCATTTCGGACACGGCCTGAGATTAGCCCAGTCCCAAATCTATGGAGAGCAAGTGGCCAAAAGAGCCATTTTTTTTCTCACTGAGCTGCTGCAAGCCTTCATCCACACAATGCTTCTCTCGACTAAGTAGCTGTAGATCTTTTGTTTGTAAACTTGTACAAAGGAATTTTTAGTTCATTAGTTTTTTTTCTGTCTTGTACCAAATGAAAACCACTAACCATTTGTAATTTGCAGCAAATCACTCAATAAAACAATGGATGTAGTTTCCAAAACAGGTTGCGTATTTGTGGGTTCTAATTTGCAAAACAAGTCATCTTGCGTTATATATTTTAATGGTTATTTTGCTTGTTTGTTTGTTTGGTGTTTTTTTTAGCTCTATATTTTTTGTCTGATAATTGTTGTTGACCGATACAAATGTTGTCCTCTATGCATTTGTTGTCAAGAGATCATACCATTTAGTCTTTATGGTCACAAATTGTATCAGTTCATTTTTCAGGGCATTAGACCAAGGAGGGGGTAAACCCTTAAGAAGCAAAAGAAAGAAAAAAACAAGGCAAAATAAAGAATTACAGTCGTGCAAAATATTTAAAATGAAGTGAAGCTCACATTGTAACACTGGTACTTATATTTTCAAGTTTAAAAAAAGGGAAGGGGAGGGTTAAGTGCCGGGTGTAGGATTTAAAATAAATTAGTTTGTTTTGTATGTTGATGTAAACGATTCTTTTTAACAGACATATCTAATATTCTGTCAAATAATGTACTCTCTTTTTGTGATAACAAATAACAATGGCTTTTCAGTTACACTTTGTCATGCGAGGAGAGAATTTGTTCACAAATTAACTCTTTTTTCCCCAGTTAATTAGATGTGGACAAGAACATATTTACAGTAACTGTAAGAAGTTCTAAATAGGTTATTAATATTAATTCGAGTTCATCCTTTGTAAAAGCATTGCCACTGTAAAGGGGCAGTTTGTCCTGGAATGCGCCCAATTGGGCCACAAAATGAATTTTAAACAAAACGATGTGCATTGGAAAGAGCATATAAAAGTAGGATATAAACCACACAACCAGCCTTTAAAAAATGGGCATTTTTGTGTAATTCTTGCGAGAACCGTGCACGAACGAAATTTGGGAGTCAAAATTTGAACTCTCAAAAATTGAGCTGCTGAGTGCTATTTGTGAATCCTGCCGCACAGTGCAACAAATTCTTCTGACCTGCGAGAAACAACATTAGTGTACAGGTATTGGTGCTGTGTGCATTGCGACACACACATAATGTGTACCGCACATTGAATTGACACAGCTGGAAATACATATGCGTATGCCACAAAATGTCCACCGCTTCCGATGTAAACAACCATGTTTCTTCTTGTCTTTTCTTGGGAACGGTAAGACATTAGGTTAATTTCCTTTCAACCAGACCGTTGAAATGGGATAGGTAAACAATCCAAAACATAAATGTTGGGGGGACTTCAGGCCGTAATGCCCTTTAAACCAACATCTTGTAATAAATATGCGATAAAATAAAACTGCAATTACAGAAACTACTTTCTTCAGCATGGTATAATTTTATTAAGTCTTCTTTACACGAAAGCTACAATCACATTAATTTCTAATCAAACGAACAAATTCCACAAAAACATACATGATATGATAATTACACCTCAAATCGATTACTTTCTTCCAGATTTCAAAACAAGCAGCCAAAACCATACTTGTTTACCCTTTCTAATTGTAACCCTACATATACCATTACTGGGACTATTTACAATAGTTATTTTTTCTTCAGAAACTTCATTTCTTTCTATCTAACTTTTTCAAATAAATATAAATTCATACTTAAACATGAGCACTCTCTTAAGATTCACACTTTGAAGCATGCTTTTAAAGCTGAAGATCTCAAAGAGGTCCCTAAGTTTAACGTCCCCCCCCCTCCAAAAGATTACGTAAGATTCACAGTGACGAATTAAGCATTTTGAAAAGGAAACTGGGAAAAAACTGCTCAAGTTCAAGAACTTCTAGTTAAATAATTGCACGAAAACCACTCAATTATTTAAATGAAGTTCATATACAAACTCCATTGAAGATTTAGGGTTCAAATTCCACAATATTGACTTCAGTTTCGACAGTAATAACCCAAAGTGGCTAAAAGTCTGTTCAGATTCTGCAACAATATAGAAAAAAAACCTTGGGGTTGGAGGTCAAGTCTAAAAATAGACATCCTCACTAATTTGCAAAACAGACTCTGTGGACAAGTATTCAACTGTTAAAAAAAAGAGGGTTGGGAGACCTTCGAACACATTGCAACAGTATGTCTGGCGTTCCTGTTAAGACGCTAGGGGATTTCGGAAATTTGGATTGAAATTAAAGTTTATATTCTGTGCAATAAGCGCAAAAAGCAGTGCGTACGTAGTGTGTCCCTCCCACTAAGGTTCTCAAAAGTGGTCGCAAAGCGCCATCTATTGTTATAAGGACGAAGTGCATATGTTTTTGGTATGGGTCCTTAAAGGGAATATACAACATTTGCAAATATCAAAAAACAAATTTACCAAATTTTCATGAAATACCTTACTGGACTGTTAGCGAATGACAGTCTTAAGCATCCTGTAAACTCCCGGCGCGCTGACATTTTCGAGAAAAGTGGTATTTTTGTATCAATTTCCAATGCTGATCAGCCGACCAGAGTTGGAAAAAACTGGCTTTTTTTTAAATACTGCTCCCAATTTATCAAGTTTAGTTAGTCCGCATTTTGTTTGCAATCAATTACACAACCTATGAACGGGTACAAGCCAGCTAGACTGGTTCCCTGACCTTACAATTCCCCGACGTCTATTACTTGTTCCGTTTAATCTTCAATGGGGTCAGGGAACCAGACTACAAGAACAAGATTGTTTTTCATGGTTTTTCCAGCATCTACGAACACAAAACTTCAAATAAGTACCGGTAAGTGTAACAATATTTGCTATATCAAAACTAACCCCCCAAATTCATCCATTTCTGAAAATTACAGCAAAAGCAAATGTTGTATAGTTCCTTTAAGCACAGCACTTTGGCCAAACTTGAAACAGAGCTTTCAATGTACTGCAGGGTGTGAGTGACCACTGATAAAAATAGCTGAAAAAGGTGTAAAGAAGCTGAACTTTGGAAATCTCGTATACTTTTGTACACAGCAAGTGAGAGAAAAAAGCTGAAATCCAAAACAAAAGAAGCTGAAATCAGCTTTAAAGCTGAGATTTCACACCCCTGGTACTGCTAATGTAAGGATGCTCATTGTCAGGACTATGATACAAAAGGAAAACTGTGTACAAACCACACCAATACACGAGGGAGATATTTTACATCCAAAATTTTCGATGTACAAATTTCATATATGTTTTGTAGTATATACAGAATGGTGTATTAAGCACAACTGTACATTTGTTAACCTGTGTCAAGACCGAATAATATGTATTTGTAGGTATTTTTTTTTTTTAACCTTTTATCGGATTATACATCAACATACTGGTGACTTTCCCTGGCGCCTACTATTACAGGAACTAAAACAATACTGAATTATACAAATTCAAGTATTTTGCTGCATTTCTAGTACAAAATGTGAAACTTTATACAAAGGAATCTATTTGTTTCTGATTTTTAGTTTGTTTTGTAACTCATTTTGATAATTGTTTAGTTATTTTTGTACCCTATTTTTTTAGAATGAAAGTTAAGTGTTTAGTTTCTTCCATGTCTTACCAAATTTTGCAACATACCGCAAGAATTTCATTTCCTTATTTCATGAGTTTTCTAATGCGCCACTCTAAAATAATCAAACTGCAAAGAATGTGATCATTTTATCATTTTGGGAAAGCGATAGTATGAAATCCAGTTTCAAAACTGTCAAATGTTAAAGTTCTATCCAATGTCAAAAGAAAAATTGAAATGGCTAACCAAGGAATGAGATTTTTCTAAGGAAAAAAAACATAAATCGCAGGAGACATTTAGTTTACCGTCAGGATGACAAATCAGAACTGAAAAAACACCAAGAATCAGTAGGCTAACCCAGAACAAAATATAAAACAAACATGTTACACATCGGAACGAAAAAACTTGAAGATACAAAAATGAAACAAAATTGCAAAAAGTTGTTATTTACATGTTTACAATTCAAAATTAAAGTATTCAGCTACTGAGGTTTGCATTTCTAAATGCCTTTGAAGGCTGAATTTAAGATGATGTCCTAACTTGGCCAGCCCTTTTTAATATTTCACCCACCCCTATTCTACGGATTAAGATGATTGAAGCTCACCAGACATGCGTCTCCCGGATTTCGCTGATTATATGACTAGCTTTCTGAAGGGCCTGCAGAAAAAAAGGAAAAAATAAAAGGAACAGATTTAAGACTTGTTTCATGAATAAATATTTCCAACTTCCCCGACATTTCCTGTCAGATTTTTATGATAACTATCAAATGGTTCACTTGGGTCACTCATGAAATGCTGCAGGGCAGAGCATTATCAATGGTTAGTTGTACCTTTATTTCCAACAGTTAAGATGGAACAACTGCTTGGCTGCAAAAACGCTTTTCACAAACCACCCAATTATGGTCTACAGGGTATAGTATACTCTTGGCTACATTAAACCTAACCCTCCTACATCCTTCAGACTCCAATAGAAGGGTTTTGAGGGATTTTGTAGGGTTGCAAGACAATTATATTGTAGTAGACATGTCTGTTGAGTTGCAGTCAAGTCATAAGAGTATTAGCCATTACAATCACAAGTCATTCAGTGTAAGGTTAGACTATTGAACTGATCTGAGACAAAGGCATTTCTTTGTTGTTCAACAAAGTGGGCATGTGTGGTCTAGCGGTAGAGCACAGGATTCATGATCGTGAGGTTGTGGGTTCGAGCCCCGCCGTGGCCATGCGTGTTGTGCCCTTGAGTAAGGCGCTTTACCTCAATTACTCCTCTCAACCCAGGTGTTAAATGGGTACCGGCATTATTCAATGCTGGGAAGGTAACAGACTCGCTGTGGAGAAGGTGTGGCAATCCCTCCACAGCAGCATATGAGTCTGGCCCAATCGCTAATGAAAGAGAGATGGGCACTCTGTTCCTGTGAACACAGGTTCCTCCCCTTCACCTTTTTTTGTTGTTGTTCAACCATTGTTTCCTGTGACCTGACTTGTAAATTGACCTGTGATTGACTTGTGATTTGATTTCTGACAGATTTGTCAATGACTTGTGACTGCGATTGAATTGTGGTGGGAGGTGGAAACTCCACTTGTCATAATAGTTACAACGACTGACGAAATTGTAGGTAAAGCTGTCACAAATCAATCAACAGTCAATCCCAATTTAATCAAAATTAATTACAAGTCAAATAACAAGTCCATCATATGTCAAGAATAAGTCAATCCAACATTCAACACAGGTCAGTCACAAGTCTATCACAGGTCAATCACAAGTCAGCTCATAAGTCGATCGGATGTGAAATCACAACTCAATCTAGGACAAAATCACAAGTCAGCTCACAAATAAATGAGGATGACAATGACAAATGGAATGCCTCTATCACAGTTCATTCGAACAGCTTGACTTGAGTCTGGATGACTTATGACTGACTTGTGATAATCTGTGATGACTTGTGACGGCTTGTGATGACTGACCAACAACTCAATCTTCAGCACCCACCTGTAGCATCTCCTGAGCGTCTTTCCTCCTCTGCGACATGTGTTCCGATTCCTTGAGCAGTGTCTCGATTGCTTCTTGCTTGTACAGCTTACCTACCAGCTCACTCTGTAAGTTATCCTGGACGAAGTTGACCAGGAAGTGCATGATGGCCTTGGGAACACTGTCCTGGATGTTCTTACGGACGATTAGGAAGTAACTCATGATCAGTCTCTCTGTCAAACAGAAGGAAAAGAAGAAATCTTTTTTAATATTTGAGATTTTTTTCCGTCATTAATGCAACTTTAAGGCAATGTGTGGTCCCCGTACATGAACACTCGACTTTGCTTTTCGACCACTTCCAACTTCTTTGTGAGGGAGATACTGCAGAAGCTTGCTTCTGTGGGTTTGAGCCTGTGACTTCCTGCTTACTAGTGCAGATGTCTGAACAACTGGACCACCTAGCTTGCCGGGAATCGGCTGGGGTTCATGCATGGGATCATGGCAAAGGTCATGCATGGGATGTGGGACATGGGACAGGGGTCAGGGTTCATGGGTCAAGGATCAAATCTAACTCTCTCATCCATCCAGCTACTTACTGATGACATCAACATCTCTTTGCTCTCTTGAGGATAACTTCCTATTTAGTGGAACATCCGGCTGTAATAAAATAAACAAAGTTCATCACTGTCTGTATTACGCTTGATTCTAAATTCTGAATATTTTGTTGCACAGCAGAAATGTCAATTTGTTATACATGCCAATGATCCAGCTTTCGGCTACAATTTCCTAGTAACTAATATTTCACATCTATTAATAGCTGCTTCTCAAATATCTGTTTCACAAAGTTGTTTTTTTTTCATGCTGAATTTCATAAATAGCCACCGATGTCAGGCCCTGGTAACAAAATGGTTTAAGAAATGTCCAGCTATTCAGAGGGCAAGACCTGTGTGAACGATTTCTTCAATGTCCTTGCGGGTTACTCACACAATGGGAACAATAGTACCACACAATTTGGACTTGAGGATAATATGAAAATAATGCAAGTATCCAACCAAGCTGGAATATACGGTTGTTGTGTGTACATGAGTGTAAGGGATAAGTTTGTTTCCTTACAACATCGGGGAGAAGGTTAAGACCGTGGTTCTTCTTGTCCACTTTGGGGCTCTGAGTCTGTGGGGGCGTGGCCGGTACTACCCCAGCCCCATCCGCAGTCGCAACCTTGGCGGCACCAGATGACCCTCGTACCCAAGTGGGAACCCAGGAGCCCACGGTGCTCGCGCTGCCTGAGGATTCACGGAGGTCTTTGGGTGCGGTGATGCCGTCCGTTGCTGCCAGTTGGGAAACAGCCTAAAATGGAAAGATCAACAAGATCATTGCAAAATGGTATTGGCTGGACTCAACTTTCCTTAACCCTCCTATGGGCTCCGTGCGCCAACTAAAGAGGGCACCCTTTTATCTAGCAACGACGTCCCATGGGCAGGACATTTAGCTGGTTGACCGGCACTGTTCCTTGTGTGGGACGCACGTTCACCAGGGGATTTGTACTAAGTACACGCAGTGGTACGGTCACGCGTCACGGCAAAATATTGCAGTCAGGCAAGATGGCGTTGGTCGGTCACCCCTAACTGTACTTTCTTTGCCGGTGAGGGGGTACTTGTGAACGGAGCGGATGGAAACATACATTGTCAGCCTGGTTATTACTTGGGTCAATATTGGTCAAGACCCCCATTGGTTTGTACACAGTATGCCAGGAGGTGAGATAGAAAAATGTTGACCGTTTGTGACCTCTTAAATAGTATAAATCCATTAAAAATTCTGGAAAAAACGCCTAAGTATCTGACTGTAAAATACCATATTTTCATGATTTTTGCATTTTCACTGACAATGAGCTGTTTTGAGGTTGAATATTTTAGCAATAAATCCGCAATTTTGTATTCATTTCATGTAATTCATGATTATTACTACTTTTTCTTAATAGTTGGCAGATATGCCCAAAATGTCAACAACAACAAAAATAGAAAACCAAAAACAGTAAATCCACTCACCTTTGTTACTTTATCAACTTTGTTCGTCTGCGGATCAACAGCCAATGCTGAGGCCGGAACCAGCTCATTTTTCTTCTTCTTCAGCTCTCTTTCTTGATAATCCACCAGTGCGTTGACCAGACTAGCGTCAGCAAAGTCCGGGTGCTTTGTGTTGATGTAGGCCAGCTCAATGCCCACCAGATTCTCCACCTTCAAAAAGATTGGCAACAAAAAATCCTCTTTAGATCCAGTTTTTACATCTTGAAATCCCTCACCTGCTTAGCATGTGTGATTGGTTTCTGCTTCAGATAAGCCAGAAAAGAAATAAGCGAAATCACGTTGGAACTCTTTGGAATGGCAACAGCATGTTTTTTTTTCTTTTTCCGGTGAGCAAAACTTGAGCCAAAGCCATAAACTATGTCGTAAATTATGTTACAATTCACGCTAACGACGCTCGCAACAGTTACAGTCTTCACCATAAAGCTATATAGCTCACTGTACGTAATTGGTCTCTGGCTGGATTGACACACTGATGTGGCAGTAGTATATCATGCGCACCTTTATGAAAAATCTAAACAGCAACTTCTGAGATTTGAATTTTGGGGTTGGACTTCTTTAACAGGTACCCTGTATCCATGTTTGTTTTCAATCGGTTACCCGGTTCCCGTACTACCTGTAAATGCACACCCCTAGTTGAAACCAGCCTCAAAATCCAACTCACCATTGAGTTTGTGGTGGGCAGTCGGTTTCTGAGCAGCGCCGTCACCACGTCAACCACGTGATCGTGTAGCAGGGGGAATCGTAGCATCTCCTGCGTACCGCAGTGCTGTATGATGCGTTGCATCTCCTCGTGGACCAGCTCCACGCAGCGTAGGCTGGGCTCCTCCAGACGACGAATCTGACGCTTGACGAGAAGCTCAAAGGAAACCTCGGGGACGAAGAGGGCTGGACGGGGACCCTGAACAGACGTCATAACAAAATAGGTATCAGTCCATCGTTCAAGTTACAATAAATTACAAAATATTACTATTATTACAGTTATCAAATATTTATTAAACTAAAACTTTAGCTGGAACATAACTGGAACGCGGCAGTCAATTTCTTCGCTCAAACCCCGCACTGATTGCAAGTCCCAAACCGGGGCTTTCTTGTGCTTTATTCCAGGATTCAAAATGAATTGTTTTTCTTTCCTCCTTCATAAGTGGCATCTTTTTGCAGAATTTAAAATGACAAATTTGGCAAAGAGAGCTGATATAGTTGCTCTCTGCCACTAGTGGGTGACATTCTGAGATGATACATTGCTGTGACAATGGCACAAAAAACCATTGTTGATTTAAAAGTTGAACAAAATATTGACTGGGGCAGGGTTTGAACCTGCGACCTCCGGATTACCGTTCCGGTGCTCTACCAACTGAGCTATCCAGCCCTATGTTGGCGGCTGCCCATTTTGTCAAAGTCGTACATGTACGAGGTATATTTGTTAGTTCGAAATCGTCAACCTCGTACATGTACGAGGTAATGTTCGTACTTAAAATCACCAAACCTCGCACGTGTACGAGGTAGAGTAAGCATGTTATCACAAGGGGCCGCTCTCGCTCTTTCTAATACTATCATTTTCATTCAGGTACGACTTGTATTTATTTGTTTCATTCGAGTTCTTGCGAGAGGGCGCAGCACTGACACTCATATTTTCTGCAAAAAGTGTGGAATTCCAGTGTGCAGGACAGTGTTTCAGGGTGTAGCACTATGTACGTGACTACTATTGACTTTCCAATGTACCAAGGATATACCAGAGAGCAACTACAACAAATTTAGTGAGTAAAACTTATTTACTTTTTTTTTACAGAATTTTGAACAATTAAAAAAAACGCTCGAAGTTGGGCACTTTAGGGTTAAACTTTTCAAATTTCGTGGGCACTGAAAGAGTTAAATTGAATTACAACGTAGTTATTTTAGGTTTGCAGGTACACCATGGAAAAAAAAAATCTTTTGTGAGGAAGTGTTGGCTCTTCAAAAAGCTAGTGGTGAGAGTAAGGTCTCAACGTTATGAGTTTACTCTGTTCATCTTCAGGAGACTTTTTTATTCGTGGTTGTCAAAAGGTGACCACGAGCAGAGAATAACTGGGTTAACCCAGGCATGAATTGGGCCTTCTCCCAAGCACAGTCTCACCGTGGCATTTCGGATCGCCGTCAAGATGTCGATAGTCCTCAGCCCACCCAGCGGGTCAATACCGTCTAACGTCCGGCCAAACGTCTCGTGGAAAATATAACAAATGCGAGCACCTCCACACCTGCCATAGAAGGGAAAATTCATTATCACAAGGCTTGTAAAAATTAAATTATTAGTCCCTGTCCCTTCCAAAATGATCCTGTCAAATTCCTTTTCCACTTAGAATTCACACAATTTTAATGACTACATCCCTTTTTGTTTGGACAAATATGGTATTTCGTCAGACAATACCTGATGTCTGGAATTCAAAAAGTCCACATTAACAATTCCACCATTTCAATATCCCTTCACCTGGACTTACAATTCCGACGTTTCAATATTCCTAGCCGTTCCCTCGATGGTGGCACAGTAACTGGCAGCAAACTTGGTGATGATCTGCAGCAGCGTTTGACTCTTGTCGTCCACGGGCTCGCCAAACGACGCCAGGAGTTGCTGGAACTGGGAGCTCATCACGTTGACCCGCGTCTTCAGCTCGGGTAAACAGTCCCGGATGTGGTGCATCAGTAACTGATATTCAAGGCATATAGGATCATTTGCAATTTATCCCAAAAGTTACCTACCAAACTATTATCAAAAAGCTGAGTTGATTTAAAGATCCTACTGGTACTAAACACCTCGTGAAATTATTCCCTGTCATTGAAATTATTGCTGTCATTTCGTAGAAATCAAGAAATGTTGGTAATTTCCAACGATCAGTCAACTGACAGAATTTTGGAAATAAAGAGTGCTATGAACGAATTCTTGTTTCGCGAACAAAAAGTTGTGCATGGTGTTTCACTACTTACTCTAAAAGTGTAATATCCACTAAGCTGGAACTTCAACAGTTCAGGTTTGGAACATTTTTCTTTGGATTTTTGAGTAGTGTTATTATTGAAAATAAACAAAATGCATAACAGGCAAAGGATCCTATATGCCTTTAAACAACAACTTTTATATATGACTATGATGGAATTTATGCAATGAAAAAACAAGAAAGGCAAGCCTAGTAAAACAAGTCCTGGAAGGCTAAAATTCTATTCAATCGATTCAGAATGGCTTTTCACTGGAAGTCTCTTAATGCACATGGCATACACAGTGCGGTAATCTCATTTCAAACTTTTAGGTGAAGGTGAGGATAAAGCAAGTCTAATTCACAATGGTCAGTCAATATGTCAGGTAAAGAAGACTAGAAACGTATTTGGTGAACTAAACTAGAAGCAATTTTGAAGTGCACAATGATTTCAAAATTGACAATTTCAAAGGCTTCCTACCCTGTTGAGAGTTTTGGCAAGGTACTGCGTTCCGTTGCGATTAGCCAAAGCTGGGTATTTCCGTTGAAGGTATCCGGCCTCGTCCCTTATTGCATCTGAGATTTGCTGTAAAAGGAAAACAATTTTTGTGTGATTAAGTAAAAGACAAATACAATTGAAAAAATGGAAGTTTTCAGGTTCTAGTTCCTGAAAATCTGCAGACCTTTTTTTTTATTTTGTATAATTCTTTGCAAGTCTTAACTCTTTAATGACAGTAGATTTTGTCCCAAATAGTTGAAAAACAACAGTTTTCAAAAGTGGTTTAAGAGGTTCATAATCCCCTATATTGCTTAGGATTTGAAATGATTCTGGTAATAAAATTCTTAAATTTCCTTTAACAAATTCAGTGTAGAACTGGTCCCAACCACTATTCAATGATACAAAGATGGTTTCTACTTGACATTTTAAGAGGACCTTCTTCTCACAACAAAAAAATAGGCTCAGTGATGGCCTTCAATTGTTTTCCACAGTTCATTAAATGTCATTTGCAAATAAGGAAAACCTCAGAAACACAATTCTGCGTTAATACAGAAGATAGTCAAAAGGAATGCTCAGAGAAATTTGATTAAAAATATGAACTCGAGAGAACAAGAAGAACTAAATTCAGTCGACGAACCTTTTTCTGGTTGATGTCCATCTGGCTTCTGTTAACGACACCAATAATGCCGAGCTTGACAGGTATAACTAAAGAAGAAAAAAAGAAAGGAACCAAAGACATGATTTTGCTTTTCAACAATTGTGGCTTTTGCCACCATGTGGCTTTTCTGTTAAAACAGAAAGCCATATGGTGGCATAAAACAAAATTGTGAATTGTGAACAGGTGTGAGTTCCAATAAGAACCAGAGATGAAAAGTAATCTGTACTTAGCTAGTAGCCTGTTATTTTGCTGAAGAAAACTTGTTGGTACAAAATATCAACTCCGAGAAATTGCACCTAGTTTCATTTTCTAGTTGTCTATGTATAACATATTCTTCTTTCCAATAACATCAATTATCGAGGCATACCTCTTCCACAGAGTATGTCCACAGCATCAGTACCAGCATCCATTAAATCTAGTTTAGTAATCACTGCAAGAGTTCGTCTTCCTGTAATTGAGACAAAACCAAACATCAAATGAAATCCTTATAACATGAAACATCAACCATTTTAAATAAGAGAAGCAAGAAGACATTCATAACACTGTATCTAAAGTTTCTAGTAATGTGTGTGGTTTTGAAAAATTCTGAAGAGTTGAAATCCAATCTAATCACTTGTGAAATCACAAGCCCGGTCACAAGTAACCGGAGTTTACAATAAAAAAAAGGAATGCCTTCGTCGCAGTTCATTCGGAGAGATTGGGACTGGAGAATTTGTGATGACTTAAAATGTCTTAGGATTGACTCATAACTGACTTGTGATGACGTGTGATTGACGCGTAATAACTTATGACTTGACTTGTGATTATCTTGTCATGGACTTGTTATGACTTTGACTTGACTTGTGATAGACTTGTGATAGATGACTTGTGATGAGTTGTGATTGACTTGTGATGAGTTGTGATGAGTTGTGATGAGTTGTGATGAGTTGTGATGAGTTGTGATTGACTTGTGACTTGTGATGAGTTGTGATTGACTTGTGATGAGTTGTGATGAGTTGTGATGAGTTGTGATGAGTTGTGATGAGTTGTGATTGACTTGTGACTTGTGATGAGTTGTGATTGACATGTCAGTGACTTGTAATTGACTTGTGATGGTGATTGACTTGTGACTGACTTATGACTGACTTATGACTGACTTGTGACTGACTTGTGATGGACTTGCGATGGACTTGTGATGGACCTGTGATTGACTTGCGATTGACTTGTGATTGGCCTGTAATTGACTTACGATTGACTTGTGAGAACTTGGTAATAACGCTGTTTCTAATTAGAACCTTTGTAAGTGTCAGGTTTTTTTTAAAAATGCTCCTCGTTCTAAGAAGACCGACTTGAGAAGACTGGACTTCCCAAGCGAAAGTGTGACAGGTGTCTTTCAACTGTCTCTTTTTCCCCCATTGAGGGGGTACTTTTGCACCATCCAATCAAAATTGTTGAATATATTTGTGTAATCATGTTACCGTCTGGATCCACCTCCTTGGCTAGCTTGAGTGCCTCCGATGTGGCCATGTCCGTGTTGGCTGCGGTAACGGCAAGAATGATTGAGTTGGGATTGCTGATGTACTGAAGGATCATGTCGCGGATTTGTATCTCTATGTCTTCTGGCTGGTCACCAACGGCAACCTAGTTTACACCCAAAAAAACCCACAAAAGTTCAAAGTTAAATACTTCAGAGAAACACCAGGTTTTTGTCTAGATAGTTTGCTTCCAAACTTTTTCTTTCTTTAATGGAAGTTGCCATTAGAATGCTGTTAGCCACTTGAGGTAAAGGGCTACAAAAACAAGAAACTAGCTAGCACCAGTAACCCAAAGCATACCTGAGCAGTGTGGTGGAGGTATGGGCTATGCATGACCTAAATCTGAAAGCATCCACAGGGGACTCATAACGATCATACTCAACGAAGTACCACTTGGTCAAGGACAGAGTGAACAGCACAGATGTTGGAATTGTACCTCTACTACTACCTAACTTGGTTGAATGAGTCCTTGTATGGCAACACAGAAAAGGTAAGTTCTTTCTTGTCAGGAGTGCGAATCCACAGAGCAAACAATGTTAACACAATGCAATAATAGTTTGGGATTATTACCTTTGTCAAACCAGGCAGATCCACCAGCGTCAGGTTCAGTACTTTGGGAGAAAAGATCTTGAGATTGATAGCGTCTTGACAGATACCCTACGACGGAACACACAAAAAAGTGATAGCAGGTCATTGGTGATAGCAATTCGTTGGTGATAGCAGTTCATTGTGATAATGCCCTCTCGCAGCCGGCTATCGCGTATCCAATTTACAACAACGAGTTGACCCAAGACTAGGATAGGCAAGATGGTAGTGCGAAAAGACCATCGGCATCGCCACTTGCAAGCAAGCAGTGTGTACCTTATTTGAGCCGGCCATCCTGTCCGTCTCGTTCTGAATCTCATCTCGTATCTCGTCAAAGTCCGTGTAGATTTTGCTCTTGGTGTGCAGGAACCTGCCCCACTCGTCGGCCTGAATTTCATCTGAAAAATACAGAAAACCAAGAACTAAATGATAATTCAATAAAGAAACACTCCAATTACATCATGCAAACATATCACCTAAGCGCCCATGCTCATGTGCGTTCCTCTGACAAGTTCTCCATCCTCTTTAACTCTAACCTCCCCCGACCCATCAAACCCCAAAGGCATGTTTTGTTGGAATCTGTCAGGATGGGTACGGTACCCCTAAACTGACAGTCTTTTACATTGGGTTGACACACCTCCAGAACCAAAGTCAGAAATATGTGTGTGCAGTTTCCCATATGGTGTTGGAATTTGCCAGGATGGGTATGGTTCCTAGTAAATCATGCTAGGGAGTTAGGGTTAATGCATAATACAGAATTTTTGTTCACTGGCTTGAAAACAAAATCTAATTTTAAAAATGCTTGACTGGTGCTTTTGAAACTTGACAATTGTTACATAAAAAGTTCTACAACTGGACACATTTTCAAATCCTCGACATTTCAAATTGATTGAAATGATATCATTTTGCAGTCAGCTGAGAACACATAGACTTGGCACGACAGGAAAAAAAAAATAGAAAAAACAAAATCAACACAAAGTACAACTATCATTCAAAAATGTAACATTTTCATTAACATTGAGATGAGTTTTCAAACAATGACATTCAGAAACTAACAAGCAATTAAAAGGAATTCATTTTATATGACAAAACAAAACAAACCACTGTCTTCTAAATTGAAATTTATTTTTGAGTATAACTACAATGCAATAAACGCAGCATTTTACAACATGCAGAACAATTTCAACAGCGTTCCAAGGGCAATCCATTCAAAGGAACACATTAGTCAGTTAGTGGAAGAAATCGAACATTTCAAGGAACAAAAAATCTCTGCATGAACACCATCCGAGTACTTACCACCAGGACTAATTCCATATTGGCTACCTAAGAAATAAGTAACCATGGGTTCGAGTCAGCAAATATACATGTACATGTGGGTTTGAAGGGAAAACTTGTCACTCACACACTAAAATTCAGTTGTCAGTTTACAACAAAAATTTAGAAAGTGTTGGACGCTCAGCATTTTTCATAAGCTCAGAGTAAAAGCACGTTAGGTCTACCAAAACAAATTCAGCTTTTTATTTTAATTTTAAATCCTTTGCTCTCTTGGGGTAATTCTTAGGCAATATCAGTGTTGTAGTCGAGACCGGATAGACTGAGACAGAGACCAAGACCGAGACCTGAAGTTGCGAGACCGAGACCGAGACCAACCCCTTCAAGGCGGACCGAGACCGAGACCGAAATGGTCCGAGACTGAGACTGAGACCGCGGATAATAAATAACAATAATCTAAATAAAAAAAACAAGACACTAATTACAGCTGAACAGTCTGTCCTTGAGATGAATGATGTTGATGGGGATGTGAAGGAAGTGATTGAAAGCTAGGAATCACTTGTACATGTACCTGCTTAATTGTGTCATTCGAGTGCTCTTCATGTTTGCTTCATACCATAAATTGCAACATGGCAACAGAATTTGTTATTGTCACAATCAATTTTTTAAAAATGGAAACAACCTAATTTAAAGAAGGGGAAAACCTAATTTGATGAACTCCATATGTTGCCACTTTTTTAAAAACATATTTTTTTTAATATAAAATTGTTTAACTACTATAAAGTGTCAATCTGATGAAGAAACTCTAACTTAGGAGTACGACAATTTGTACTAGTTTTTTGCAATGTTGAAACTTGACAAAAGTAAAAAGTTAAAGGTGGATGTTTCATCTGTTATAGGAACTTAACTAAACTGTTACAGGACATTAAACTCCACACCCACCTCTTGGTTTCAGCAATGACTACTAACAGATATTTAAAAGCAGCTTTAATTTTACATTGGACCTCCTTGTACATGTTGTAAACCTGATTCCAAAAAATTTGGAGCAAGAAAATATTGATTTATTTTTTAAAATTTCAGTCACGGAAAAGAGACTTGTACATGTAGACCAAAAAATTGAGAGGTGGTAGCCAGAGAGGCCTGGCTTAGGCTGAAATGTAATGCCACTTTATTTTTGTTTAATGTCAATAACGTTACATATACTATAGAAGATTGATGAACCATATTTGCCTGATCTATCTTCTGTTAATCTGCCCGCCGTCATCATCGCCATTAGCCTATTTGAGAATGAGGCCGACACAATAGAAGGGCGCTGTCACAAACTGAATGTGGTGGGCGAGATGCACTTTTAGGATTCATGGCTGCGTGCGCACGCCTATTTGCGTTTTGTACCAGCGTATCACCCGCATCGGCTACTTTGCTGGGCAATTTAATTGAATATTTTAGTAATTTACAAGTAAAACATATTGCCAATATTTCAATCGTTTATTGTGATGGCCGTAAACAGCATTTAGCGATTAATGGAACAAAAGTCTTCTCGACTCATGTAAATGCAATTGACATTTAGAAAGGAGACGAGGCAGGCAATTAGACTCTATTTTTGTGTGACCATGGCAGTAGCTCAATTTGTGTTTATCACAGATGAAAAGACGAATTCATGGCAAGTCAAAAATAAAGTGACAGTATGATAAAAAAGAAAGAAATGGCACCCTCCATTTTGTAAAAAAAAAATATAATTGGGATAAAGAACATGTTATTGAGTAGTAAACCCTGAAAATTTCAGGTAATTTGCATTCTCTATTCCCAAGTCGTGTCTATTTTAATAAAGAGATCACAAAATTCAGCTGTCCCCCACTACTAACAATTTAACAGTCTATGAATTGATGAATATCCATTAATAAATATAATGAAAAAAAAAACGTTTTCCCGCCTCCACGAATAAAGTAAAAATTGAAAAGAAAAATAGAAAAAAATTCACCAGTATTTCTGGGGAAAAAGAGTTGAATTGTTTCCCATATTCAAAACAAAAAATCTGACAGTACATTGTAAAAATAATGTTTCAATCTTGATTCATAAGATTTTAATCTCAGTTGTATTTGGAATCAATGAGGATGGCTATAAAGTGCTTGTTTCAACACACCATCCCACAATAAAAACAAGAAATAAGAAGCGGAGCAATGGTTGTTGGACTATGCCTCACTCACTAGAAAGTGAAGAGAGACATGTCTATCAGCATCACACTGCAGTCACATTTGCCCTAAACTGATTCTTTACTTAATCCTAAACTGGGGCCAGGGTGGAATCCGCCCCCCTCACTTTTTGGCTGATCTCGACTCGAGACCAGGCAAAATATCGAGACCAAAGGGGACCGAGACCGAGACCGGGACCTACAACACTGGGCAATATACTAAAAAAATAATCCATCTTCTGAATAGGTTGTCCTTAAGTAAAGTGCCAAATACATTTACATTTTTTAAAGTATTTATCGACAAGTCGCTTTAGAAAGCAACTACATGTAGACATTTTCTTTTGGTTACATTACCTTCTCCGTCAGCTCCAATAGTCTTCTTGTCATCGGGATCGATGTGAATCATCTGCAGAACCAGTGGTCTTCTAGTGACTATCCCGCTACCTGCAAAGAAAGAAGGAACAACTCCACATCTAATAGCAGGTGGTGATTATTACGAAGAATGGCATGTGTCTAATTTCTTTCTCAGGTTACTTCTGTGATATTTTCGTGGAAGTAAGATTCAATAAACTACTAATGTCAGCGCCAGTTAAAGGGAAAAATGCAATTCCAGCATTATGTTATGGCCGTCACAGAGATTTTAAGAGCTCAGTGAATAAACCTGATATTTTTTCTTCAAATCTTATGCATCCATCATCTAGTGGTCAAGGAGACTACAGACTAGGAGTTTTGGATCATTTCTCTGAATCATCAATTGGATTTTGTCATTATTTGGCTCTGCCACGGAAATTACACATCCTTTCATAATGCTAGAAATTGCCCCATGTACATGTACATTGTACAAACTACATGAATCTCTTTGTACACCCAACAGCCCAAGTTGTTTACCATTGCTCACGTAACTGGAAACACATGAGGGTTTGGGCCTATGTTAAAACAAGGCCTGTTCAACAGGTTGCCCATACCCGGTGCTTGCAAACTTTATAAATATGTACAAATACATCTTCAATACATGTACATGCACTTCACTGTTTGAATTAAAATACACATGTACATGTTGGCATGTTAGAGGGACCATGACATGGATTTTACTCAGGAACACATTTTGTGCAACTTTCTACTTCTTCATTTTAGGGGGTTTTCTTTTCAAATTGTGAACCCACGAATTTGCTCATTGAAAACATTTGTGAGAAATGTTTACTCATTGGCTTACTGTCATGTACTGAAGGAACGACGAAGCACTAAAGAAATTAAAGCAAAATATCCACAATTCTGGCAACGTTTGGTATTGAAAAAGCTGTAACTTGAAGTAACAACAGAAACATACCCACTATTCTGGCCACTTATGGTACGAAAATAGCTGTAACTTGAGGCAAACTACAGGATGCTATTTGAACAAACAACCTTCAGATAGTAATGTATGAATGACGCACTACTGGCAATACCACAAAGGGGAAATACGTGTTTGGGGATTTCCACCATACCTATTTTTACATGTTGGGCGATAAGGACACAAGAAGGATAATTATTTACCAATTCATTATCAATATATGACAAAAAAGATCAAATTCTGCCAGGGGGATTTTTTTTGCAATGTGCATGATACACAGAGTCATTGTGTCAGGTCAGCATTGATATTGTTTGTAGTGTTTGAAGTATTTGGAGAATACTCATACTGTTCTGTACTGAATGTTGTAAATAAATCTGTTGTCAAATTAGACTTAGACCCTTGAACATAACATTACCTCATGGAATTCAATGGGAAATTTTCTATTGTTTGATATTAAAATAGCGCAAATATAATGTTTATAATGAAGTTACTTTATTATAGTTATAAATTGCAACATTTGAGACAAACCGCACCATTTATGTTTTAATCGATATACAGATGAAACCAAGACTTTGAAAATGCTGCACAATGATGTCACCAGACTAACCTGACCATGACTCCACTACAAGGGGAATCCCATTGAGAAATACCATTGGGAAATCCCACTGGAAATGTGCGGGAGTCATGACATCATACCTATGTGTGGCTATTACAACCAGTATTTCAACGTGTTGATAGTTCAAGGTACTAGGGAAATTTTGTGCTGCTTGATAGGTACACAATATCAATTCCATTATCAATATTTTTTGATAACAGTAAGTAATGCAGAATTTCAAAATATTTTTGATTTTGCTAAAGAATACATTCACAGAAACACTTGTGATATTTTGAAAATGAAAGTTCAGTTGCTGTAAGGACTCCATGCACAATGGTAAGAAAGGTAGATTTGGGGAGTCCACTGGGAGAGATATTTGAATGCATTGCTGACGGCGCCCGACACTCACACGAAGACGCTATGGCCTTGTTCACATTCAGAATGAATTTAGTTGGGTGTACTTCACGCGAACCAGTATGCGTTAACGGTGTGTCCCGTCCACTGGGCTCTCGTGAGCGATAAAAAGCGCCCTCTCTTGTTGTCGCAGGGAGCCCAATGCAAACAGTTTGTGTACAACTATGCAAAATGCTTGTTCAACAAATCCCACCAAGTTACTTAAAAGAGTACATAAATATATTAATTTTAGAAACAAAGAGTCAACTCAGACTAGATCTTGAGAAACTTACCCCTTGGCAAAAAATCTCTGCCGACTAAATTCTCAAGGACAGAACTCTTTCCACTACTCTGTTTGTCAAATAAAAACAATGGGAAGAAACAAAAAAAATTTTAATGGCCTACTTTCAAAACTGGCAAATGTTTGTATCCATAAATACAGTACATACAACTCACTTGATACATTTAATAAATGAGTGACATAACCATTAAATACTGTTGGGTTTGGTTATCGGATCTGTACAAACTAGAGACCATGCTATGGTTCAAATTGTATTCGTTGATTGCGCAAACGTTCGTTGATCATGATAGGGAACACTTGAGAATGATGAATTGATCATGCAAAGTTGTACACTCACACTAAAAAAAAGGTCACAGTGTGATTGGTAGATAGCATGAATTCTTCCCTGTGCAATCAACCAATGTTTGTGCAGATTCCACGCACACCTCCAATAATGCCCAATGAAAAATGCCAAGTGGGCAATTCCGTAAAATCCAACGTACGTCCGACCACAAGATGTACACGTGTACAAGGACAAAGTAGGCCCAAAATGCGGCCTGATTTATCAGAAACAAACAAAAAGTTTTCATTCCAATGGAAACTAAATCTTTATCGAAAAAAAAGGAAAAAACCGAAAAGATATAAATTTGGCACAATTTTGTTTAAATGACATTGTAAACACACCAATGCGACGTCATTCATTCCGTGTTCGAGCACATGCACCGTGCAAAGCCAGTCCCCATAGACTTGCACACAAGTCACTAGACTATCCGGGAATAGCTATACCATCATGCTATACACGTGTCATTGGAAGGCGTCGTATGCAGTTTAGTTGTCCACACTGGCATGACTGGCCCACTGTGTTAATGTGTGGTGCGCGACAGGTAAAAAAATAGCGACCATTAGTATTGTTTCCTTTTTTTTAGTCTACCTGTCCTGCATGCTGCGCCATAACCATCCAATTAAAAGTTGCACTGCAGGTATGTCATAGATAGAGGGCAGGGTTTGATTTTTTTGAGGGAAATTTGGGGGTAAAATGACGATGACATTGCGGCGACAACAAGCGACCCAAAAATAAAGATGGCGATCACCGCGCGATGTACCTTGAGCACGCACAGTGCGCTGAATCGCAAGGCACAAGCCGCCCAGGAAAATCGTGATTTCTACCCCAAGAATCTGTTCAAAATTGCAAAATGGGTGTTATGACATGCATGATTAGATTTAGAATTGAAAAAAGTCTGGTTTTGATTGTAAAGGTGATTTTTGAGCAATAAACATGATCACTTTTGACTCTAGTCTAATTTGATCAAAACAAAACAGGGGCCCTACACTTCATGATCGCCGTATTTACTTTTCAACGTTTTTAAATGATTGTATAACGGAACTTTAAGGCATTCATCTACACCCTTCCGACCCTCCCCCAAAATGGATTGCCCCTCCCCCAAATTGTACCATGACATTTTCGCCGGCAGCTGGGAAAAAATACCTAGGCCTAGTCGACCGTTTACCTGTGTACCAACAACAACGATCTGCGGTAATTGGATAACATCGGATCCCACGGTATTGAAGACATCTTGAAGTTTGTTTATGACTGGTATTAGGGCTTCCATTTTGGTAATTTCGGCGGAAATTTGAGTCAAAACGCAGTTGGAAGTTCACTCTCCACTCACACCCTTTGCGAAATGACGGCACTTGCAGCAGTATATCACAACCACAATAACTGAAACTTATGATAATTTATGCTTGGGTCACAGGCCACATGGCGTCACTGGTCATGAATCATGCATGAAGTCAGCATTAGGTTCCTAGCGTGTAGTACACGCTCACCGTAACAACACAGATAAAACAGAGAAAGCGCCACCACCTGGTCGCTCAAGGGCAATATGCAGCGAGTTTTTTTGTTCGCTGGAAAATAAAAATTATGACCCCCCCCCGAGTTGTAACGAGTCACTGAATTTTGTGACTCGAGTCAAGTTGAGTCATTTAAAAGAAGTGACTCGTGTCGAGTCTAGTCGAGTCATTAGGTCAAGAAGGTCGAGTCGAGTCGTGTGGAGTCACAGTGTGTAGTCATGTGCAGAGGCGCACCCAGGATTTGGTGGGGGGGGGGCTCAAATTTTTTTTTTACAAATTTGTTACATTAAAAGTTGAATTTTTTTCAGAGAAATTTTGCCCAAAATTTTTGGCTGCAGAAAAAATTTGTGGTCTTTTTTAGGGGTTCGCTCGTACCCCCGCCCTGCAAACAGGACGCTGGTCAGGGCTGACGTCATTTTGAGCTGGATAGATTTGCGTGACCTGTGACGTGAACGCGTCACACAAACTAGCTTCCGGTGCCCATCATGCGTAGCGCGCGCTAGCTGCATGTGGAGGTCAATCTGTACTTCCTTCACAAGATTCTGTGAAGCTCATCAGCCCTTACCAGCGCCCTGTTTGCAGGGCTGGGGTACGAGCGAATTTTAGGGGCGGCCTATTTTGACGTTGGTGGCGCCACTTACACCCCTATTATACTTCTCGAAAACAGGCCACATTCATATCACCAAGGCCAAATCGTGGGACTAAAAAAAAATAAATGTACAACCTCTTGGGGGGGGGGGGGCTCAAGCCCCCGAGCCCCCCCCCCCCCCCGCAAGTTTTTATTTTTGGGACTCGAGTCTTATTCTGAGCCTTCCCAGAGTCGGCAAGTCATTTTGATGAGGGACTCGAGTCGAGTCGAGTCATTTGCTTGCAGTGACTCGAGTCGAGTCATTTGCCCTTTAATATGGACTCGAGTCAAGTCACCAACAATTTTGACTCGAGTCGGACTCAAGTATAAAGTCGAGTCATTGACTGGAGGGAGTCATTACAACTCTGTGACCCCCAGGACATGTTGTTAGTCAATTTAACTAGGAGTTCACTAATGGGCTTTTAAATTGTCAAAATGTTTTAAGAAATCTTGTATTACTTGGAGATATCTTGATGATTTCAGGTTTCTTGAAATAATAAGAGATATCTCGAAACAATTATAGATAATTAGAGATATCTTTAAATAATCAAAAGCTACCGCTTTAACTTGAATAAATTGTGCGCACCGTTGGCCCACGTGTACCAACCGATATGTTTATTCATATCTGGCACGCCTAGCTAACTTGAGAGCAAGCTCACTCAATACTCGAAAAACTCGGCGGGACCGGACTTTTATTTACACCGATCGATTTCACATAGGCGTAGCCAGCGGGCCCCCCCCCCGCCAAAATTTTTTTTTTAAAGACTGCCTTTTGCCATTCAAATGCCCTTTTTTGAACGGGCTTACCCCCCCCCCCCCCAATAATTTGTAAAGAGTGCCCTTTTTTTTGTTAAAAAGAAGTGGTGCCCTTTTTGTGGCACCTGCCGTTTTGGCAGCCTTTTGCTGAATTTCGTACATTGTATCGCGTGAAAAGCACCATAAAACGTGCCGTTTGTGTGCATAATCGTCGGTTTTGAACAGCGCCCCCATTGACAGATCGTACCAGCCCCCCCCCCCCCCCCCCCCCCCCCCCCCCGCTTTTCGCTTTTACGGAGGCCAAGTGTCCGAAGAAAAGAGCCTGTCTACATTCATGGAGGAATAAGAACACCACGGATGTGCAAGTGCCCTTTTAAAAAAAAATTACCCCCCCCCAATAAAAATGACCGTGCTACGCCCCTGGTTCATGTGATTATTCGTTAATTATTCATGTAACTCGGGGTATGCTCAAAGTTTAATTAGAAGCACAGCTAGAACAAGTCAACCCAGGAACTTTGTTGCAAAAAATAGTGATAAATGTTGCAAAAGTGCCTAAAAAGTAATAAAACAATGTTCAGTGTAGCATGGAGCTACAGCTCCATGAGTAATATTGTAGGCGCGTCGGCTGGTTGCAATACAAATGCATGTTGCATAATTCAATAGGTCTTTGCATAAATTATTATACTTTCAAATTATTGTGGTTGTCATTTCGATGACACTCAGTTATTAGTCTGTTTCTTCTTCGATGGGTGATGGATTTGTACTTTTCACAAGTCCAGGAACCAGATCAGAACAAGTGATGGCGCCCTTCAAATTAAAAAAGAGCTAGCGACTGCGAGCGTGGTGAGTTAGTGATGATTTTTTTTCAGTCCTTATTTAGGTTCTTTATGTCTAATCATTTAATAAAAATGTTGGAATAATGAAAGATAAGAAGGATTTTTGGTTGGCCTGGCTTTAGGAATGACCATACAAAACGAAATATTGCCGTGAACACTCGGAACAGGTCCCAGGCCCACATTTTCCCCGTTAATTGAGTCGGCAGATCGTAGATAACCATACATGACCATAGTAGTATGGAACGCCGTATTATCGCGGTACTTATCACGTTTCTCGTTCGGAATAGAGATTGCCCACTAACCTTCCAGAATTGTCCTGTCTTATGTGTAGTATAAGTATTCCTTTTTAAATTAATATAAAAAAATCTGACGGGTAGTGTGGTTTATTCCGTGTACGATGCCTGTGAAAATAGACATGCGCGGCGTGTGCGAACGGAGGTGGACTCCCTATTATCGCGGTATGCGGGAAGTGGTTTTTATAATGATCCCAACTTTTTTGTTCATAGTTTATGTTTGACCAAAACACCCCCTGAATAAAGTTTGATATTTTCCCTGTAACATTCAAGTTGATTAAGGACAAAATGTCTGCAGGATGATTTCTTAAGACCCTGCCCTTCCCCCGAAAGGAGAACACAAATCCCTGACTCCCCTGAGGCAAGTCTACTGATCGGCGATTGAGGGCGCCATTCACTTTACACGGTGTGCCGTTTTATTTTCGCTAAGGCGCGGTGCTTATTTTGATCCCGTAAAAGTTGTTACGATTTCGCGCTGCAAATATCGTCGTTCGACTTCATTTTACATTTGCAGCTGAAGAATGGGAACCAGACAATGGAACTTTCATGGACAGAGCGCAATTAAAGATTTATGTTAAAATATAAACGGTACCTTTTAGCAGACACGGTGAGGGAACATTTTGCAAGTTTTGGAAAACGTTAATATTTATTAAAATCGTTAAAAGTCCCGAAAGACACAACATTTTTTAATCGTCCTTTTTATACAACTCCGTAGAAAATCCTTGATGACTGGTGAAATGGATTAAAATCGCCACTTGAAGGAGTTTTTACACTGTAAAAAGAGAAATTTCCCATGCCGCGATAATAGGGATGCCGCGATAATAGGGAGTCCGACTATACTTGGGCTATAGCGCCCTCATGCATGTGTATAATATCCTCGACCTCCTATTTCTGCGGCGCAGATAATAAGGCTTTGCAACCAAGAAGTAGCTAAAAAATAGCAAAGCAACCATGGCAACCACTCTTTTCCTCAACAAAACATTAAAATACAGCGCGAACATCGACCTCGGGCGGCCACTATTTATGCAAATCATTTGGATCCAGACGAACGCCTTGGTCCAATGGTCCACAAAAGCTTATGAATATGATTTGCATAAAATAGTGGCTGTTCGTGCTGTATTTTTAATGCACTGCATAGCGAGGATATCCCACCGATCGTTCACCGCATGGAAGAATAATGACGAACGCCTTGACCAAGGCTACACTCGAGTTCAAGTCCCAGCCTTGCCCTTGTTTGTGAAATTTTTTGTTTTCCAAAAAGTAAAAATTGAGTCCTACACTTTAAGTTAATTGCAGAATATTTCTTCTTCTTATTCTAATTCGTTTGAAAACAAAAACAATTTCAAAGCCAGAGGTCACTCAGAATTAAAAAAAATGAAGTCTACTTCAAGAAAAAGTAGGATCAAAATTATCAAAGTAATGCGCCTATCAAATGTTTTTGCAATGCCATAATGATACCAGTTGAAACTAGCGCTATGGCTACTACAAATTATTTAAAATTCTTTGTTTCTATTTTTTTCAAGGATGCTCAGTCTGTTTCCTTTCTGAGAATGGGACAGCTCTGCCAACTTTAGTCAGGCTACCACGATGTCGTACCTTCACGAAATCTGCCTTGACGAAATAGCTCTGGAGGGACTTGATGGTGAACCTTTCAGTATTTTTTCTGACAAATTTGTAGAGCAGAAAAATTTGTTTTATAGTAAAAGTAGCTTTTCAAGCCCAATTGACCCGACCTACATGTACCTGGATTTTAATGCTAAATTGCTGATCTCAAACTCTTTATTGTCATTTTTGGCCAAACATAAAAACCACATACATTTTGCAAATTAACAAGTCTTCCCTACGCAAGTGTTTTTTGTGCTATTGGTTAATCAAACAAACAAGTAAATTCAACAGAACATTGTTAAAAGTACCCCCTCTACAGTAAGAAAGGGAAAGTTCAGGGAAAGACCTACTAGTATCTGGCAAAGTTTTCAAAAATTAACCTCTCTTGTCTGCGCACGGAGCTGGCACCGCCCAAACTTGCCCCAATATTCTGTGGTTTTATAGGTTCATCTTAGAGTAAGTACAACGTAGCACAATTTAATACAAGTGCTTAGCCTATATTGGAATCCGGCGACCAGAATTAGAAGCTTTTACTGCTGTGATGTCACGTTCACAAGCATACTGCACGCGTTCTTAAAGACGAGTTGCACGCGCATTTTGGTATTGCTGTTGGTTGAAGGAGCCCAGAGTGCGTGTGTACTACCTGAGTGCAACTCACGCAAGCCTTGTGCCACCACAGAAAATGGCTGCCGCCAGATTTGTCTATAAGTTAAAGCTATAGTCCATCATTTGCAGCCATTCGAAAAGTAACTGGCGTAATTATTGTTGAAAAACAAACTTGGTTGAAAGATAGTAAGGGAACTAAACTCCCTGTGAAATTATTCTTTCTGGGAAGCTGTCATTTTGAAGTAATTAATGAAAGAAGGCATTTCCAACGGTGATTCTTAAGAAGCACCGTAGGAAAATTTAAATTAGTAGTTCGTTTTGTTATTCAGCGCAGCGCGCACAAGTATTGGAACGACGCGCGCGCGGTTGTTATAATTTATTGGATCAGTGCGCAACGTCGCGTATGGCTGCAATTCAAAACAATTCAAAACATGATTCAGTAAGTTTTGATTTGAAATTGAGATCTTAGAATGCTGTTTTTCTCGGAATGTACAGCTGAAGCTTAGCTGAAACTTCATCAGGTTAGCTGCTCAGTAGATTCATTAGATTTTGAACTCTTTTGTTGCTTCAAACGAACAAAATGCACAAATTACAAATGATGGACTGTAGCTTTAACGGAATCAAGAAAATTGTTCATTTTGTGAAGTTCTGTTGACTCTCTCATGACAGGAATCACTCTGGCCTGTTTGTGGTGTCGTCTGGACCAGCGCCTTCCCAAGTTTCCCCTGGCGTTGGACCCCAAGGCCAAGCAGTTCCTCTGGAAGGGCATTCTTGCCAGCAAGGATGTGGCGTTCTTCAGTCTCCCTGAACCTAGGAAGCTGCCTACGTTCCCCCATGAGTACATGACGACCGATGAACCCACTGGTATTGTCTTCCTTAAAGAAGAGGTGAAGACGAAATCAGATTTCGAAATCAAACTCGAACATGCTTATTCCTAAGATGAAATTTGCATCAGGGTCATGTAAATTCAATATTAGGTTTTGCCTTCCACCAACATATTTTTTTCAAAATACTGTATACTCAGTGGTGCCCCGAGTGATTGTGAGAAAAAAATCATTCGGGTGGGACTTGAACCCACGACCTCCTGCTTACTAGTGCAGACGTCTTACCACTCAACCACCGAGCTTGCTGGGTCGGTTGGCTGGTTCAAATCTGATGTAGCAAAGGGTACTGCAACCAAGCTATTCCATACTCAATGTTGTCCCACGTGATTGTGAGAACAAAATCACTCTGGCAGGACTCGAACCCACGACCTCCTGCTTACTAGTGCAAACATGCTTGGTCTTGACAATTTCAAATTAGCTTTCAACCTTCTGCAAGTTATTCTGGCTGAGATTTTCGTGTTGCAGTGGCATCGTATTTGACTAATAATTATCTATTTTTGTAGTCAGAATGACCTGTATATAAATGTGCTTTGTGACAGATATTTTCAAGTGTTTTTTTTACTACACAAGAATTGAAAAACAATAGTATTTTTTAGTATCCCTGAACAGTGCTTAAATGGCAATTGTGCAAAGAGGTTTGATGAAACTTCTTTTTCATTTTTGAAAAATGTCCTTTTTTTTTGGGTGGGGGGTGATAATCATTTGCAGGTCCAGAGAAAAGAGTACCCAGCATGCATTATCAACAGTTTTGAGAATGATGGGATACAGGGGTCGTGCGCCACCTTCAAGGAGAGAGTTGACATCAGTGATGAGGTCAGAGGTCACGATGGAGGCAAGGTCATGACCCTAGAGGAGGTACAGAAGAGGTGAGGCTGAGCTTCAGTTACAAGTCTGTATACTTGTGGGTGGAAATTTCACAGTACGTTGCTTACATTCAGCAGCATTCTGATATGAGTCTGCAGAGTTCTACAGACAGATGGCAGAATAGGGCTTGCTCAATGACGGCCATCTCTGTAGGAGAACTGCAACTGCGTATTTTACGCAATCAAGCACGCATTGTGTTGAAAATGTTCCAAACAGGCGTGCTTATTGCACAAAATGTGTTCGAAATACGACGCAGCCGATGCGCGTTATGCAAGTTGACCCTCAAAATGCTGATGCGCATGGATGGTCTGTAGGAAATGATGTCATTTGAACGAGAAGCGTGCGCATTGGACTAACTATTGTAAAAAGTTACTGTGAGTGACTGTTAGCATTCCGCTGTAGTTATTTTTACCATGCGTCTGCACTTGGATAACTCATGGCCCACGGAAAGTCCTTGGCCACATAAGCCATGGGATCAAATGGTATGGTGTACAGTGCAGCAGCTGTCCACATGGGACTTTTCAGGGACGTAAAACTGGCAATGTAACTCGGTTGGCCCTCTAAAACTTCCTGCAGCAGATGGATAAACTAACGCCTGATGGTCAACACTTAACAATTTCGGAGGTTTACTGGTTGTCCCTATGGTGCTCAGTGGACCTCATTACTACAGAGGCTTATTGAACCATTGCATGGCCTACGTCAAACCTTGCATTTTTGGTTCCATTCACCGTGCATTTTCGTCCCATCGCTTTTGATTTATTGCACGCCACGCGAACGCTAAGACGCGCAGCGGCAGGCCGGCGCTATACGATCTTTGCGTTATTAAGACCATATCATGTGTTATCAAGTACAAAACTTGCCTTTGACATTGATGCAGTTGATGCAAGATTTTTCTTTTTTGGGGGGCATTATTTTAAGAACTTATACTGTAAGTCTCATTATTGTCATTGATTGGACTTTAAACCTTTGTTAGCCTTGAACAAGCTGAAAAAAATAGTGGATGTGATACAATTTTGTGAGTTTTGTTTGTTCTTATTAAAAGTTTTATCTCCAATCGAATGACAAAGATCTACTTGGATGATATATAAAACAAATAATGAATGTTTCGCATTCGTGCAATGGTGAGAATATTTTCATTCGTTGAAAGCTGGAATGTTCCCATCAACTCGGCTTCGCCTCTTTGAATGGAACATTCAATCTTTCAACTCATGAAAATATTCTCAGCATTGCACTCATAACCATTCATTATTTGTATTCTAGTCAGAAGCCATAAACTCATACACTTCGTATTTTTGATGGAAGCTATCCCTTATATCTTGACCTCCTTTCAGATGGGGTGATTCTCTGGTCATTGTTGCAAGCCAAGAGCTGCGTATGTCGGCCCTGGTGGGCCCTCACGGCGACCCGTCCCTGGAGCTCAGCGGTCTCCGGTACTCTTTCCTGGAGTTTGTGGGCCGGCAGCGTCACTTTGGTGCCCAGCAGGTGGACTTTGCCCGACTGTTCAAGCTGACTTTAACGTCCCTGCACAGCTTGCGCAAAGACCTGAGCAGTAACCAACTCCTTGACAAGAGGGTGAGTAAAATCCGATTCCAATCTTTTGTCTAGAGTTGGGCACTGAAGTATTTTGTCTGTGCTGGTTACAGAATGACTGGATTGCCAGTGCTTCAGATTCGTGAAACTCTCAAATTGTCAGATTGTATTCTTTTATTTACCATACCTCAATGCCAGACGGGTTCAGGCTGCCAACTGCAGGTAGCACACCCTGATATTTCCAGCCTCGCTCGCTGCGAGCGGGTCGCTGACAGATATTTTCCAGCCTCGCTCGTTGCGTTTTATCTGTCATCCGTTCTGATTACCGCAAAACTTTGCATGTCATCCTACGTGAACTGGTAAAGTTAAAAGGTACATAGGATCATTTGCTTTTTTTTTATTGTTTTAATTTTTTTTAACTGACAACATTGCTTACAGTTTTAAGAATTGTGTATTACAAACTAACTTGTTGAAGTATCAGTTGAGTGGATACTGTACTTTGTTTCTGGATTCCGTTGCTACCACAAGTAAAATAACTGTGTCCGCAGGCACACTTCCTTTGACCACTTTCAATGATTTATTTTCTTCTGACTAATACCATTTCGGGCAGAATTATTTTACAAAGTATCTGGTACCAGTCCTTTTTTGCTCTTTGTGCAAGGATATTCTCGTTTAGTCGGTAGGTAATGTTTCTGGATAATTCGGGTGATTAATTGCAGTGCGCCACCAAGAGTTTGCCATGGAGAGTCCATTTTTCAAGTTTACGGTCGACAAAACATGGCCAATTTGAATGGGTGTCAATAGACAACTTGAGCTAATATGTTTTAGATTGGGGCATAGTGTTCTGCTGTCTTACAAAAAAACCACCCTATTGATAAAAAGAAAACAAAAGGGCAAACAGATCCCCGAATCGTACACTTACGAAACTAATGACCAAAAAAACTAACAATTTGAAATGTCCCGTGCTGCGAATTTGTCAACCATTTCCACAATGCACTGGGAAAAGTTGAATTTCCGTGGCAAACTCTTGGTGGCGCACTGCATTGTGAAATGCCCAAATTGAAAATGTTCTGTACGTTTTGATGCAGACCTGCTTGTGTCGGACTGCCAAGCACCTCAAGAACTCCATCTTCCTAATGTTGCTGAGGTTCGGCCCCCTGGCCAAGCACAGTAACATGAGCCACCACGGCATGCTCTCCACCAACCTCATCCAGATCCTGGAGAAACAACCCAAGAGGACGGCCGACTTCAAATTCCTCTTTGCCGAGCTGGCCAAGAAATTGCCATCATGGGTAAGTGTCCATTAAAAACAAACTCTGCTTTTTTTTGCTTTTTTTGTGTGCTTTCAGATTTGAGTAAAACACAATCGTGTCTTACTATACTTCTCAGGACCTTGATTCTTCCCTTCTGTTGTCCCTATTGTTTGGGCCTCAAGTTTTTGTAGACATGTTCCATAAGGTTTGAACACGGTCATTCCGTGTCAATTTAACACAATTTTTCATCCGACCCTCACAGATTGAAACTATTATTGATGTGTTGATTGGCCTACATGGGTGCCGACCTGTGAATAGGCCCAAAATTGCCAACATCGGCCAAATTATGATTCGTATGCCATCACATGTTCTGGTATTGGAGCATTTTGAGGGCCGTGAACTTGAGAATTTGTAAAAGAAGAACGTAAAAAAAAGCGTGGAAGCTGTGCATAGCGCCCTTTTTCTGTGAAATTTTAGGGGTGATCATCTTTTTGATGGAATTTTCTCCCAAAAGTCATTGTTAACCCACATAAACTTGAATGAAAAATGAAAGATGAACTAAAAAGATTTAATTTGATGTGTATCTCAAACACCTTGGAGAATGGTGAGTATTTTAAATAATTTTGGGAAGTGTACGTAATTATCACTGAAGTCTATGGCAGTCTATTTACTGGTCAGGAACCAAATGAGGAACCCCCCAGAATTGAGATCTTTTGCAATTTGGCGCATTAGTTTTTGAGGTAAGGGTCAACAAACTTTTGACTAATTAGCATGACCTCTGAATTTTAAATACTTGTACGTCCAAAAGAAATTCACGTACAAAGCCAAGTTGGCATCATTTTAAAGCTCTGTCCTTATTTCCCTAACAGTAGAAAACTTCCCCATAAGGCGGTGTCGGCTAGAGCACACTTGTGCGTAAACGTGCATTAATGGCCAATTCAGAGATTGAGGTAACCAGTGCAGTGAACCCAGTGCATGCCAGCCTAGGCCCTAAGCAGTTAATCTTCTAAATGCAACAAACTGCAACAGTGGATTATGTTGCATTGCGCAGTGAACCCAGTGCATAGCGGCCTTGGCACCAAGCAGTTACCCTACTAAGTGCAACCAAATGCAACAGTGGATTCTGTTGTATTGTGCAGTGAACCAAGTGCATACCAGCCTTGGCACTTAGCAGTTACCCTGCTAAATGCAACCAAATGCAACAGTGGATTCTGTTGTATTGCCTTGGCACTATGAGTAGTTACCCTGCTAAATGCAACAAACTGCAAGAGTGGATTTTGTTGCATTGTGCAGTGAACCCAGTGCATATCAGCCTCGGCACCAAGCAGTGACCCTGCTAAATGCAACAAGTGGATACATTTGTATCGCCTTGGCACTCTGAGCAGTTACCCTGCTAAATGCAACAAGATGCAGCAGCACGGGGACTTGAGTTGACTGCAAAATTCAACAACTTGTAACAACTTTTTTACTGCTGTTGCATTCTGTTGCATTTAGCAGGGTAAGGGTTTATGGGGGCGCTGTTCAAATCTGAAGATTATTGTTCACTATATTAAACAATAGTATACAAACATGGGCATCGCCAGTATTTTTCCTAGAGGGGGGCAAAGCACATTTTCCCCCTGAAATCTCTGTATTTTCCAGCATATTCTTGATTCATCATTTTTGGAGGGTGGGCAGGGACATTTGGGCCCCCCCCCCCAACCCATTAAATTAACAGCAGTATGACTTTGCGTCCATTTTTCTTTCTATTTTCCCCTTTCTTCTCTTTTTTTTTGGTTTTTTGCTTTTCCGGGGGGGGGGGGGGAGCCTCCCCCCCCCCTCGCGACGCGCGCGCCCATGTGTACAAATACCCCAAAGCCCAACTGTCTCTGTCCATATTTTGTGCACAGACGTATATTAGACCAAAAAAAAAAAGTCTCCGGTTTCTGGTATGGAGCTTGCCCCAAAAGTGGTGCGGCGACGCGGCTTTTTTTTTTTTTTTTACCTGTTTTTTTTTTTTGTTTGGCTTCAAATGTCGGCTGATGACTGCAAATGGTGCCCGACTAAACTTTGTGCGAATATATGGGAGTCCAGAGAGGCCACATAAAGCTTATTCTCGGTCATAACCCCATCTAAAAACACTTTAAAACTGTGCAGCAGCAGAATTCCAGTCAAACCAGTGAGTTTGGCGGTTTTGAGACATCATCTTGTATTGAAAAAAAAACTTTTTCATTTTGCCGACGCGCATAGCTGCGGCGACGCGCGCGCATACCAGAAACCGGAGACTTTTTTTTTTTGGCCTTACATGTATTACCAATTTAGTTTTTTTGGAGGGAGTTGTCACAGCAGGGGGAGGGGTTCGCATTATTTTTAATGAATTTTTATGAAAAGTACAACATTTGACAGCTGTTTTTTTTTCACACCCCCCCCCTCCCTTGGATCTGTGCCTGCTGATCTTCATTACCAAATAAATTTGTTGATGTCTGTGGCTGGCTAAAAATTTTAACATTTTTTCAATCAGTTCTGAATTGCAAGTACATGTTGAAAACTGTATTCAAAGGGCAATGAAATATTGTGGTCAGGCATCTCCGAGCCAAACCTACGTTTGTTGGGATAAAGTCGGACACCTATCAGGATGCAGACAATTTTCTAAAAAACCAATGTTCTTCCCTAGATGAGAGACCTCTCAGAGCAACCTCAAGGCTAAATGGTGGAGGTCCATTTTGGCAGAAATGTACCGCCTATTGTGACTGATTGTTAATCTGCTAATTACATATTAAATGTAAACCTGCAAAAAAGACAACTTTACAACAGAATTGTCAGAGTAAGCAACACAATTTATTCAGCAATAATCAATAAATGTACAGTAATTGGACTTTAATTTGGGTGTTTTTTCATTATATCTGGAGCCTTTCTTACACAAGATACAACCCTAACCTAGAGCTCGCAGCAGTAATTCACAACATCATCAGCAGTGCACCACAAAGTCAACAGCAACAGCATCGGCGATGTACCGTACAACAGCATCAGCAATGGACAACAGCATCAGAAATGCACAACAGTATTAGAAATGCTCAACAGCATCAGAAACAACAACTGCATCAGCAATGTACAACAGCGTCAGGAATGCACAACAACATTAGGAATGCACAACATGGTCATGACTGATTTAAATCGCGATTTAAATCAAATGATTTTTTTTTTTAAATCACTGATTTAAATCTCTTATTTGCAAAAATCTTATTTTTGGTAAAATAAATTGATTGAGGGTCATTTTAATTATTTAAATCAACTGATTCCACTTACATGTAATTACAAAGTGGATGTTGCTAACACATTCAAACACCCCTACTTCATCAGCATCGACTCAACTTATCTAGGTTTGCATTATTACCCAAAATCATTGTTTTTATTAAGTCAAGATCTGACTTAATTTAAATCCAAAAAATCTGGTAACAAAAAATCTTGTTTTGATTTTTTAAAAGAAAAAAAAAGCCAACCCTGATGCACAACAACATCAGCAATATACAACATCAGCAATGTATAACAGCATTAGCCATGTACAACAGCATCAGGAATGCACAAAAACATCAGCAGTGAACAAAAGCATTAGGAATGCACAACAGCATTAGAAATGCTCAACAGCATCAGAAACAACAACTGCATCAGCAATGTACAACAGCATTAGGAATGCACAACAACATCAGCAATGTACAACAGCAACGGCAATGTACCGGTACATGTACAATGGCATCGGCAATGTACAAAATCAGCAATTTACAACAGCATTAGCAATGTACAACAGGATCAGCAATGTATAACATCATAAGCAATGTACAACAGCATTAGCAATGTATAACAGCATCAGCAATGTACAACAGCATTAGCAATGTACAACAGCATCAGCAATGTTGATCATCAGCAATGTACAACAAGTCTGCGCACGCACCTTAAAGCCACCCTCAGGTCGAACTTGCGACAAAAAAGAATAGTCAGCGACTGACTTTTCAGGATCAAGCTGCATCTCAACTACGACCGTCGGAATATATCAGTTGCTTAACAACTAATCTAACTAACTAAAGTTTAAATCAGTGAATGCTGTGAATGGTATATTCAAAGTAAATAATAATCTAGGATCTTGATTTCAATTCAAAAGTTGCAGAGTCATGTTTTGACTTGCGTCCGAAATCAGCACCCGGCACACGTTCTAATTGCAACCGATGGCAGCTACACAATGTCATGCACAGACCCGACGAATAATAGCAGCACGAATAATAGCAGCCATGCGCTTATGAGTCACGTCAATGTCAGTCACGTCAGTCACGTCACGGATTCGACCCGAATTTCAAACCAACTATTAACGGAAATTTCCTAAGCGGGTCACTTGACACATCTTTGGAAATTGCCTTCTTTTATTGTTTTCTTCAAAATGACAGCATGCCAGAAAGAGTAATTTCACAGGGAGTTTATTGTTAAACCAAGTAAGTTTTTCAACAATAATTTTATCAGTTACTGTTTGGGTAGCTGCAAATGATCTACCAGTACTCTACCTTTAATTTTGAAATGAGGCCATCCCTTGACTGGCAATTATACCGTTCCATGAATACAACTTCTACTGAACTGCTTCTTGATAAAGTTCTCAAGATAAAATTTTACCCATTATTAATCCAATGTAGCAGATCTTTTTGTTTTTAAACCAAAAGATGTTACAGAAACTGCTGAAAGGTATTGGAATGCCCCTCAGTTCAGTTTGCAACCAATGGCAGGCAGCGTTTACAGGATCGGTAGTTAGATATCAGAAGATCATGGGTCGCTCGACGGAAATCTTGGTTTCTGAGATAATAGATGACTGTGTTAAGCCAACTATTTGTCAGGCCAGGCAGCACAATGGCGAACAGGACTGCTATTGGGTGTAGGTATTGTCTGTATAGTAACGCACAGAATGGCAAGAGGTTGGCAACAGATGCAGTCAAAACTATAATGAGGACTGTTTTCAGGGCCTTGTTGTCGGGCCTTGCGGCAGGGTTTCCTGGTTGAGCGATTTGGTTTTCGACTTGGATGGCTCTCGCTTGGTGTCGTGATATCATGAACAGTCGTGCATATGCTATGATAGTAACCAACAGAGTGCTGACTATTATGCTTGTATAGACTATTGGTACAATTATCGTGGAGGATTCTGACTGAAATAAACATATTGGGATAGATTTGAAGTAAACAGTTTCCCAATGTGATGCTAATCCCAGTACAGTCGTCATCAATGCAAGGGTTCCCCACATACAACAGACAGATATTCGAGCCCGCTTCACAGTTACAAGAGATGGGTAGCGCAACGCGTACACCACCGAAATGTAGCGGTCCACAGTCAGCAGCAGGAGTGACGTTTGGGAACTGTAGATTAATATGCCGTCAGTAAATGACAGCACTTTGCAAAATGCCTTGCCCAAAATAAGCTCAGTCTCGGAAATTGCAAGAACAGTCATCGGTAGAGCTCGGAAGAGTCCCACCCCGAGATCGGCAATCGTCATGGATCTGAGGAATATCTTAGTTGTTTCCTGGATGCTACGGACATGCCTCAGGACCACAAGACACAGCGGGTTGAGGGTCAGAAGTAGGATGGTCGTTATGACGAGCAGGATGCATCGGATGAAGTTGTACTCATTTCTGTCTTCAGTTGTTGGGGTCGTGGATGCATTGAATGAAGACAGGTCTTCACTACTTCCTGTTGAATTCATGTGGATGTTCATGGTGCTTGGTCGGGTTCAATCCGTACAATTTTTGATATAACTCCAGGGTATGAATTACACAGCTGCAGAATTGATATTTGACAAAAATCTTTCATTAATGCATAGAACAGTGTGAACGTAATAAGAATAAATGTAGTCGGAAAAACGTCACACACTGTAAGTGAGCGGTAAACTGCATCCAGAGATTTTTGTACGTAGGCTTTATCTCTTGAAAAGAATTAAATGGGTGCGGCTTGTCCTTATCATGCACAGGATGAGGAAGTGTGTAAATAACCATAGGTCAGCGCTGATTGGCCAGTCTCTGGTTGGCTCTGTGATATTCTTTTTTATTTATTGGCATATAATATTGCCATAGTGAGTGGCACGTCGATATTACATTTAAAGCAACCGTGGAATGCATTTTGCGCTACAGTTAATTTCCTGCAAAATGCCATTACCTGCCAGTTTCCATTTACAATGCATTGTAATTAACTTTGCCAGTTTAACATGTTTAATCTGTTTTTAATAACCCTTTTTAAAACATCAAGCCAACTTGTCCTCAACTGTTGCTTATGCCTACCGGTACCTTAAATAACTGGCCTCATGTCAAGAAGTGGATGACTTGATTGTCAGATAAGCAGCAGCATTATTGCTATTTAAAATTGGAGACTCCTGACTGGGAAAACATCAAGCTCAAAGTCTAGTTTTTATTTATTTATTGGCTGTTTCCCCATAGCATCTGTACATGTTTTCATCGTGGAAGGCACTTTTTTTTGGCATTAAAAACTAACCGATAACTTTAAACTAGACACACACTTGGACCAGCATCTAAATATATGTGTGCCGAACAATGATGTCATCATGACGTCATCAAGTGAGCCATGACGTCACATTTAATGTGCATATTTTGAAGGCCTTTATCTACAGAACTACAAGGCCGATTGAGATGAAAGTTGGTATGTACCGGTACCTAGACCGGGATGTATTATAGATGAAAATTGTAGTGGCATCAGGATGGCGTCATCACGAGTTACGTGACGTCACATTAAATGTGCATATTTTAAAGGCATATCTACATAACTACAGGTCCGATTGGGTTGAAATTCGATATGTACCAAGACTTGGATGTGTTATAGATGAAAATTGTAGTGACATGACGATGACGTCATCACGTGACATGTGACGTCATATTAAACGTGCATATTTTGAAGGCTTATAATTAGGACAATAGGTCTGATTGGGTTGAAAGTCGTTATGTACCTAGGCTGGGATGTGTTATAGATGAAAATTGTAGTAACTTCATAGCTCCGGAACTATTTGCGCTGATCACTATGCAACTTTTTACTGCACATATCTGTCCTATCAGTCTATGCTATGACATAAAACTACATGTACAACAACAAATAATAATGCCGAATCAGTCATGTGTTTGTCCACAAACATTGAGTGTTTTTGTTTGATGTGCAGGAACAATCTCTGTTCGGTTACCGGATATTCGAACAAGAATCACTTTTTAGTTTTGGTGCATTATGAACATATGATCAATGCTCTCAATTGCTTTCACCTGGTCACATAGCAATTTTCCAAGGGGAAAAAATTGAATTCCTGTCCTTTAGTGGTGGGGCATCTCTGGGCCCAACCTGGTAAGTCTGTTGGGATTTATATGTTTGACATCTTCATTAGGGTGGAGACAATCTTCTCAAACCATGTTTCTTATCTAGATGAGAAACCTCTTAGAGCAACCTCAAAGCTAAGGGTGCAGGTCCATTTTTGACTGATTGTCAACTCCCTGCTAATAACACATAAAACCTGCAACAAAGACAACTTTACAGCAGAATCGTCGGCGCAAGCAACACAATATATTTAGCAATAATCAATAAATATACAGTAAGTGGACTTGAAGTTCAGTGGCTGTGTTATTATCTGGGTCCTTCCTTACATGGAATACAACCCTAACCTAGTGCTCGTAGCAGCAATGCGCAACTTCATGCATCAGCAGTACACCACAAAAAAATCAATGTGGAACAACATTACGAATGCACAACAACATCAGAAATGTACAACAGTATCAGCAATATACAACAGTATCAGCAATATACAACAGTATCAGCAATATACAACATCAGCAATGAACAACAATATTATGAATGCACAACATCATCAGCAATGTACAACAGCGTCAGCAATAAGCAACAGCATCATCAATGTGCAACAGCATCAGCAATGTACAAAAGCATCACTTTTCTGGGGTTTTTTTGGCCAGGATTCCGGTTTTTAAAAATCCTCATAAAATTCCGGTTTTTTTCCGGCCATCAAAGAAAAACTAGAAATAGAGAACGAACCGACAGCTTAAAGGCCATAGAGGCAAAAATACAAAATAAATGGAAATGGGCTTGGCTACAGGAGAAAGATGACAATGGGAACTTTGTGTTCGGAGTAGCTTTTTAACAAAAATCAGTGCTCAAAATCAGTGCTCATAAAAACGAATTTCCCTTTCTTTAAGCAGACCCTGTGGCATCTCTGAATGTACAGCAGCACCAGAAATGTACAAAATGGTATCAGCAATGTACAACAGCATTAGGATTGCACAACAACATCAGCAATGTACAACAGTATCAGCAATGTACAACAGCATCAGCAAACTACAACAGCATCAGCAAACTACAACATCATCAGCATCAGTAATGTATGTGCATCAGCAATGCACAGCATCAGTATACAACAAGCCTGTGCACACACCTTAGGCTTCACACGGGTTGACATTGTGATGACATGACTCAGTAACGACCGGAACATACCGGTATCAGTTGTGGATGTTTTGGCGAACTTCGTGTAACTGCGATGATATTCATACAATAAGCATCAATCAGTGCTCAAAAATTGACAGTCACAAGAGTAGCAAAATTGTGACTTCTGCACCACGACGGAACGTGTGTGAAGTTACGACATGGTCCAATTAACAGACGTGGACATGGACAGTTGTTTGAGAAATCCTACATTACAGTCATGAAGTTAAAACAAGTAAACTTTTTACGAGCAATCGTGTACAATTGTGACAGAGTTGTTCACATGAAGGTCGTTTTTGTACAAGTAATGCTTAAACATTCTCTTCAAATTATTAATTTTCTTTTAGATTTGTTCTTTTCTAAATAACATATCCATATTTTTAAAAATTGTACAGTTCCATGAATACAAGTTCTACTGAACTGCTTCTTGATAAAGTATTCATGATAAAATTTCACTCATTATTAATCCACTGTAGCAGATTTGGTTTTTTTTAAACCAAAAGATGTTACAGAAACTGTCAATAGTGATTGGAACGCCCCTCAGTTCAGTTTGCAACCAATGGCAGGCAGCGTTTACAGGATCGATAGTTCGATATCAGAAGATCATGGGTCACTCGACGGCAGTCTTGGTTTCTGAGATAATAGATGAGCACATTAAGCCAACTGTTTGTCAGGACAGGCAGCACGTAGGTGAACAGGAGTACTATTGGGTGTTGGTATTGTAAGAATAGTACCGCACAGAGTGGCAAGAGGTTGGCAACAGATGCAGTCAAAACTATAATAAGGACTGTTTTCAGGGCCTTGTTGTCAGGCCTCGCAGCAGGGTTTCCTGGTTGAGCGATTTGGTTTTCAACCTGGATGGCTCTTGCTTGGTGACGTGATATCATGAACAGTCGTGCATATGCTATGATAGTAACCAACAGAGTGCTGACTATTATGCTTGTATAGACTATTGCTACAATTATCATGAAGGATTCTGACTGAAATAAACACATTTGGATGGGTTTGATGTAAATGGTTTTCCAATGTGATGTTAATCCGTGTACAGTTGGTATCAATACAAGGATTCCCCACATACAGCAGACAGATATTCGAGCCCGCTTCACAGTTACAAGAGATGGGTAGCGCAACGCGTACACCACGGAAATGTAGCGATCCACAGTCAGCAGCAGGATTGACATCTGGGGACCGTAGATGAAGATTTCACCAGCAAATGACAGTACTTGGCAAAACACCTCGCCAATATGCTCAGTCTCGGAAATTGCAAGTACAGTCATCGGTAGAGCTTGGAAGAGTCCCATGCCGAGATCGGCAATCGTCATGGATCTGAGGAATATCTTAGTTGTTTCCTGGATGCTACGGACATGCCTCAGGACCACAAGACACAGCGGGTTGAGGGTCAGAAGTAGGATGGTCGTTATGACGAGTAGGATGCATCGGATGAAGTTGTACTCATTTCTGTCTTCAGTTGTTGGGGTCGTGGATGCGTTGAATGTAGACAGGTCTTCACTTCTTCCTGTTGAATTCATGTGGATGTTCATCTTGCTTGGTCAGGTTCAATCTGTTGTAGGAATTTTTATTTAACTCCAGGGTATGAATTACACAGACAGCAGAAGAGGTCTTTGGCAAAAATCTTTCAGTCATATATTGAACAGTTTCAACGGAATAAGAATAAATGTAGTCGGAAAAACGTCACATATTGTATAAGGGTGGTAAACTGCATCCAGAGATTTGTGTACGTAGGCTTTATCTCTTGAAAAGAATTAAATGGGTGTGGCTTGTCCTTATCATGCACATGATGAGGACGTATGTAAATAACCATAGGTCAGTGTTGATTGGCCAGTCTCTGTTTGGCTCCTTGATATTCTGTATATTTTGATTGATAATATAATGAGAGGCATGTTCACATTACTTATAAATGGACGCATTTGGCGCTGCAGTTAATTTCCTGCAAAATGCCATTACCGGTACCTGACAATTTCCATTTACAATGCATTGAAATTAGTAGTTGCCAGTTTAATATGTTTTGAGGTGGATTCAAGAATACATGTGTATTGCACTCGCTATGACAACATTGCACGAGTCAAAGACGAGCGCAATATTGTCATAGCGAATGCAATATATTCTTGGATCCCCAGAAAAAAGCCGCCCAATATTGTTATTATTATTTACATCAGGCTGACTTGATTCGCAAGAAATACAATTCAATGCACTGTCTTCATTTCTCCTATTTCTCCTCAATTCATAGCGAATGCAATATATTCTTGGATCCCCAGAAAAAAAGCCGCCCAATATTGTTATTATTATTTACATCAGGCTGACTTGATTCGCAAGAAATACAATTCAATGCACTGTCTTCATTTCTCCTATTTCTCCTCAATTCTGTCCTGAGTTGTTGGGGTCTTGGATTCATTTAATGTAGACAGGTCTTCACTACTTCCTGTTGAATTCATGTGGATGTTTGTGTTGGTCGGGTTCAATCCGTACAATTTTTGATATAACTCCAGGGTATGAATTACACAGACAGCAGAACTGATATTTGACAAAAATCTTTCATTAATGCATAGAGCAGTTTGAACGTAGTAAGAATAAATGTAGTCGGAAAAACATCACACATTGTAAGTGAGTGGTAAACTGCATCCAGAGATTTTTGTACGTACATGTATGCCTTATCTCTTTAAAAGAATTAAATGGGTGTGGCTTGTCCTCATGCTTATGATGAGGAAGTGTGTAAATAACCAAAGGTCAGTGCTGATTGGCCTGTCTCTGGTTGGCTCCTTGACAATCTTCTTCTTTTTTTTGATTGGCATATATTATAATATTGCCATAGTGAGTGGCACGTCGATATTACATTTAAAGCAACCTTGGAACGCATTTTGCGCTACAGTTCATTTCCTGCAAAATGCCATTACCTGCCAGTTTCCATTTACAATGCATTGTAATTAACTTTGCCAGTTTAACATGTTTAATCTGTTTTTAATAACCCTTTTTAAAACATCAAGCCAACTTGTCCTCAACTGTTGCTTATGCCTACCAATACCTTAAATAACTGGCCTCATGTCAAGAAGTGGATGACTTGATTGTCAGATAAGCAGCAGCATTATTGCTATTTAAAATTGGAGACTCCTGACTGGGAAAACATCAAGATCAAAGTCTAGTTTTTATTTATTTATTGGCTGTTTCCCCATAGCATCTGTACATGTTTTCATCATGGAAGGCACTTTTTTTTTTGGCATTAAAAACTAACCGATGACTTTAAACTAGACACACACTTGGACCAGCATCTAAATATATGTGTGCCGAACAATGATGTCATCATGACGTCATCAAGTGAGCCATGACGTCACATTTAATGTGCATATTTTGAAGGCCTTTATCTACAGAACTACAAGGCCGATTAAGATGAAAGTTGGTATGTACCGGTACCTAGACCGGGATGTATTACAGATGAAAATTGTAGTGGCATCACGATGGCGTCATCACGAGTCACGTGACGTCACATTAAGTGTGCATATTTTAAAGGCATATCTACATAACTACAGGTCCGATTGGGTTGAAAGTTGGTATGTACCTAGACTGGGATGTGTTATAGGTGAAAATTGTAGTGACATCACGATGACGTCATCATGTGACATGTGACGTCATATTAAACGTGCATATTTTGAAGGCTTATAATTAGGACGATAGGTCTGATTGGGTTGAAAGGTGTTATGTACCTAAGCCGGGATGTGTTATAGATGAAAATTGTAGTAACTTCATAGCTCCTAAACTATTTACGCTGATCACTACGCAACTTTTTACTGCACATATCTGTCCTATCAGTCTATGCTATGACTTAAAAATACAACAACAAATAATAATGCCGAATCAGTCATGTGTTTGTCCACAAACATCGAGTGTTTTTGTTTGATGTGCAGGAACAATCTTTGTTCGGTTACCGGATGTTCGAACAAGATTCACTTTCCATGAGTTAGCAAATAACGCCTGTAATCTAACTGCGGAAAAATAGTCTGTTAAATAGTCTGTTAGCACCATTCTGAAAATGTCGATTTCATTGCTGGACCCCCCCCCCCCTTCCCCCTTGATGTCATTGCTATGCATTGTTTTCTTGCAAACCCTATATGGGGTTTTTTGTGCATTTTGAACATATGATCAATGCTCTCAATTGCTTTCACCTGGTCACATAGCAATTTTCCAAGGGGAAAAAATTGAATTCCTGTCCTTTAGTGGTGGGGCATCTCCGGGCCCAACCTACCGGTAAGTCTGTTGGGATTTATATGTTTGACACCTTCGTTAGGGTGGAGACAATCTTCTCAAACCATGTTCCTTAATACCTAGATGAGAAACCTCTCAGAGCAACCTCAAAGCTAAGGGTGCAGGTCCATTTTTGACTGATTGTCAACTCCCTGCTAATAACACATAAAACCTGCAACAAAGACAACTTTACAGCAGAATCGTTGGCGCAAGCAACATAATTTTATTCAGTAATAATCAATAAATGTACAGTAAGTGGACTTGAAGTTGAGTGGCTGTGTTATTATCTGGGTCCTTTCTTACATGGAATACAACCCTAACCTAGTGCTCATAGCAGCAATGCGCAACTTCATGCATCAGCAGTACACCACAAAAAAATTAATGTGCAACAACATTACGAATGCACAACAACATCAGAAATGTACAACAGTATCAGCAATATACAACAGTATCAGCAATATACAACAACATCAGCAATGAACAACAATATTATGAATGCACAACATCATCAGCAATGTACAACAGCGTCAGGAATAAGCAACAGCATCATCAATGTGCAACAGCATCAGCAATATACAAAAGCATCAGGAATATCCAGAGATGCCACTTTTCCGGGTTTTTTTGGCCAGGATTCCGTTTTTTAAAAATTCTCATAAAATTCCGTTTTTTTCCGGCCATCAAAGAAAAACTAGAAATAGAGAACGAACCGACAGCTTAAAGGCCATAGAAGCACAAATACAAAATAAATGGAAATGGGCTTGGCTACAGGAGAAAGATGACAATGGGGACTTTGTGTTCGGAGTAGCTTTTTAACAAAAATCAGTGCTCAAAAATCAGTGCTCAAAAAAACAAATTTCCCTTTTTTTAAGCAGACCCTGTGGCATCTCTGAATGTACAGCAGCATCAGAAATGTACAAAATGGTATCAGCAATGTACAACAGCATTAGGATCGCACAACAACATCAGCAATGTACAACAGCATCAGCAATGTACAACAGCATCAGCAAACTACAACATCATCAGCATCAGTAATGTATGTGCATCAGCAATGTACAGCATCAGTATACAACAAGCCTGTGCACACACCTTAGGCTTCACACGGGTTGACATTGTGATGACATGACTCAGTAATGACCGGAACATACCGGTATTAGTTGTGGATGTTTTGGCGAACTTTGTGTAACTGCGATGATATTCATACAATAAGCATCAATCAGTGCTCAAAAATTGACAGTCACAAGAGTAGCAAAATTGTGACTTCTGCACCACGACAGAACGTGTGTGAAGTTACGACATGGTCCAATTTACAGACGTGGACATGGACAGTTGTTTGAGAAATCCTACATTACAGTCATGCAGTTAAAAAAGTATACTTTTTACAAGCAATTGTGTACAATTGTGACAGAGTTGTTCACATGAAGGTCGTTTTTGTACAAGTAATGCTTAAACATTCTCTTCAAATTAGTAATTTTCTTTTAGATTTGTTCTTTTCAAAATAACATTTCCATATTTTTTTAAAATTGTACCATTCCATGAATACAAGTTCTACTGAACTGCTTCTTGATAAAGTACTCATGATAAAATTTCACTCATTATTAATCCACTGTAGCAGATTTGTTTGTTTTCAAACCAAAATATGTTACAGAAACTGTCAATAGTGATTGGAACGCCCCTCAGTTCAGTTTGCAACCAATGGCAGGCAGCGTTTACAGGATCGATAGTTCGATATCAGAAAATCATGGGTCGCTCGACGGAAATCTTGGTTTCTGAGATAATAGATGACCACGTTAAGCCAACTGTTTGTCAGGACAGGCAGCACATAGGTGAACAGGAATGCTATTGGGTGTACCGGTAGGTATTGTAAGAGTAGAAACGCACAGAGTGGCAAGAGGTTGGCAACAGATGCAGTCAAAACTATAATAAGGACTGTTTTCAGAGCCTTGTTGTCAGGCCTCGCAGCAGGGTTTCCTGGTTGAGCGATTTGGTTTTCAACCTGGATGGCTCTTGCTTGGTGTCGTGATATCATGAACAGTCGTGCATATGCTATGATAGTAACCAACAGAGTGCTGACTGTTATGGTTGAATAGACTATTGCTACAATTATCATGGAGGATTCTGACTGAAATAAACATATTGGGATAGATTTGATGTAAACAGTTTTCCAATGTGATGCTAATCCGTATACAGTTATCATCAATGCAAGGGTTCCCCACATACAACAGACTGAAATTCGAGCCCGCTTCACAGTTACAAGAGATGGGTAGCGCAACGCGTACGACACCGAAAT